GGGTGTTTGCTGGAACACTGGGTAGCTTGAACGATGGGGTTACCCTTGCCCATCCAGAGGCCGGAGCCCCAGAGGGAGCGTCGGCGGGGCTGTTCTCACAAGAGCAGGCTCTGCGGTTGGCTGATGGCGCATCCTCGTGTGTCCTCACGTGGTCTTCGCTCTGCCAGTGTCTTCGTCTCTCCCGACTGCGACGCCCGTCAGGCTGGATTAGGGCCCATCCGTATGTACACCCACCCCGTGCCTGGATTACGCCTTTGAAGGCCTCATCTCCAAACACAATCAAACCTGAGGAACTGGGGGCTGGGACTGCAACACGTGAACAAAATTTAACCCGTAATTGTTTTTTTTTAACAGTTTATTTAATTTATGCATACAAGAACTGGGGTACAGGCCAGAAGTGCGGGGGATGAGAGGATTCAGCACAGACAGAGTGGGAGCAGCACAGGCAGATCTACTGAAATCCACTGCTGAGGGGAGCAGCAGGGAGACAGGACAGATCTGCCTCGCCCTGTGGGTAGCTCCCTGGCTGGGGTGGAACTCGAGCTGCCGAGGCTGCGGACAGCTTCGTAGGTTGCGTCTTAACCCCTTGCGCCACCGGGGAGGCCCCTAGCCCACAATTGTTAATTATAACTATAGTTCTCACCCTCCTCTATCTCCTTAAACGTAGATGATAGATCGATCGATCGATAGATAGATGATAGATGACAGATAGATATAGACAGACTGACCATATGTGAACTATGTAGTCTATACAGAGAAACTGGCTACACATGCTAGAATACAGGGTTATCCTTACTTCCTCCCAAAACTGCATTGAAATGACAGTAAAGGAATAAAAAGGGCATCTATTCACAAGGAGAAAAGCTGGGAGCGGCGCCCAGTGCCAGGGGACAGGGCCACGGTCCAGGGTGGCCAAGAGGGAGGGTGCCCCGGGCTGAGAGGCAGAGCCTGCAGGGGCAGGGTGATGGGCAGGAAGCGAGGCGAGAAGGCCCTGGAGGAAGGCACCGGGTGCACGGGAGACAGGCTGTGCCGGGGGCCGCAGAGGAGCACCCACACCTCTGCACCCCGCCAGAGCAGAGGAGTCACTGGGCAGAATGGCCTCGGGGCAGGGCAATGGCCTGAATGCCAGCAGGAGGGCGAGTCCAAAGTCCCCAAGCTGGATGCTGGCCCCGAGCCTCCCCCCCACTAGCACCCCAGACACACGCTCTGGCTCTGTTCGCAGGCAAAAGCTCAGGGGACTTTTAGATTTAATTATTTCATTCGTCTGGTATCTAGTGTGAACGTGAGGGAAGGAGCCCCCTGATTCCTTTCCTCCCACAAGGCTAGCCAAGCCCTGGCTACTCTATATCTCCCTAAAGGTTGGAACTGACATCTTTACCACACATACGATCCCCACAGGTGTTTGGGTCTGTTTCTGATGTTCCTCTTCGGCCCATTGATCTTTGTTCATTCACTTAATACCACGCTTATGATTAGTGTAGATTTTTAAATATGCTTTAATATCTAATAGATGTCTGAGCGCCTAATTGGCCAACATTTCTCTTATTTGCATAATATTCTCACTAGACTTGCTTATTTCCAAATTAATGTTAGAGTCAACCGTACATATATATAAATATATATATTTATACATATATACCTACAGGCATATAAATATTCACGGCAAGAAGGTATCCATAATTTCTTCTCATCCAGAGCTTTTGCTTTTGTTTAGAAGAAAACATTGACTTTTCTCTAGTATTCTCTTTTTTTTTTTTTTAAGATTTATTTTATTTATGCATACAAGAGCTAGGCCAGAGGTGCGGGGGGTGAGAGGACTCACCAGAGACAGAGTAGGGAGCAGAACAGGCAGATGTGCTGAAATACACTGCTGAGGGGAGCAGCAGGGAGACAGGAGAGGTCTGCTGCGCTCTGTGGGTCACTCCCTGGCCGGGCATCGAACTTGTGCTGCAGTGGCTGTGGACAGCTTCACAGTGCTGAGACTTAACCCTGCGCCACCAGGGAGGCCCTTCTCTAGTATTCTGTCAACATCTTCGGCCCTGCCCTACGGAGGGCTGTTCTTTCCATGAATTAAAACAAAATCAAGCGGGCCTCCCCAGTGGTGCAGCGATTGAGCGCTGGGTTGCGAAGCTGCCCGCCGCCTCTGCGGCGCCAGTTCAATCCCCGGCTGCTCCCCGGCAACTGGAGGAGGGTCCCACATGGCGCGCAGACCTCTCCTGCCGCCCGCTGCTCCCCTCAGCAGTGTCCTTCGGTCCTTCTGCCTGCTCTGCTCCCCGCTCTGGCTCTGGTGAATTCTCTCACCCTCCCGCGCCTCTGACTGTGCCCAGTGCTTGTATAAATAAATAAATAAATCTTTAAAAAAAAAAAAAAAAAAAATCAAGCCCCTTGGTCCAGCTTCTCCCAGACCCTCCAGCCTTTGCCTGCTGTGTCTTCACAGCCACATCTGGAAGTCTCGGCCACAATCCTGGCTCAGCTGCCCCGCCCTCCCCCCCACCCTAGTTTTCATCCATACCTTTCGGTGTCACATCTGTACCTGCCCTCGCTGTGACGGCTCTTGCTGAGGTCACCCAGGCTCGCCAGGTCCAGTGGTCCGTCCTCAGCTTACTGGGTCTCCAAACATGGTGCGGACCCATCTCTTCATCCAAATCCCCCCTCCTCTGCTTCTGCTGCCACAGGCTGACCTCCCCGGCTGGGCAGCTAGAGCTCTCCCGCCGCACACAGACAGACAAAGCTTCCGAACACAGTCTGAGCCCCGTCTGTGGGCTCAGCCCAGTCTGAGCACAGTCTTCAGAACACAGTCTGACGGCCTGTCGGCCAGTCTCTCCACTCGCAGCCCACAGACACCCCAAAGGTCTGCCCCCAAGGGCCCCGGTGTTTGAGATCCACCGCCACGGCCATGACATGTAAACCAGGGACGTGATGGCCTCTCCCCAGGCCCGCGGAGATCACCCCAAACCCGGCTCTGCTCAGGGGGTGCGTCGTGGAAGAGTTTTACTAAGATTTACTGCTCCAGGTCCAAGACTTTCTGGAAACAAGGAGCATACTAGCCAAATGTGCCATCTTCGAGGGTTAGAAACGGTTGTGTGGGTTCACTCCCCGGGATGGCACAACCTAAGCTGGAAGCCGCGAGGAGAGGGGAGAGCTCACTGTGACCCAGGCAGACAGTCGGGGAATTTCCAGTGAAATCTTCTAGTAAGAGATGAAGAACTGTGGTTTTACACGCTGCCCTCGCACAGATCAACATGCAAAGGGTTGTAATGGCAGCAGACAGCGTCGTGTATGCTGACTGCAAAACTTACAAGGAAAATTGGAAGGATACTTTGATACCGATACAGTCACTTTATTCGGAATCTACACAGTGTTGTTTGGAATTAAGTTCTTTAGACTAAGTCGACACAGGAGTTAGCAGGCACTGAACCTGGACCAGGGGCAGCCTGGAAACCCATCTGCTTTGGTTTCAAAGTCAGTCGTTTCTTCTAAAAAACAAACTTTTTGTTCACATAAAAATTAAAGGAAAATTTTTTTGGGACTTGATTTGGTTACTGGCGAGTTTTTGAAGTGTGTTTGGGCACCGGAAGCTCCTTTTCCAGGGGGCTGCCCGGCAGACCGGCAACTGCATCAGCCAGCCCTGGGGCTGCTCACTTCTTGGGGCGCCGGGCTCCCGTTACCTATCCCCAAAGGGCTTTTTGCCTGGCCACGAGGCCTACACCGGCCAGCCAGGCGCTTCAGCTACAATTCCTTTAAATAGACCACGTGTGGCCCCAGGTGGCCGAGGGGTGCACACGACCAGCCTCCCTCTGAGGCCTGGTCCCCTCATTAAGCAAAAAGTGACGTATTTACACAGGTCTGAGGACTCCTCACCAGCTGTACCCCCGCCTCCCTCCCTCCCTGCCCCCCAGGTCTCACCCATCCTCGCCCAGCCTCCCTGCCTCTCCCTCTATTCCCATCCCCAGGACATGTCCAGCACCAGGTCTGGGCCGGGAGTGTCCTGTGTGTAGAGGGGTCTCTCGAGCCCCCTCTAAGGCTCCCCTCTCTCACCTCTGCACAGGGAGAGCCGGGGGAACTCAGAGGGAAGGAAATGCCAGGGGGGTTTCAGGCGCTGGGGCCGACTGAGGCCTGGGATTTCCCTGGCACCCAGCACCCTGCGGGGGGTCTCAGCGCCGTGGGGACACGCGAGCAGGAGGCAGAGAGGACTCGAGGAAAGCTGCTGCCGCCCGGGCCACCAGTCACCCATCCTCCCTGCAGGGAAGGTGCAGGGGTTCCCGGCTTGTGTCTGGGGGCGGCACCTGGCCGGGAACCAGGGGAGAGGAGCCTGCCCCGCCCAGCCCGGCTCCGTCCTATTTGCTCAGGACACAGGGCCTTGCATGGGGAGGAGCTGACCCCAGTTGGGGCCCGACTTCCTGGAACCACCCCTTTCCTGTCATGGGTCCCCCAATATCCTGGCTGGCCTGAAGCCTCCCAACCTCCATGCACCCCGCAACTGTCGCCGCCAAGGACAGACAAGCAGGGTCAAGGCTGGACGCGGTGCTGACCTGGCGGCTGCGGACATCAGTCTTCTCTGAAGGAGCCTCTCCCTTCTCAGTATTTGGGGTTCTCAGGCTTTAGGGTGCAGAGGCAGGGGGAGGAACCAAGTGCCTCTTCACCATCCCATCCGCTTTGAGGACATCTGTGTTCCTGGGAGGAGTCTCCCGAAATGAGTGTCCTCACGCTGGGGACTGGCCCCCACCCAGGGGAGCCCCGGGCCAGGCAGGGACCGGCCAGCCTCCCATCCCCATCAGGGCCACCAGGGGTGGGGGCTTTCGGCTGGGGAGGGCAGACTGCCAGGGTCAGGGTCAGGGCGGCCTGGCCTGAGGAGAGGGGAGGCCGAAGGGCAGGCTGCCCGGCAGGCCGGTCCGAAGTGGTGGGGAGGAGCCTGCGCTCCGGCAAGAGAGGGGCCAGGAGGTGGGAGGAGATGGGGGCTGAGCCGCTGGGGGGGCGGGAAGAGGCAGGCGGCCTGGCCAGCGGCAGCGGCTGCCGGGAAGAGCAGGCGACCCGAGGCCCGGGAGAGGAGGTGAGCGGGGCGGCTGGGGCCAGAGGAGGGCCCGGTACAAGGCTCCCGGGATGCAGTGTCTGCGTTGCGGGAGTGCGGCCCGGCCCTGTGGCCTGTCCACTGGGCATGTTTCCACATCCGTGGCCGCCTGGTGCTGAGACCACTGTGCAGGCGGAGTTCTCGGGAAGGGCCCACCCTGGGGGACCCCATGACAAGTTGGGAGGGGTCTGAAGCGTTGGGTGGGGGTGGTGACGAAGACCCCTCCAGAAAAGGCAAAGAGAGGTCGGTCTACCTGAACATGAAAGCTAAGGGTGGGGGGTGCCGAGGTGGAGCCCCCATTTCTGGGGTGAGGGGCAGGGCGGAGGTCAGCCCCAGGCGGGGGAGGGTTAAGCATCCCCCCCCTTCCCACCCATTCTGGGCCCCTCCTGCGTGTTTACGTCCTCCCAAAAATATTCAGCCTCCAGCTGGGGCCAGCCTAGGCCTGCCCCTCCCCCTCCCGCTGCAGGGCTGGGGGACAGGGGAGCCAGGGTGCTGGGTGTGGAGGGGGTAGGCAGACGAGGAGAGGCGGAGGTGGGGACACAGAGGGGCTCTGGGGCCAGTAGGCAGGTGAGGGGCTCATACACTGGTGGAGGAGAGAATGCCCAGAAAAGGGGGGCAGGCATGAGAGGGGGCAACAGGCTGCTTCCTCGACAGTTGGCAGCTCAGCACCTCCCAGCACAGGGCCAGCCTGGCCACGCAGGCCCCAGGGGAGGGGGAGGGGCAGGGCGAGGGTGCCAGGGACCAGGGGAATACCAGGACCCTCCTCCTGCCCCCACCTCTGCCAGCCTCGAGGGGACTGAGGCTGGGCACACCCTCCGGCCAGGTGACCGAGGCGCCGCCATGTGGCAGCTGCTGCTCCCGCTGGCCCTGTGGCTGGGCACCGTGGGCTGGGGCAGGGCCGAGCTCACTGCCACCCAGCGCCGGGGCCTGCAGGTGGCCCTGGAGGAATTCCACAAGCACCCGCCTGTGCAGTGGGCCTTCCGGGAGACCGGCGTGGACAGTGCCACGGACACAGTGAGTGGGGGGGCAGGAGCCTGGTACCCCTAGCAGCACACGCTGAGGCGCCACCAGCCAGGCTTCCAGGTGCTGCTTCCCACGGGGACGGGGCGCATGCAGCTGCTCTGCCCGCCCGGCGGGCTGCGATCTTCTGTCTGTCTGTCTGTCTGTCTGTCTGTGCCTGCCTGCAGCCCTTCCCAGCAGGGACTTTTGTGAGGCTGGAATTTAAGCTCCAGCAAACGAGCTGCCGAAAGAAGGACTGGAAGACGGCCGAGTGCAAAGTGAAGCCCAATGGGGTGAGTGCGTGTGCGTGGGTGCGCGCGGGGGGTAATGGGGCACACGCGTGGTGGGGATGCACGTTGTGGGGTTTGGTGTGAGACCCCCAGAAGCCTGAGCCGGAGCAGCCTGGCGTAACCCCGCAGTCTGGGCCTGTGGCTGGAGGCCTGAGGGCGGGGTGGGGCTGCTCGCACCCGCTCCTTCCAGGGGCTCTCCTTTCCCGCCCAGTTCCAGCCTCACTGATTCCCAGGGAAGAGCCCCAGGAGGGGGTCACCCGGCCTGGTGAACTCCCCACATTCTGGGTCCTGAGTGGAGGTGGCCTGCCGGGCTGGTGCATAATGGGGTTTGCCCTGATCAGCGGCCTTGTGGCAGAGCCGCCGTGGGGGGACCCTGGCCGGTGGATATAGGGGTGGATACAGCCGGTCCAGTATCTGTGACACTGTAGGTTCTCTGAGGGCCTCTTCCCTCCACCTGTTAGAGGGGAGACATTTTACAGTGATTCCCCAAACTTTCAGAGCTGGAAACTTTGTGTTCAAATCATATTTACAAGAAAAATAAATAAACAAATATGATAGACAGCATGTGGCTCAAGTCAGGTGGGGAGGGCTCTGGGGACAGGTCCAGCCCCCCCCCCACACACACGCACACTCAGACTTACACATCCGCACACACACACCTGCACACACGCACCAGGTGGGCTGCCTTCCTCAGTGTCAGGGACTGGGGTGGTGGTGGGGGGTTGTGCCTGACACCAGCTGCCCTGCACGACCCTCGTCCCTCTGCCCCGGCTGCCGGGGGACCGTCCCACCGCAGCTTGCACATCACCCCCTCCTCTCCCGACTCCTGCTCCCCTCCCCAGAGGAAGCGGAAGTGCCTGGCATGCATCAAACTGGACCCCGAGGATAAAGTCCTGGGCCGCATGGTCCACTGTCCCATGCAGACGCAGGTCCGACGGGTAAGGGTGGGCAGCGGAGGCAGCAGAGGTTGGGGGGCTGGTAAGATGGACAGAAGCGGGAGATGTGGGGAGCAGGGGCCTGGACAGAGGAGCGAGGCGGGGCTCTAGGGCCCGTGGAGGTGGGTGTACCTGCCGTGCACCTGGGAACTGCCTGTCCTCCCAGCACTGCTGCGTGGGGGGTTCCCCGTGGGAGGGAGGGTGCCTGGCGCCAGGGCCTGAGCAGCTGCTCTGGCAGGAGCAAGAGGAGCGCCTGGAGGCCCAGTGCATCCGGGTGGAGCGGGCCGGCGAGGACCCTCACAGCTTCTACTTCCCCGGACAATTTGCCTTCTCCAAGGCACTGCCCCCCAGCTGAGCCTGACAGGTGGGCGCCCAGGGGAGGGGCGGCTGGGAGGGGGCTTGGGTGAAGAGCAGCTAGTGCGAGGCTGGGTGGAGGATGGATTTGGGGCACAGAGGGAAAGCTGGGATGGGACCATGACAGCCCCTCACCCCCAAATCTGTTTTTCCCCTTTCCTCTAGAATCCCTTCCCGCTTTCCGGGCAGCTGGGGGGAACCAGTGAGGAAGGCCTCCCTCTGCTGCACCCCGAGGGCCCCGAGGGCCAACCCACCCCTGCACCAATAAAATCGCATTCTCACCTCCCCCGCCTCCCTCACCTGCTTGGCTCAGGCCCCTGCAAGGCCTGTCTCCCCGGGCAGGAGGCCAGCGGGGGTGGGCGAAATGACAGGCAGATGAGCCGAAGATTTGACAGGACAGGACTGAGCCAAAGATTTAATAGGGACTCGTGGGGATGGGGATGGGCGATGCAGGCGCCGGGATGGGGCCTGGTGGACAGGGTCTGGGGTCTGCAGCAGCTTCCGGCTCCTGCGCTCTGCCCACCATTTGCCTTAGAAAAAGCAACGTCCTCCTGAGTCTCAGACCTGAGCAGCCAGGAGTGGGCGTGTGACCCAGCCTGGGCACTTGTGGGGGTGGGTGGGTAGGATATTAGGGGATGTCCTGGACGTGGTGGAAGCAGGTGAGCATGAGGGAGGGGCTGCTCCAAGGACAGAGGAAGGGTTGGCTTGCAAGGCTACTGACTAGTGACAAGCCGAGGTGGGGGGGGGGGGGTCGGAGTGGAGGGGCAAAGCAGGTGGCACCGCTGCCCTGATCCAGTACCAGGCTACATTCAGAAGACGAAGGACGAGGTGGTGCCAGCAGGGTTGAGCGCCTGCTCGGCCTGGGCCAGGCTGTCATGGGCCTGGCGGTCCAGGTCGCGGCACTCCTGCAGCGTGGCCTGGAACTGCCGGCAGGCCTCCTCCAGGATGGAGCTGCTGCGGGCCGGCCAGGACTCCCAGTACCCAGGCTCCACCCAGGGCTGGGCCTCGGCGGCCCCAGGGCCCAGGCTGGTGCTGGGGCGCAGGCAGCGGTCCAGGTCCCGGCAGAGCTGGTAGAACTCGCTGCCACGGCCAGTCACACGCTCGCCATCGATGACCTTCAGACCTGGCAGTAGCTCGCGAACCGCTGCCCAGTAGGCGGGGCTCGCACAGAGCGGGTTGCTGAGCCGGGCCAGCGGGTCCCGGAGCCGCAGGTGCTCGAGGCCCCGCAGGCCGGCCAGGCACTGCAGCTGGCCCGGGCTGGCCAGCAGGTTGCCCGCGGCGTTGAGGCTCCGCAGGTTCTCGCAGGCGGCCAGCGGCTCCAGCCCCGTCAGCTGGTTGTCCGCGACGTTGAGCACGGCCAGCTGGCGCAAGGAGGCCAGCGGGCCCAGCTGGGTGAGGGCGTTGCCAGACAGGTCCAGCCACTCGAGGCCTAGGCACTCCCCCAGGCAGCCCAGGTCCACCAGCCCCAGGCCGCGCAGCTTCAGCAGCAGGATGGACTCCAGGGAGAACTCGCCTGAGCGCGCCTTGAGCAGCTGGGGTGTGAGCCGCACCCCGTCCGCCTCGCCGGGCTTCTCACCCTGGGGCTCCATGGGACGGGCCGGCCGGGTGGCCCAGGCCCCCACTGTTCTGCCGTGGGGACGCGGGGTCCCTGGAGTCAGATGGCTGCTCACCCTGACAAGGCACCACTGACTGCAGGGGCCAGTGCCGAGGCCACAGGTCCCTAAGGAGAGAATTCAACAGTCAGAGGCCGACCTCCCGCAGCTGCTCCCTTGGGGTCGGGGATCTAGACCGGCCAGTAAGCCCTGAGGACCCACGTCCACGTGCAGGCGGCCAGAGCCCCCCAACAGGGAGCGGGGCCAGGCATCCAGCCACACTGGAGGGAATTCACGTCCAAGTGGCCAATTCCATCTTCCAAACTGACGTGAGAAGCAAAACCTTACGTCCATCTCCGCGATGACTTGTGATCTGTCCTTACTGCTGTTCAGCGTTTCTTTTACAAACATTTAAGTTCTGCTTGAACAGATAACAGGTCACCGCGTTAGCCACCGGCCTCCTTCCCGGGAGGGCCCTGTGCAGGCACCAACTCGCTTTAGTCACTTGAAAATGTTCCTGACTTTTTTAAAAAAAAACACTGGCAATGAACGCCCAGGTTTCCAGGGGCTGCAGCTGGGTGGGTGGCCCGGGGGCTCAGCCTGGGGTCCTAGCCGAGCAACCTGAGGTTCAGGGCGGGAAGGGAAAGTGGAGCCCTGAGGCGTGAGAGGCAGTGCTGCCAGAGCCCGCGCGGCACGCACAGAACCAATGCTGCACGGCGGCATCGAGAAGTCTGGACGGCCAGCTCCATGGGACTAGCCGGCCGAGGCAGAGAGGCTCCGAGTCCCGTGGCCGTGGGGCAGTGCTGGCCCAGGTGCGGCTGCCAGACCTGACAGGAAGCAGCCCCGGGTGCAGGGAGCTGGCCAAGCCGCCAAGAGCCAGGGTTTAAGCAGGGGGCACCGTACCCCTTGGGGAGGCAGGGAAGGCCTCCAGGATCCCCTCCGTGGCCTGCCAAGCGGAAGTGGGCCCTGAAGGCCTTGTCCTACCTCCACCTGCCGTCCCTGTGGGCCGTGTCTCCCGGTCACTCAGGGGGACCAAGACACTAGTTTTGCGGCGTGAGGGGCCAGCTCTGAATTCCAGTGTCTTCTTCCTGCCTGGCCCCCGAGGCCCTGGGTGCCCTGCACAGGCTCCGCACTCTAGCCCACGGGCACTGCGGCACCCTCCTGGGACCAGTAACCTGAGTTCTTTCTGAGGCTCCAGTAGTCAGCCCAGTCACTAACGATGGGGTACCTCAGCTCCCCACCACTCCTTGTGAGCTGCGCAGCCCCCTCCGTCAGGCCTCTGGTCACTGTGGGACCCACGCAAGGTACTAGCCTGGAGAAGACGGGTCTGTGTGTGCAGCCGTGCGCACAAGCGTGTGCATTTGCTGACTTTCACTCTCCACTGCTGGAAGGAAGGGCTTGGCCCTGACAGCCGTGTCCACCTCCACCTGGGGTCCACTCCCCCCTTGCCCGGGGCCCTCGGAGAAGGCAGACCTCTTCAGGGTACGCACCTCCGACCCACATGGAAAATGGCACGCAAGCCCCCAACACCCAATGTCACAGGAACCTCGCGGGTCACAAGCCCCACGTAGCCGGTCACCCGCAAGCGGAGGGCCTCTGCCAGGCTCGAGCGGCAGAGCACAGCCGAGGCGGGTAGGAAATGACATCCCCCTAAAAGCAGAACGGCGGGGCGACGAGAAGTGAGATGCTCCCCCCACAAGCACTGCTTTTCCTGCCGTCAGCTCCTGCTGGCCGCTTTGAGGGCTCAGGCCTGAGGTCAGACTCCCCCGTCTACACCGCCCTCCCCCCAGCCAGGTCCCCACTGGGGCAGATGAGGGGCAGGGGGGTGTAGCTGGGGAAGTTCTCCAGGTTGGTCTTCAAGAACAGGAGGTGCTCCACCGTCTCCACGGGGAGGGGGGCGCTGTGCTCCTGGATGGCGGGACTGTCCAGGGCAGCCAGGACATTCCTGGAGAAGGCACCCGTGGGGGGGCAGGACAGGTAGAGGGTGGCCAGCTGGGCCAGGGCAGGCCAGACGTCCCGCCGCTTCTCCCAGTAAGCCAGGGGGTCCTCCTGCGCCCCAACCGTCACGTCCTCAAGCAGGTAGTCCTTGACCATGATGCTGGCTGGGTGGTCCTCAGTGGACAGCGAGGCTTCGCTCCTCTTGGACGCCAGCAGCCCCACACTCTCCAGCTGCTCCAGCAAGCTTCTCCTCTTCTGGCCTTGCAGCAAAGAGCTGCTAGGCACCAGCTCCAGGCCCCTTCCCTCGGCCTGGTGACTGCTGGCTGTTCCGCCACCCAGCCCCAGGGCACCAGGGCTCTGCAGGGGAGGAACGATGGGCAGAGGGGAGGTGGCCACCATGATCTCCTTCACCTTGTACACCAGGACGTGCTTCCAGTGGTCGATGTCCGACCCCGCGGGCAGGATGGCACTCATCTTCCCCTTGAAGCGGGGGTCCAGCAGAGTGGCCAGCACCAGCTCCTCGCGGTAGAAGAGCTCAGTGAGCTGGGGGTCAGTGGACAGCTGCAGGGCCAGCCCCTCCGTCAGCCGGATGGCGGCCCCCATGGCCCCGCCGCCCTGCTCCTCAAAGTGCCTGCGCACCTGCTCCAGGAAGATGTGCAGGTAGCGCAACTGGGGCAGCACCTGGCTCAGAGAGGCCTGCACCACACTCGACTCCTGCACTGCCACCCGGAAGGGCTGCAGCAGCCTGACCAGCCCACTCGCCAGGCTCCAAAAGGAAGCCGACAGGGCCGCGCCCCCCTTGTCGGGCCACTGCTGTTCCTCGTACGCCTTCAGAGGCTGCTGCTGCTCCACCAGCCACTCCAGCAGGCGGTGGGTGGACAGCCAGTGCTCGGAGAGCTCCCCGAAGGGCTGGGCGGCCGGGAGGCCACACTGCCGCTGCAGCTGGGCCAGGAGCCCCCGGGCCTCCACGGAGCCCTGGAAGTGGCGGCAGATAGCCTGCGCCGTGCCCAGGATGATCTGGACGCTGTGATGGTGACACAGGAAGCTTTTGACCAGCGCGTCCAGGCAGTGGGCGAAGCAAGGGATGAGGGTGTAGCCCTCGGTCTTCATGGCCTGCTCCAAGCTAGGGCAGCCGCCCGACACCAGGAAGCCGGGCTGGAGGGAGCCGCGGCCCAGCCACAGCCCCACCTGCTCCCGCAGCTCCCGCGGCCGGTCCTCCGCAGTGTGCGCCAGGGGCAGGCCCTGGACCCACAGCACCGCACGCTGCCTGGGGCGCCCGGACCCCACCTGCTGGCTGCCGGGCTGGATGGCTCCCCAGTGGGCGGTGACGGCCATGTAGTCCTCTCCCGCGGCCACGGCCACGGCCACGGTGAGGTGCAGCCGGCCGCCCTCGGCCCAGGGCAGCGCCTGCAGCACCTGCTCGCTCACGGCCTCGCGCAGCAGCGGCAAGGCCTTGTCGGAGAAGAAGGCTGGCGGCGGCAGGTGGTAGCAGGGGTCGACCTGGGCCATGAACCTCCGGAAGGGTGGGGAGGCGAGGAAGGGCAGCGGCAGCGCCAGGCTGCACAGCAGCTCCGCGATGCTCTGGTTCCAGGCCCGCGCCCGGGGCTGGTTGGGGGCGTAGCTGTCTCCCTGGTCCCCCCCGACTGCCGCGGGGGAAGGGGCAGCCTCATCTCCCGCAGGGGGCAGTAGAGGCAGTGGAGCCAGGGCCAGCTGCCCAGGCCTGCCCGCGGCCAGCTGCCCGGCGCAGTCTTCCCAGGGCGAGGCACCCGGGCAGTGTCCGGGGCACGGGAGTCCCTCGGGAGCAAGGGTGGCAGCACCCGGGGAACAGCCCTTCCGCTTTCCCTCCGCTGCCCACCCTGGGTGGCCTGCACCTGGCCTTCTCTCCTTCCTCCGCTTGCCTGACAAGGGCCGGACGAGGCCTGGTGTCTGGCCCTGCCTGAGGCTGGCGGGAGCCGGGGGCCAGGCGTCCTCGCTCTTGACCACCAACTTGGGTGCTGTGCCGGTGGTGTCCAAGGGGCCCAGGGGAGGCCCAGGAGGAGCCTTCGCCTTGATGGTCCTGGCCCGCTTCTTCCTGCCGGGCGCCTTCTGCAGGCTCAGCAGGAGCTCCGACTCCCCCACCCCGGGGAGCAGCTGCCTTTTCTTCCACTTCTTGAGGCACCGCAGCTCCCTCGTCAGGTGGGTGATGAGGATGTCCACGCGCCTCACCTTCTCGCTCTCACTGGGCGGTTCCACCTCCGCCCTGGGTGAGCCGATATCAGGGACCAGTTCGGGGACAGAGGGGACCTGGCCAGAGACAAGCTCAGGGTCCCTCCGCCTCTTCCTCGCCGGCTCCCCCTTCCCTCTCTGTCCACGCGCCTTCTGCTTGGACACCTCCTCAGGCTGCTCAGACTGCAGGCTGCAGCGCCTGCAATCTCCCTTCGGCTTGCAATGCCCAGGGCTGGCCTGGCGCTGTGCCGGGGGTGCCACTGGGCACACGCTGGACCTCCCCCGGGAGCAGGCCTTTCTCTTCCCCCTGCAGCCCGGCAGGCCCAGGGCACCTGCTCCCTGCTCCTCCAGGAGAGCCCGAGCAGGTGATGGGCCTGCCCAGCTGCTGCTCTGCAGGGATGGAGCCCTCTCACTCCGCTTTCGGGAGCCAGGGGGTCTGACCCTCCTCCTGTGGTCACTGCCGGCCTTCTCCTTTAAGTCTGCACACTTGGGGGTGCCCTCAGTCTCCGGCAGGCCACCCCTGGCGCATCCGCGATAGGTGTTTGTGGCTCTGGTGGTGAACCTGGAGTCGAGAGGCGCCAGGGAGGCAGCTGGGCTCTTGGGTCTGGACCGAGGGGATTCAGCACACACGGGGGGCTCCTGTCCTGTGCCCCCTGAGGATACACGTCTTTTGGGGGGCTTTCTGAGTTTTTCTGTTTCCAACATGCTTGGGAACTTGGGGAATGAGGAGATGGGCCCAAGCTGCAAGGCAAGATGAAAAGAATCGCTCTTAGCTGCTCCCAGCTCCGGGAGGAGAGAAGGTGAGGCCAGGGAGAGAGAAAGCCGCAGCCTAGCAAGCGACGCGACCAGCCCTGAACAGAACTCGCAGGGCCTCCACCCCGGAAGCTGCGCTCTGTCCTCCCAGACCAGAGACCCCCGCACAGCGGCCGTTCCTAAGCCCGCCTATTCGCCAAACTCAGTTTCCTTTTTTCCTTCCATGTTGACCGAGAACCCGCCGGCACTTGGCAACTCCCCAGCGTGCCGTGGACGCGGCACAGAGCAGGCGCAGCCCCGCACACACGAGCTGGGATGTGTGGCGCCAGGGCTGCGGCGCAGAACCGGGGAGTCCCGTCTGCAGACCACCCCGCAGAGCTCCAGAGAGGCCAGCAGCCGATGGTGCCTGAGCTCCAGCCCTGCCCAGGCCCCGGGCTCTGCCCTAGAGGTCAGCCTCCGCCAGCAGACACAGGGGGGCTGCTTGGTGACGCCGACCTTGGGCCTCTGGTGTCCCCACTCTCCCTTCTGTCAGGAAGACTCTAGAAGGGTTGCTTAGACTTTCTCACCTCCACTTCCCCTTGGAACGCCCTCCTCTGTGGCTCCAGCCTGCCCCACCCTGCACCCCACTGCATCAGGAGCACCCACTGCATCCTCCGCTGGGTCCTCTCTCCCCTGACTCCTCAGTTCCTTCTCTTCTCTCTCTTCCTTAGTCTGTCCCATAAAAGTGACATTTTGGGGTTCCCCACAGGCCCGCCCTCCCAGGGCTCTCCTCAGGCTTCTCCCCTGCTCAGTCAGGATGCATGGGCACAGACCGAACCTGGCCTTTGCCTGACCCTCACCCCTCAGTTGTCTTCCCGGTGACCAGGCTGCACGCCGCGCTCATGAGGGACAAGCAGCCGGAGAGAGACACGCAAAGGAAACAGGCAGGGAAAGCCAGTGAGGATGTCTCCCCGAGAAAGCAAAGCTCTGGAGGTCAAAGAGGTGATGCTCCTGCCACACACCAGGCTGTGCCCACCCGTCCCCTGCAGCAGGCCGAGATGTAGGGGCACAGGAACCCTCACACCCTGCCCGACATCGGGATGCTGAACCGCTCGACAGGTGACCGCCCCCAGGTGGCGCCAGTGAGACCCCGCCCCAGCAAGTGTGGGCGACACAGAGGGCGCCTGCAGCCGGGGCACCATCACCCCTCGCCCAGGAACGCAGCCTCACCACTGCACCCAGTTCGGGGAGCCGATGGGAGGTGAGGTGGGGGGGAGGGGCCAAACTAGGGTGCACATGAAGGCACAGAAGTGCTCGCAGGGGCCAGACCAAGGGCACTCACCTCAGCTCCTATTTTATGAATGAAGAAATGGACGCCGGGGTGGGGCCGAAGGTCCACGCAGGGCACACGTGGGCTCGTGGCGCTACCAACAAGAACGCAGAATAGGACGCTGAACCAGGCGGAGGGCCTGTCTGGGGACTGCAGCCTGGGTCACCCCCCAAAACCTGCCTCCGAGGCCCACCAGGAGCCCAAGACAGCCCGGCTCTGCCCCCACGGGCCTCACCCCCTCAGCATGTCTGCGTTCTGCAGCCTCCAGAACCCTCGACCTCCTAATAACAAAATGCCGCCAGCTCACCCCACCAGCCAGTGCTGCCCGCGGAAGGCCTGAACACAGAGCGCCTGGACCTGCTGGCTGGCACCTGGGGCTCCGGGCACCGGCCAGGCCAGCGCTGTGGGGGCTGCAGAGGCCCGGGCTTCCCGGAGCTGGAGATCTGAGCACAGACTTTACCTGAGGCGGGGCCCTGGCTCCTCAAGGCCGCGCAGTGGGGAGGCCGGGGTCTGGAGATCTCCCTGCACAGAAACGCCGCCCTCCCTCCACGGAGCACTCGGCAGGCTGGAGCTGTGGAGAGTGGACCCTGAGTCTGAGTGAATCTGAGGCGTCACACTAAGAAGGACAACGGCCACCACCCCAGCGCGCTGCTTATTGCAAGCTACTGGCGACCCTCGCCGCCACATTTGAGAGAGACAGTGAGGACGGCTGCCCCGAGCGGGCGCAGCAGCAGCACTGCCCAGGAAGCTGGAGGGCGCCGGGGAAGCTGCTCAGGAGGAGGTGGGAGGAAGGGCCGGAGGGAGTCCGGGGCCATCCCACTTCCCGTGCAGTCCGGTTTGGGGTACACGGATCTGAGGGTCTCCTGGAGCCACGTGGCTCAGGGGCCAGAGATCTGAGCCAAAGGCACAGGCTCGTGAAGTCTCCATAGAGACAGGGGTGAGCACAGAGGCGGGGAGGAGCTGCTCGGGGAGACCGACCAGCCAAGGAGACACGGGGAGACCTAAAGTGATAAACCTCAAGTTAGAGAAACCAAGGAAAACTTTCCCGAAAGGCTAGACAGGGTCATAGTTCAGTGGATGAGAAGGCATTAAAGTGGGAGAAGCAGGTGGTCCCAAGGCTGGAGGGGCCGGGAGGGGCCTCTGAACAGAAGAGGCGCCCTGGAGGGGCCGGAGCTAATTGGTGGGAGAGGGGACGAGGGGACGAGCAGAGCTTCGGAGCCCAGGGTCCCAGGGCTCAGCTGCCGGGTGGGGTGTCCGTGGAGACAAGAATCATCTCTTTTTCTGATAGGGCCAAGAAGGGACAGACCCGAGGCCCTGCAGGCCCCGGAGCCTCGGTCCCCAGGGGCTGCGCCTGCTGGCTGAGGCTGAGCTGGGGGGGGGGCCCTCGGGACCAAACCTTTCCCCAGCCCGCAGGAAGGGGCCACTTCTTTCTCCTGTGCCTGCCTCGCCCAGGGACCCGCCAGAGGCAGCCCCGCCCGGGTATTCCCAGCACCGTTGCTAGTCCCCTCCCTGCTTTCACGCTGCCCAGTCCCGCCGGCGCCCTCTTCTCTCAGCTCCTGCACGGGGGAGCAGGGAAGCATCTATCCCCCGGACCACTGTTGGGTCCCCGAGTCCTGGGCCTCCCACCTGCCCCTCAGCACCACAAGCCCCTGTCTCCAGGCACGGAGGTGAAGAAAAGGCGGGCGGAGAGGGCTGGGTCCATGCAAGAGGGAACCAGACCACCACGGCGCGCGAAAACCTGGCTGCCCACAGCCCTAAGCGAGCGGCTTTACTTCTTGATGTGGAAGTAACGCAGTCTCGCCGCGGGCGCCCCGCGGAGGCCCGGGCGGCCGGGGCTTCTCCCCTCAGGCGCGGTCGTTCCCCCCAACCCGGGCCCGTCCTCCGCGCCGTCCAGGGCGCTCCCCCCCGCCCCAGCCCGGGAATGTTTGAAATCACAGGCGTGCACCCCTAGATTGCACATCATGCACAAGTGGCGTCGCGTGCGCTCTGCTTCCCCCGCACACCGGCCCAAGCCCCGCCTCCCCGCGCCCAGGCTCTGCACCGACGAGCGCGCAGCGGAGCGGGTCTGCGCGGCCCAGGCGCGCTGCTCCCGCCGGCGGCGCCCACGGCCCGCGCGCCTGCACCCCCGCGCCCCCCGGACAACGGCCCCGCGCGCCCCCGCGCCCCCCCGGGCAACGGCCCCGCGCGCCCCCCGGGCAACGGCCCCGCGCGCCCCCCGCGCCCCCTGGACAACGGCCCCGCGCGCCCCCCCGGGCAACGGCCCCGCGCGCCCCCCGCGCTCCCCCGGGCAACGGCCCGCGCGCCCCCCGCACCGCGAAGGGGGCTCGGGCGGCGGGCCGGGGCTCGGGGGCTGGGGGGCTCCAGCGCCGGCCCCGCGCCCCTCCCCTGCTCACCTGCGGCCGGCGGCGGGCAGGTCCCGGCGCGGCGGCGGGAGCCCCGGGCTGCGCCAAGGGCCGAGGCCGGGGGCGCGGCTCGGGAAGGCCGGCTCGGGGGGACCCCCGCGCCACCCCGCCCGGTGGTTCCGTCCGCCCGGCCGGCCGGAAGCGGAAGTCGCGCGCCTGCTGGCCGGAAGCCGCGGCGCCCTGGGGGCTCCGTCCCGGGAGGGGCGCGGGGGGCGCCTGCACCGCGCCCCCGCCCGCCCAGGCCTTGCGCCTCGGCTCCGCGCCGGGGCATCGGCCGCGCGATCGTGACCCAGAAGTCGGGTCTCCCCCGCCTGGAAGGCTCCCCCAGCTCTTCAGGAAGCCCAGCAGGTGTCTCCAGGGCATCCTCCCCCCCCCGCCCGAGGGGCTTTCCCACAGCCCAAGGGACAGCTGTGCCCACGTCCACCAGTGCGCGCAGCCACCCCCGCCCCCCAAACTGCAAGCTGTCCAGGGCCGGGAGAACGCCTCTCGCTTCCACGTTGGTCCCACCTGGGCAGCAGTGCCCAACTCCTGGCTCACAGCCCCCTGGGCTTCTCTCCAAGTCAGGCCAGGCAAATTCAAGGCGAGAGGCTGGGCGTGCCGCGGCCTGGGGCCGTCCTCCCTACTCCACCCAGGAGTGGGTCTCAGCTTCTCCCTCTCCTTCCAGCACCTGGTCCTATGACTAGCCCGTTAGTCAGCTGTTAGGTGGGTAACTAGTCCTCAGCCAGGAGCAGGGGTCTACTGGTGGCAACTACGGTGGCAAACTGAGGCTGCCCCCAGCTCCCAGGGTTCATTTGGTGGGTAGAGGTCAGGGGTGCCGCTCAGCTTCACACCCCCCCACACCCATGCCCCACCCCTACATAAGATAACAGCCCTCAAGCCCCTCCCCCCCATGGACAGGACAGCACCCCTTGCCCCTAGCACCCAGCCCACAGTGCAGGTGGTGCCCAGGACCGGATGCCCATCCTAGGGGCTCTCCGCTGCCCCAGAATTCTTGGCGAAACTTGTTTAAAATGCAAGGTCTTGAGTCCTGTCTGTGACATTCTAAGCAGGCAGCAATTGAGGAAGACCCAGAAATCTGCATTCCAGGTCATTCCGCAGAGGGGGTCCATAGCCCCCCTGAGAAATACCACATGATTCCAGAACGCTGGTCCTCAGACCTGAGGGGCCTGCTGACCAGAGAGCCACGGGGGTGCTTGCATCTGGGGTCCCCGCTCCATCCTGGGACACTGTTGGGACAGACCCAGCTGCAGCCCCAGCCAGGTTCTTCAGGTTTGTTCTGTTCTGGACGTTTCTGTGTAAGCTGTTAACAGAGTGGGGTCGGAGAGCGCCCAGGCTTTGGTCACGTGGCCTCATTTTTCTGGTGTCACAAGTCAACCAAAACTGGGGTGGCTGCCCACTGGCTTTGTGACTAAGAACCCCAAGGTTTATGAGGAAGGTCACTTGCACACGCGAATGTGGAGGTTCTCAGGAACAATGGTCACGGCTCCCGCTCAGTCACCTGTCACCTCAGCACTGGGGGCTGAAGCCAAAGGCCTCCAGGTGGAGGCCCCTGGAGGGCGGCGTAGGTGAGGATCCATAGCCCCAGGCGAAATGCGAACAAAGTATGGTGGGGGGGTGGGGACTCGGGTAAGAAATATAAGGGACAGCAGAAGCAGCCCCCGGGATTCCGTGCGCGGGAGGTGGCTTTTCCGGATCTTTAGTGATTGGGGGCAGCCATTCCCGCCCCCACCGCGCCGATCTGCTGATGCCTCTGAAGGACGCGGAGAGGCTTCCTCAGAGAGGAAACGTTTGGGGGCTTTGCAGGTGGCCGAGCGACCGAAACCGCTCCCGGCTTTCTGCGGTCGCGGCGGCGGGGAAGGCAAAGCGGCGAGTGTGGCCGCCTGCCAGGTGGTTCGGCCGCTGCAGCTGCTGTTTCCAGGGCCCGCGGTGCTGCGCTGGGGCGTCTCCTGCTGTTTTCCCTGCGATGAGGAGTTGGATCCCGGCCTGCAGCCTGCCTGCCACGTGCTCCAGGTCCTCAGGGGCGGGAAGACGCCGTCCTGGGAGCCTTTGTGTCGGGGACCCGGCTTCGGTGAGGTAAACGGCCTCTCGTGGCCTCGGTGACTCTTTGTCTTTCCTTGTTTGTTAAATAAATCCCTTAATTGCTGCTCTCTGAACCCGAGTGGTCTTGCAAGTGTGTGCAGGGGTAAGGAGCCCAGTGACTGGTAGAGTGTTTGGGGACTGCCCTTAGCCAGTTTTAGCGCCCCTTGCCGCCCCGTGTCATCCACGACCCTGTTCTGTTCAAAATCCACCCCGGGGTCTTGCTCAGGGGTCTCATCAGGGAGGGGCGGCCTTGTAGCCTAAAGTCCCTCCTGTCCCCGTGGAGAATCTTGGCTTGGGGTGCTCGTGCCAGGCCGGGGTGTGGAGGTGAAGATGATGGAGGAAAAGAAAACGTGAAGAGGGGCATCGCTGGACCAGAACCTGACTCGTGAAGGGGGGCAGGGAGGATTAACAGCCATTAGCCCCTGCAGGAACTGAGCTCCTGGGGCGCCAGCACCTGCCTGACAAAGCATCTCTGTGGAGAGGGTCCGAGCCCAGGCCTGAGGTAAAGATATGGAGATTGAGGCCTTAGTAGGACCTGGGGCCCCTTTCAAATTCTACATAGTTATTCAAAGTCCACAACAAACCCCTCCAGGAAGGAGTGAGGCCCTCCCAGAGAGACGCCTGTATCCTAGTCTCTGCCCTGGCTGGGGGCGCGGCCACCTGCCCACCCGTGACCTGTGCCACCCCGACTTCTCTGCACTGAGCCCTCAGCAGAGGCCGCTCCGGCGACCACCTGTCCCTGTCCGGCGGCCCTTCCCGCCCGCTGGCATCGTGCCAGTGGCCTTTACTCTCCCTTTTGTAGTTAACGTGCCCTTTTGGATACAACTAACGTCTCTGTGTGGTGGAGAAACTCTCCACGCGCTGGAGGGGGAGCTCAGCGTTTCCCAGAGTGGACCCAAGCACCCCACTGAACCCAACAACCCGAAAATCGCCATCATGTAGGCACCTTTGCTGGGGAGCGGGGCGCAGCCTGGGGTTGGCAGGAAGCCTGAGCTCTTTGTCCGTCTCCCCAGCAGCGCCTGCACCCTGGTAACTGCCACAAACACGAGCCCTGGCTCCAGGGTACGGTGTCGTCTGGGGAACCGGCTCCCGCATTTCGCGGCTCCCTGGCCGCGCCCCGACGGACTGTGGATCTCTCGGGCGGGGGCGCCCCCTGCCGGCCGCCCTCTGCGTGTGCAGCTCAGCTGCCCGGGTGGCCTGGGGTCCTCTCCAGGGCGGGTCCCTCCCCGGGGTGGCCTCCCGGCTGCTTCCGGCTCAGTCCCGGGCCAAGGTCCAGGCTCGGAGGCTCCCGCTCTCGGCCACGTCCCTTCTGGGGAACTTCACCTTCGCGAAGGTTCTCGAGGGCGCGGGTCTGAGGCTGCCGTCACCAACCCGCCTCCCGCCCTGGGGAGGGGAGAATCTCGCTGGAAGCCAAGAACTCCTCGGAGCTCCACGGCCCACCTGTGACTGCTGTGCCCTGGGGCTCATTTCGGGCTTTTCTCACTCAGAACCGCTGCACCCAGCCAAGATGCCCATGGCCTCAGGGGCTATCGTTGTCGCTGGACATCTCCCCAGCCAGCAGCAGCCCCAGGGCAGGGACCCCCCCAGTGAGTGGCCTGGCATCTGGGCTGCACCCAGGGGTCTGCAGGCGCCCACCTCTCCCCTGGTAACACGCTGCTCCCCACCAGCTCCCAACTGCACCTCCACCAGCCCCCATCCTCATCACCGCTCTCATCTGGGCCCTCCTAACAGGTTTCTGTCCACCACCCACCCAGCAGAGATCATTCTAGAAATCCAACAGGGTCATGTTGCTCCCCTGCTCTCAAACCTGCCACAGCTCCGAGTGGCCCTCTGGGCTGGTCCAAGGGCCTCTGCCAGTTCGGTCTTGGTGATCTGCTCCCCACTCACTGCCTGTGTTCCTCCCCTGCCCTCAATTCCTGTGTCTCCTGCAGAGAGCGGGACCCCTGACCTTGGCTTGGGATTTCCTCTGCTCACCACCCCCACCGATGCCCTGTGTCAGGAGCAGACAGATTAAGGCTCCTGGCTTCATCGATGGCACAGACCAGGAGCTGTGCTCTAAAACCTGGGGTGCAGGCTGGTGGTGGTCAGGGCCCCGCCCTCCTCCTGCAGGCCCGATCTGGGCAGAATCTGGACAGCCACACCACCCCTCAGGCCAGCGTCCACACCCCGGAGCCACATCTGCCTCCTTTGCTCCCAGCCCCCTCTCCTGGGCTGAGGAAATGGAAATCGGTGGGCAGGGGCGGCCGCCAGCGATGGAGGCCTCAGCCAGTCGCTGCCACCATAATCCTGCCACTAGTTGGCCATAGGTTCGTTGCTAGACACAGATGGGGTCTCCAGTACAAGCACCCCCACCCCACTAGACACAGATGGGGTCTCCAGTACAAGCACCCCCACCCCGGCAGGTCAGGGCAGGGAGGGAGGTTGAAAGGCGGAGGTATCAACAGGAGGCCCCCAGCTGAGCTCTGAGCAACAGGCCAAGCCCAGAGCTGAGAAACCCCAGTGGGACCATCTCATACCCAGCCATCCCCATGCCCAGAGATGCCCTTGAAGAGGGGCACACAGCGGAGTGGGAGGGGCTGGACCACAGGGGTCATGAGCTCTGAGGCCACAGCCAAGGCTCTGAGGGCTCAGCTGAGGCTCTCCCGGGAGAAGCGAGGGCAAGGGCTGGGGTCCCTGGGTTACCCCAGTTTGACCGTGCTCAGCCCAGCCTGTTCCGGAAGCGCCAAGGTGCTGCCCCCCCAACACCCATCCCATCTGTCCCCCATCTGTCGTCCTGCCTCCAAGTGACTTAGCGGCTGAGGAGGGGCCAAGTCCAGGCCTGGGGCAAGAAGGGGAAGAAGGTGGCCCGAATATTCTGAGGCGACACAGGTTTCCGCGCAAGCCAAGCCACAAAGGATGCCAAGCACACGGGGTACACTCTGGACCCAAATCACTCTGTTGCTTTTGTGCATCCGAATGTCCTTCCACTACTTCAGCAGTCTGAGAAACTTCACATCTCAGCGTGTCAGAAAATAACAGAACTCCACGCCAGGACTGGGCGGGGCGTGACCCCGCTCCCATCAGTCCCTCCATCTCTCAGGTCGGGGAGCCCTCAGAGGCAGAGCTGCTTCTGGGGGTCACATAGCAGGTGGCAGCGGGCGTCCTGGGCTGGGCGCCCCTTCCTCACGGGACACAGGGCCTCCCCTGGGCTTTCTGTGAAAGGACTCGGGCGGGGCCGGTTCCACATGCGAGGGGCCCTAGGAGTTCCGAGCTGGGGCGTCCTGGGCGGAACTGGCTAAGGAAGGCGGTACCGCCACAACCAGGCAGGCCCCGGTGAGGGGGCGCAGAGGGACCGGGACACAGCTTCGGGGGTTGGGGTGCAGGGACGAAGGGGTCATCAGGGACGATAGAGCCAAGACCATCCAGAGCTGGGCACCTGAAAAGCACACACACGAAGGGGTCACCCTCTTGCTGTGGGCTCCCTCAACCCCCCAGTCCTGGAGAGCCCCTCTCCCCGCCTCTGCCTGTCTTATCTCAACCCTCCCTCTGTCCAGCTAGCGTGGCCTGCGCCTGTGCCCAGCACCCACCCCAGAACTGATCCCCCACCCCCACCCAAGGGCCTGCAAACCCACACATCCCAGGGCCCTGATGGCACCCCAAAGGCCGCGGCTCCCTTGCTCCTTGGCCTGGGTCCGCCGAGGGCAGCAGGTGCACGCCACGTGGCTTTCTCTCAGGAAACGAATGCTAGCCTCTCAATGCGAGCCCCCCTCTCCCCACTCCCCTGTACCAGGCCTGCTCCCCCCCAGGGCGTGACCCCAGTACCTGGAGCCAGCAGCAGCAGCGGTCACTCCCACAGGAACCGCACGTACCAGATGGTCTCATTCTTCAGCTGCGGCCCAAACAGGGGGTTCAGCTGAGCCAGGATGGCGATGAGCCAGCTGCCAGGGACAGAACAGTGAGGTGAGCCGAGACAGGACGGCCACTGCCGGGAGGGAAGGGTCTCGGGGCCACCCCTGCACCCACGGGCATACGGGCTCCGCCTGGGGTGTGTGGGCTTTGGTTTAGCTTTGGTTTGACTTTTTTGTAGGTTTTTCAGTCCCTGAGTTGGGGCTGGACCCTGGGATGGGGGAGAAGTAAGATGGCCTCCAGGGGAGCAGCACCCAGCTATGCCCCAAGAGAGTGCTGGTCTGGGCACCCCAGCGGGCAGCTGGGAGTGGGACAGGGCTGGTCTGATGGGAGACAAGTCAGAGTCCACCCACTTTTAGGAGCAAGATGAAGGGGCTACCCAGGACCATGAGCGGATAACCAGAGAGAGCCCCTCTCCCGGGCTTGCCGGGGACAGGGAGAGACTATACTCAGATGCCCTCCTGCAGGCTGGACGTGCACATGGCCGGGGGCAGGCACTGTGACTTGGTCTGCCCGAGAGTATCAGGCCCCAGGACTCCGGAGATGATGCGAGCTCCTCAACCCTCCAACGAGGGGCCAACAGGGTTTTGCATGAAGGACTTGGCCCTTTCACCTAAGCTCCCAGCACCACCACCTCCCTCGCCCGTCAAGTACCAGACGCCCAGAAAGCCAGCACGAATCCCTGCCTGCTTCTCATCAGCATCACCCAGAGTTTATGTTTTGCAAATGCAACTCCCAGGCTGGCGTTTTCTTAGCTTGCCCACCTCTCTGCCCACTGGCAGCCTGGTTCCCATTTCCTGGGTGCATTTGCAGTTTGGAATTAATTATCCCACATCGCGTGATTTCTCCACCTCTCCCACATTGCCAGTCACCATCTTCTATGTCCTGGTGCCTGAGCCATCAAGTCCCAGCCCTCTGAGGCCCTCCCCGGGACAGAGAAGGACATTGTACCAGCCCCGAAGCACTGAGCAGCAGCAGAGACCTGACTCCAGACGCTCTGTCCAGGGAGAACCAGAGGTCCCATGCATTCAAGCTCATGTCTCAGCGTCATCGTTATTTTTAAGGTGTTTCCGTTTTTTAGTAAGAGGATGGAGCTTGCCCAGGTGACACGTGGGCGACCAGACCAGGGTGGGTGCCGGCTCTCCACCCTTGGCCACACCACACCTGCCCCCTCCGGTGCCTCACAGACCGAGCCCCCAGCAGGCCAGGCAGAGTGGGCGGGGAGGAGGCGCAGGCAGCGCTGGGCACTCACTGCTTTGGGCTGGGACTGCAGGACTTACAAGAGGTAGCAGCAGACTGCGGTGGCCACCAGCATGGTGACGATCACTCTGCAAGAGAAGAGCACAGCCCATCAGGACAGACACGCCTGTGTCTCCAGAAGGCCCGGCCCCCCCAGCAGAGCTCCTGGCCACTAGCCGTCCCTGCCCGGCTGATTGGGCACAGGAGGCCGAGTTCCGCAGGGGGTGGAGGGCGGGTGGACAATAAACGACCCCCAGATCTGACTCCATCCCGCGGTCGGTTCTCTCCGAGTCGCTAAGCGCCGGGGTGCACTGGGGAAGGCAGTGTCCCACGCAAGGGAGATGGCGCGCCTCGCCTCAGCAGATAACAGGGCGCCAGGGGTGCAACAGGTGCAGCCGGCTGCGTGGGGACCTTCAACACCCACGGCGCCGGCGAGAGGGCTCGAGCCAAGGACGCGCGAGCCGGGGCAGCGGGTGCCGTGCGGGGCTTGGTGCGATGCTCCCCGCAGCCTAGAACGGTCGCCATCCCCACCAGACCACGGAAAACTGAGGCTCGACCTTGGGTCAAGGTCACAGCTGGCGCTGGTGCCCCCCCCCCCGTTAGCGGCGAGAGGAGGGGCCCCCGCCTTCCCGGCGCAGGACGCCCGCGCCGCGCCGCCCGCCCGCCCGCCGGTCCCGGTGGAGGGGGCCCTGTGGGCGCGCGGGGGCTGGGGCGCTCGCCGCAGCGGGATGGGGCTGCGGGGCGCGCGGGGCGCGCGGCCCTTACCCGCGGTTGGGTCCCTTCGGCACGAACCAGGGCCCGGCGATGCCGATGAGGCCCCAGAACGTGGTGAAGACGATGACCGGGAGGGCGAACGAGTGCGCCGTCATGCCGGCCGCGGGGAGCCCAGCCGGGGTGCAGGGCGGGCGGCGGATGCTCGCGGGGTGCGGGGCCGGGCGGGGGGCGGGCGCCGAGCATGCGCGGCAGCCGGGCCGCGGGGGCGCGCGCTGGACCGCCCGGGAGCGCGCGGGGCCCGGTCGGCGCAGGCGCAGCCGCGAGCGCGTCGCGGGCGGGGGGGCCGGCGGGGGCGGGGGGGCCGGCGGGGGCGGGGGGCCGGCGGGGGCGGGGGGCCGGCGGGAGGGGGGCGCGGCGAGGGGCGCGGAGGGGGCCCGGTGCCCTGGTGCGGCGCGGAGGGCAGAGACCTGGGAAGTGAGCTCTGCTTCCTCAGGCAGCAGCAGGTCGGCTTTGCTTTAATAAAATCGCGTCATTTGTTCAACCCCGGTTGCGCGTCTTCGCAGCCCGAGGAGGGGACTCCCCGGCCGGGCCCCCGGAGTGTCCTCGGCTGCCAGGCCCTGCATGAGGGCACTGCCTGGGCCGCACTGTCCTGGCGAGCGCTTGGCACCCGCGGAGCGCCACCCCGGGCAGGGCACGCAAGAGCTTGGCTTTGGTGGCCGGTGTCCCCCAGGCCAGCGCTGGGCCCTCCACCCCGTGTCGTGGCTACTGGGATCCGCCCTGGGCTCCTGGCTGGCTCGGGGTGGGGGGACAGTGTGCCTCAGCCGGGAAGCTTCTCCCGCCGGGAGCTCCAAGGTGGGGGGGGCTGAAAGGCAGCATCTCCCAGGGCAGCGGGCGTCAGGTGAGGCAGCGCGGCGCTCCCCCCTGGGTCCTGCACAGAAATCGTCATCTTGGCCTGCAGTGGATAAAGGGGCGCCCGTGTTCCTGCAGGAGCAGGTAGAGACGACCCACGGCCCACGGCGGCATTCAGAGCCCAACCATCTCACGGGCTGCGGGAGGCTTCTGCACGGTGGGGGACAGAGCCGCGCCCCACCTGCTCCCCTCAGCACCCAGGCCGAGGTGGGGAGTGCGAGTAGGGCTCATGGGGGCGCAGGGCTGGCCTCTTCTCTGAGGTTTCTTACATGATGGACGATGCCCAGAAGGACAAGCGCCAAGGGTCTTTCTCTCTTCCACCCCCCAGTCCACACTCAGGGCACCTGAACTCCCCAACTCCCCACAGAAATGTCTGTGAGCGCCAAGGGCGGCTCCAACTGGGCAGTGTGGACGTCCTCCCTGCCAGGCTCCAGCCCCTCGGCCAGGCCCACCTCAGACCCAGGGCTACGGCCAGAGGCTAAAGGGCAGAGCAAGGAGGGAATTCCGGGCTCGATGCTGAAGAATGCAGGAGCCAGAGGTGCCGAGGCTAAGCGCTTTAGGGGGTGCCAGGAGGGGAAGCCAGAACTAGGGCTCCAGCCAGCCGCTTGCTCCCACACCAGCGCCCGGATCTCAGCCCCTCCTTGGAGTGGGAGGTAGGCATACCACGTGGACGGCAGCACACAGCAGGGGCCCCACCTGGAGCCCAGAGCCCGGCCAGGGCGGGGCCTTGTGTCCTGACACGGACAGGCAGGGCGCAGCAGCCCCTTCACCTCCAGGACCCACGCACAGGGAGAGGCGGCTCCACACGCAGCAGCCGCACGTGGGCAGCAGCCCAGGGCCTGGCGAAATCAACCCTGCCCAGAAGGGAAGGAAGGAAAGGGCTTCCCTGCCCTTGGAAGAGGGGAAGTGTGGGGCCAGGCCAGTGTCCCCCCACCCTCCCGCGCCCCCAGTGCCCCCAGGGCCCGCGAAGCCCTGGACCCTGGCTGAACACAGCAGACAGAGCCCTGGTCTCAGGCCCCTATGGAGCCAGTTCAAGGCAGTGCCCCTAACTAGCACCCAGGGATGCCCAGGCTGAGTGCCCAGGGCAACTTTGGGGAGACGGCGCTGGAGCACGATGGCCAGCACGGTCAGAGAGCACCTTCCCGCGTGAAGGATGAGGGTGGCAGTGTGGGGAGGGGCTGCCCCCCCCCGGAACTCTGCAGCTCGAGGCTTTCCAGGAGCTCAGGGCGCCTGGGCTGGGGAGCCAACAGGCACTTGGATTCTCTGCTGCCCCTTCATGGGAGGGAAACTGCGGCACAGAAAAGAGGACGGATTAATCACGACTGTCTGCTGCCACTGGCGGAGCTGGCCCCGGGTCAGGGCCGGGCCCCAGGCCTCCCATGTGCAAGCTGGGTCCTCCGGCTCCTGGAGGCTGCGGTGAGTGGGGCGCAGGGCAAACACAAGAGCTTGGCCGGTGGGAGCATCGGGCTCCGCCCTGGAAACGCTGCCCGCTGCTCACTGCCCAGCAGCGGCGGGGGACCTTCCCGAGTGCCTGTGCAGAGGGCTCTGTCCGCTGCCTCTGAAAGGCGGCCCGAGAAGGACAAGTTCTCTGGTGTGAGCCTTCCCTTGAAGTCGGGGCTTCCCTGCCTCTGCCGGGAGGCAGGGTGATGGGCCTCAGGCCTGGCCCTGGAGCCTGGTCATCCCCTGCCCCTGGCAAGCACCTTCCCTGGCCACCGAGGCTGCAGGTGGCCTGCTCTGAACACCTCCCAGCTACCCAGGGGCTGGGAGGCCCTGGAAGCCCCGGCCCCCCAAGCCTCGCTCTCGCAGCAAGGCCTCCTGCTGCCAGAACGTGGGGTGACGTCTTTCAGGATGGGAGTTTCCTAACAAACGAACTTGATCGCAAACCTGCTGCTTCCGGAAGGGCTGCGTGCCGTGGCGATGCCTGGAGAGGGGCTGGCCCGCAGGCCACCACCTGTTTCTCTGGGGTGGACCTTGCTCTCTTGCTGGCGACCCATTTCCAAGTGCCCAAAGTCCCCCCGCAAGGCTGTTTCTCGGGCGCCCAGCCTCTGTGGCCTGGCCTGAGCACAGGGCGGGCAGCTGGGGCTCTGGGCACTGCTAGGAGGCCTGCTCCAGCAGGGGCTCACTCTTGGAGTGGCAGGGGGGCCTCCTGGCTGGCGTGGGGGGCCCGCTGTATCGGAGGGTCCAGGATGCATTCCTGCAGGTTCGCCCCTGGCTCCCTGTGGGGCAGTTCCTGGAACACGGCCTCCTCTGTGTGGAGGGCAGCCGTCTTGCCCCTCCTGAGGCCCGCTCCTCCTGCAGGGGGTGGGGGGAGAAGCAAATTAGACTGGGTGGGGGGGGGAGACCCAGATTAGATGAGAACCGGCTCCTGCGTCCACTGCGCCCCAGGTGGACCAGCCAGGAGGGCGCAGCTCTGCTCAGGTGGCATCTAGCCCCACTGGGACGCACACTTGCCAGGCAGGGTGGCTGCATTCAGGCCAACGTCTGGGGAGGCACTGACTGCTGCAGCTGGCAGGGCGCCCTGGCGCCCCTTAAGGTCGGCTTTAGGTTCTGGGGAACCGCGACTTTACGTGAGACAAGCGACGACAGCGGGACTCCCCTCCAGCTCCCCAAGGCTCTGGGCTGCTTTCCCTCGGCCACGGGGTAACTGAGGGACATGACCTGAGCACCTGCTCTAAGCGGCAGGGCGGCCGCTCCCATGCACACAGGAGGGGACAGGTCGCCGAGCAGACCTATCTGCCCCCCCACCCCAGGCTGTCCGCAGAGCTGAGGAGCCGGCTCTGGCGGCCTGCACCTGGGCTTCAGAGTCCTAGTTCTGGCCCATCCCTACGAAAGACTGGCCCTTGGGGCTCCCCAGGACTTACTCCCACGGGCGCGGGGGCCCCTGGGGCACAGGTGTAGTCGTGGCTGAAGCACCAGCCAGAGGCGGTCAGGCACCAGCCTGGATGGCGGGCTGTGGGTCATAGTCTGTGGCGGCCACCCCGTTCACTGTGGTCATCATCAGCAAGTTGATGACCTTGTGGGACAGCTTGGTCCTCTCCTCTGTCCTGATCCGGTTCATGGCACTGCACCCCGCTCTCAGCAGGCGGTGGAGACGGGCACGCAGGCTGCGCTGGGCCCAGGCGAGCTTGCACAGGCGCGGGAACGGGAGGCTCTGGGCTGCGGCCTTGAGGCGCCGCCACTCCTCCAGGAGCGCTTCCTCGCTGGACCCTGGGGGCAGGGAGAGCTCAAAGTACCCGGCCAGGTCAGGGTATGGGGATTTCCCAAGCTTGCCGCCAGGCAGGCCGCGCTGTCAAACACCTGCGCGCTCCCGAGCTGGGGGGCAGCCGGCGTGGAGGCGCGGCCGCAGGCACGGGGCGCAGGACAGGATCATTCTCGCCCTGTCCGCCTGGAACCGCCGCTCGGCTCCCCCCACCCTGCCCAGGAGGACGTGCCCGTCCGGGAAGGCGGCGGGGACTCTCCCTCCCGCGGCCCCGCCCAGCGGCGCAGGGTCTCCAGGGCCACATGGGCCTGCCCCAGGGGTGCGTCCACCTCCTGACCAGCACCAGCTCCCTCTGGCACACCTCGGACAGCGGCCTGTACACGCTCAGGAAGTCCATGAGGAAGCGGCAGAACTTGACGAAATGGAAGCGCCTCACCAGCTTCAGCGGCCTCTGGCCCGGTGCCCCCCGTTTCGCTTCCGCCAGCTCTGGGAGGTGCCTGGCCAGGGCGGGCCAGCTGGCCAGCAGTGCATGAGCGTGTGCCCGTGCTGGCCGCTCACCCCACGGCGCGCAGGTCCTTGAGGCGGAGCATCTCCTGCCCCAGCCTGGCGCACCGCCCCGCAGCTGGCGCAGCCTGTTGTGCGGGACTGACAGAACTTGAAGGCGGTACGGAGGTGCGGGTCACGCTTCTTCACCAGGTCGATGCCGCCGCAGGCGTCCACCACGGCCAGGGCCAGCCGGTGGGCCACACAATGCACGGGCAGCAGCCGCGGGATGACCTGCCGCAGCTGCCCCACCAGGCCGCCTCGGCCACTCAGCATGGCCGAGCCACCGGTGCCCAGGCCCACCACCCACCCGGCTTCCGGAAAGGGATGTCCAGCTCGTCCAGGGCCAAGATGATGATCTGGAAGTAGCCGTCCACGGTCTCGCTGTAGAGAGGCCAGGGTGAGATAAGACTCCGTCACCGCCACCCCCCCGAAGTAGCAGATGCAGATGCCCACGCAGGCCAGGCCGCAGGCGTCGGGGCGCTGTCCAGCCACACGTGGGCGCAGGGCCAGCACCGCGCGTCCTCCAGGACCTCTTTCCGCAGCGTCTCGGAGATGTGCTTGATGAGCTGGTGCAGGCAGCGCGGTTGCGCTCTTGCCCAAAATCACGGTCCCCTGCTTTGCAGGCGCTGCAGGATCTTCTCAGAGTCGTTCAGGGGCCGGGAGCAGTAGGCGATGGAGGAGGCCGCGCGGAAAAAGTGCTCCATGTTGGCCATCAGGCCGCTGGAGACCTCGGGGGCCAGGGCAGCCTGGGGGCCTTCTGCCTGGACCTCCGCGGTATTGACGCAGAGCTGGTGGGCTTTGCTGACCTCGTGGTCCTTTAAAGTCTCGCTTTGAAAGCTCGGGCGGCCTACGCCGAGCGCCTTACCTCAGCGCTCAGTACCTTCACCACACCACACGCAGAAGCTATTCCTTGGCACTTCATTTTTTCACTCAACATACATTTGTTATTTGTTTCTTTGGGCCTGGGGCATGTGACCCAAAGACACAGAAGACACTCTGCTGTCAAGGAGACCAAACCTACCGGCAGGATACGGACAGCTCTAAGAGGAGCAATGAGAGAGCGACATCCAGAGAAAGCAAGAAGGGGGTGATCACTTGCAGGAGGGAGAGAGAAGGGGCGGGGAGCAGAGCCGTCAGGCAACAAACACATACACAAATGACTGCACGTCAGACTCCTGCTTGGCAGCACCGACCACATGGCCTCCCGGAGGGCACAACGGGTCTTCCCGGGACCCACAAACCCACGCACCTGCGCGGGAGCTACATCACCCTGCAGCGATGCTATTTGAAGCATCATTCATTCAAAAAGCACTTTCTGAGAACCTATCAGCCGCCACACAATGCTCCACTGATTAGCAGGGGGAGAGCAAAGTCAACTTTACTTTGCAAATAAATTTGAGAACACTCTATAGTGATAAGGGCTGGGAAGAAAACAGAACAGGATACTATGAGACTGATGGGGGAAAGCCTTGCATCTCTCTCCATGATCCTGCCGCCAAACCCATGGTCCAGAATTGATTTCAGTTAATAAATATCAGAAAATAGCATCTAAGGAAGATTCTTTTAATAGACCGAGCCCCAGTGTCCCTGTTTTGAGCCAAAACAATATTCAGGTTGGGGCTACAGAATAGCCTGACTGTGCCACCCAAGCCTCAGCTGCTGTCCTCCCTGCAGGACGTCTCACCTGCCCGTTGGTTTTGCAGCATGCGTTTCGGAAGGGTGTCTTTTGTTTTTGTAATCATGATTAAAATCATGGGTGAAATTTCCAGCCCCCAGAATTTTCAGTTAGTGATTGCACTTGAAAAGGATATCCAGGACCTCCCTGGTGGCACAAGGGGTTGAGTACAGCACTATGAAGCTATCCACAGCCTCTGCAGCATGAGTTCAATCCCTGGCCAGGGAGCTACCCACATGGCGCAGCAGACCTCTCCTGTCTCCCCGCTGCTCCCCTCAGCAGTGTATTTCAGACAATCTGCCTGTGCTGCTCCCCACTCTGTCTCTGGTGAATCCTCACCCCCTGCACCTCTGGCCTGTACCCCAGTTCTTGTATGCATAAATAAATCTTTAAAAAAAAGAAAGGACATCCAATTTCTCCTCCTCCAAAAGGTTTGTATTTCTCTCTTCTCCCATTACAGGCCGAGGAAGCCTCAAATGGAACAGGAGAGCGTGAAATCAACCTCAACTCACTGAGTCCACTTTCCCACGTCAGTGGTTGATCCCCTCACTCCTCGGGACATTTTGCATCCCCTTGTCCAAAATCAGATTCAACCTAGTTGGGAGACATGACCGGAGGGTAAGGACAGTCATTCCCTGCACTCGTTTGGTCTCCCCAGTAGCGCTTAACATGGGGCGGGCACGGGGTGCGCCTCAGACTTTCTCTAGTTGGATGTGGCTGAGCTTCTCCGTCCTGGGCTGTTGGCTGCCGGCTGCTCGTGTGGACAGCGCCACTGCAGGTTGGGGGGTGGCACATGGAAGCAGGGTTTAAGTCAGCAATGACTTACTTCGTCACGAGTCCTTCTGGGTCTTTTCAGAAAGAACAACTGCATAGAAATAACCTCACTACCCCTTCTCTCTGTTGCCTGTGGGGCCACCCTGCAGGCTTGCCCGCTTCCTTCATCTGAACCTTCCAGCGGGGTCCTCGGGCAAAGTGGTCATTTCATCTTTCTCCTGTACTTCCAGCATCCCGCTCCACGCACATTGCAGATGGCAAATACTTATTAAGTGAACAATGTTTAAAATAGAACTCAAAAAGCACTGGCAATCGATAAGGCTTGTTGAGGGAATTCTCTGGGTGCCGACGAGGAAACCCAAGTACTGGCAGCAACGACCGCCCGGCCAGCTCCTGCCCCGGAGCCTGCGCCTGGCCACGCCAAGCGGGACACCCTGGCTGGTCTCGGCTGGTCTTTGCTGCCAGCGCCCGGAGCTGCAGCCCTGGGGTCCTGCCCGCTGAACTCTGGCTCCCAGCACTTTCTCCCACCTGAGCTTCCAACGCAGGCGCCCGGCCCAGAGCCCAAAGACAGCCGGAGGACGCGCCCCAGCGAGACCAGCCAGGCCCCGAATTGGGCCCCACGGCCTGCGCCTCCCTGCGCCTCCCGTGGCTTCTCAAGCCCTTCCCGGGGAGGGAGGGTCCAGGCGGGAGGATCCGAGCCCTCCCGGCCTCTCAGGGTCCCGCCCTCGCCTTCCACAGGTCCCCTGCGGACTCCCGACGTGAGCACCCTGGGGCGCGCCGCTGCTCCCAGTCCCGGCCCGCGAGGCCGGCGGCGCGGGCGGGGCGGCCGCGCGGGGCTCTGAGCGGCGAGCGTCTCCCTGCAAGGCGGGCGCCCCCACGGGGGCCCGGGGCCCGGCGCGGGGACGGGAGGGGCGGGCGCCCCAGGGCCCTTCCAGGCCGACCTGCCCGGCTCCCTGGCTCCGGCCCGCCGGCGTGGCCGCCCCCTCCCCGCGGCCTGGCTGGGGTGCAGCCGCCACCGCCGGGGGACCGGCCCCGGCGGGGAAGGGGCGCCCGGGCGGGGAGGGGGCGCGGCCGGGGACCGGCTCTCGCCACGTCGGGCCGGCGCCGGGGAACCTGGAGGGCGCAGCCCCGGGGCGCGGGCGTCGTGCCGAGGGCGGTGCTTTACGGCAGCCCGGCCGCGGGGCATCTCGGGAAACGTAGTCCGGCTGCCGGAGGGGCTCGCGCGCTGCCCTGGGCTCCGCAGCGGGGCTCTGGTGGGACAGGGCGACCGCGCGCTCCCAGCTCCCGTCCTTGCGCGCCTCGCGGGCGTGCACAAGGCCGGTCAGCCTTGAAGGCACCGGACAATCGGATCAAGGGGGGTGCAGGGAGTAGGGGAGCAATGCTTTCTCTGACATTCATCCAGAACACACACTCAGGTGGGGCCCCAGAGAGCGCTGACACCAGAGATCTTCAGACGGTCCCTCTAAGCTGCTGCAAAAGGGGAAACCAAGATTTGGTTATGGGAAGTCCCTTTCCCAAGTTCACAGCCGCGGGGAATTCACAGAGGGCGCAGGGCCAAGACCCACCCTCCCCCCCACCTCCAGGAACAGACTCTGCACACAAATTGCAGTCAGGGTCACTTTATTTGGGATGTGCGGGCCAGGGGCTGGGGGCCACGGCAGGAGCGGCTCAGCACCGCCCGTCCGATGATTCTGTAAGGGGCAGCGGACGCATCAAGTCCAGCATCAGCGCTTTGAGAAATCACCTCCTGGAGGATGAAGGAGGGAGAGATGTGTTCGCCAGAGAGGCGGAACGGGCAGGCCAGAGTGGACAGGCCAGACGGGTGGGGTGCAGAGACCACAGCCAGAGGGACCTGGAAGCAGCCCAGAGCAAAGGCGCACCCTGGGCCTGCACTCTGCCCGGGCTGTATCGGTGCCCACCCTGTTTGCGTCTCACCTGCCACACAGCAAGGCTTTGGGTTATCATATAGCAGGTCCTTAAGAACCTGGCACACACATGTGCAGTGCCAGCCTGGTAGCCGGTCAGCCCGGCTGTAAAGATAAGGCCCAGCAAGGGAGGCCCAGCAAAGGAGGAATTAGATGAGCTGGGACTTGAACACACAACCTTACCAATGATCGCAGAAGAAACGAGCAGGAATGCCGAGAAGGGGAAGCGAGTGGATCAGAGCATTCCGGCTTAAGGACTGCCCAGAGCCAGGCCCAGTTTAGGCCCCAGGTGCTCTCCTCTCCTCTGCAGTCCAGCCCAGGTCTCAGTCTCAGGCCCCCACACTAGCTCAGGCCCCACTCCCCACCCCGGCCCACCCCGCCCTGCCCCTCCCGCACCCACCCTGGCAGGCGCTGCACTGGCAGCTGTGGATGGCCGGCAGCACCGCCGGCTCCGTGCGCCCGTCGGGACAGCGCAGGCTGAGGATCCGCACGGGGCTGTCCGGGTCCAGGCGGTAGCTGCAGCACTGGCACTGGCTCTGCAGGTACGGCTCCTGGGGAGAGGGGGCGGTTGAGCTGGGGAGCGGCCAAAGGAGCTCTCCCAAGACACTCTCCTGCTCCCCCTGGTTTCTTGATCCAAGAGGGGCTGGGGTCCCCGCGGGGCAGACCCCAAGCTCCCGGCCAAGCAGGGCCGCCTTGCCTGGGAGACATAAGTCACCATGGAGCCAGGCTCTCCAGGAAGCCCGCCCCTTCACCCCAGTCCCCACCCACCGAGCCTCCGTCAACCCGTAGGTTACACCAGCCCTTCTAAGTGGCCGCCCTGTGCCAGGCCGCAGCCAGGGAAGACGCAGCCCCTGCCCTAGGGCTCACGGTCTAGTTGGAGAGCCTAGAACTACAGGCCCCTGCAAGTAACCAAGCCCTGCACTGCGCGGCTCTGACTAGGCGCAGAGCTCTCACCCCAAAGCCCCTGGCCCTGCGATACAGCAGCCGCTGGGGCTCCAGCTCCTTGGGTGCGTGCTTGTAATTTTATCTTGAAACAGCAACAATGCCAAGTTAATAAAACTGCAAACGTTTTTTCGGTGACAAAAGTTCCCTTTGAATTCTGTGCTGCTATCACTCACTTTTCCTCCCCAGGGGGAAAAAAATTCTCTTAATTTCTCTTTCTTCCCTGCATGTTTTCAAAAATCCAAAAGTGTTCCCAGGAGGGGCAGGCAGGAGACGCGCAGGAGGCCCGTGCGCCTGCCGGGAGCGCCTCGGCCATCGGCGCGTGCTACAAGCCTGTCCTGCTCTGGATTCCGAGACCCTTTAGCGGCTTCCAGGCGGGAGGGGACCAGGGGCAGGAAAACCGGAGAAAGGAGGCGGCAAAGGAAACAGGTTTGGACTCTGGGCGGTGGACGTCATGCAGCGCGAATGTGCGGCTTCTCAGCAACGCACACCGGAACCTTACGCAACACTAGTGCAACGTGACCTCAAAAAATAAGTATTTTTTAAAAATAGAGGACTTCGGGCCTCCCTGGTGGCGCAAGGGGTTAAGACACAACCTATGAAGCTGTCCACAGTAACTGCAGCACGAGTTCCATCCCCAGCCAGGGAGCTACCCACATGGCACAGCAGACCTCTCCTGTCTCCCCGCTGCTCCCCTCAGCAGTGGATTTCAGTCTCCCTGTGCTGCTCCCCACTGTCTCTGGTGAATCCTCTCACCCCTCACATCTCTGGCCTGTACCCCAGTTCCTGTGTGCATAAATAAGTATATCTTAAAAAAAATAGAGGACGGATGCCCACGTCTCCCCCTGCACGTGTGCACCGGCTCCACAATGGGCTGCGATTTCCGAGCGGAACTTAGCTCCTCCGGGCCTCTCTCTGTCGCTGGCCCTGGCTTGTTGGCCTGGGGGGGACACGGGGGACCAGCGCTGCAGTGTGGGTCCCCAGGGAGAAGCAGAAGATGTCCCTGGAGTGGCCCCCTGAGGGTCTCGGGCCCAGCAGCAGGTGTGGCCACCAGCTTGGTGAAAACTGGCCCCGACTCGTGTCCCCCATGTTCCATCCCACGCTCTGCACGGCAGACACTCAGGGCCGCTGACCACCTGACTCCCCTGCCCAGCCCGGCCGCCCACTTGCTACCTCAGGCATGACGTGGGTGCTGGAGGGGCAGTGCCCCCTGCAGTAGGTAACTTCCACCTGGTCCAGGTAGCACAGGCCCTTGGTGAGGTTGCGAAGCTCAGTGAGGAGGTGGCAAGAGTCAGGCTGCTCCTCTGTGGGGAGGGACAGGGCTGTGGCAGGAGAGGGCAGGGCACATGGGCCCAGGGACATGTGTCGGGGGGGGGGTGGCCAGGCACTGAGGGCACTGGGAGGCTTCACTCTGCTGCCCGCCATGGGCAGCACCATGGGGGTGGGTCTCCCAGGGCGGGCACGGGGCGGTTGGCCCAGACCTAGGGAGGCAGGGCAGGGGTGCCCAGCCCCTCCATACCTAGAGTCTCCCGGCGGCAAGTGGGACAGCAGCTCCCCGGCTCCTGCACAGTCACCTCACCCTGTGGCGGGGGGGTGAGGGGGTGGCAGGGTGCTCAGGAGGACGCTCCATGCCCTGAGGCCCCCAGGCCAGCCCTTGGGGAGGGAGCCAGCGAGCGGCTCTGATACCCCAGCAGCAGCAGGGTACCTGGGCACAGGTGAGGAGGGGGCACAGCTGGGCGCAGACACTTGTCCCACGGAGGCAGCGGCAGCTCTCGCAGGCCTCCTGCCACTCGGATGCAGGCTGGGGAGATGGGGGAGCCTCCTCTCCATCTGTCCACTTGGGGCCTCGCTTCTCTTTTCCTTGGGTTATCGAGTGACCTCCCAACTGGCCTCCGAGCTCTGGCCTCCCCACACCTGCCTGGGGCAAGGCTGTGCCCTTCGATAACAGCCCTCCCCACTGCTTCAGGCCTCGGGGTGCCTAGAGCAGCTGCTGTGGATTCCCTGCCCCCCGCCCCTCGGCCCATCTGGCTCCTTGGAGCAAGCGGCTAGTCGGGGGTTTCTCCTGTGGACGGGGCTGGCTCCGGGCTCCGGGCTCTGGGCGTGCAGGCGCAGCAGGGCAGCTGGCTGTGTCCCCAGGGCCAGGATGCTGGGTGAGACCCCTGGGACGAGGGGCCAGTGCGTAAACGCCCCAAGTCCTTGGGTAGGACGGCTCTGAGGGATTCTCACAGGAGCCCCGTGGCAATGAGCTCGCCTGCACAGGGCACGACCTCACCTGCAATGCCCCGTTTCCCACCCCCTCGAGCGTCTGCCTGGAACCACAAATCAACCACCTGCCCACATGCCCAGCCCTGAACCCAGCCTGGGGCCTCGCCAGGGCAGTGGCCCAGGACGAGTCAGCAACAAATCTCGGGGGAGTGGGCCATGGGCTGGGTGGCAGCTGGTGTGCCAGCCCAGCTGCCCGCCGCTGCAGCGCCTCAGGTCGGGGAGCAGGGGGTGGGTGGACCTGGATGGTGCAGGACGGGGTGGGGACTGGTGGCTCACTGGGTGGGGGCGCCCGAGGTGCCAGCACTCGCAGCGCTCTGCGGGCACACAGGGGCCCGCCTGGCTACGGAGGAGCCCTGGCCGGCACACGCAGCCCGGGGCACTGCAGTTGCTCTGAGTCTCCGTGGCACTGGGCTCCCGGCACGTCTGCTCGCAAGGCCCCGGCTCCCTCGGAGTCTCCTGCTGCCACACTTCCCCAGGGGGGCACTCTGCCAGAGAGGACCAGCAGAATACCACAGAGGTCAGCCCCAGATCCAGCCTTGATCTGCCCTCCCCGCCCCGGCGGGCACCCTCACTTCACCCCTCACTCCCCACACGCTGTCTGCTGAGCTCCAGCTACTTCCAGTCACACCGCTTTGCTCTTATCCACCTTTCCAAATGCTAACAGAGCCCACCCGGGGTCTTGCCTCCTCCAGGAAGCCTCCCCTGACCAGTCCTGTCCAGCCCAACCTCTCTGTTTAGGGCACTGATCCCACATCCTGAGGGGGTGCTTGCTTGGCAGTGAGTCCAACACTCTCCTGTCGCTACCTGTCCTGGTGGGCGAGTCTGCCCTCCTGCCAGTGGGCGGGGTGGGGTGACCCGGGTCCCATGCTTTGTCTAATCGCACAGAGCCCAGCAGGGAGGCGCAGGAGCCTCGGCTCTGGGCACAGGCCTACTGGGGACTTCGGCCCACCCTCTGACCTCACGTTCTCATCTGCACGGAAGGCCGCCCTCCCGCAGTGGACAGCGCTGAGCATCTGGGAGCCATGACAGGGGGGGGACCGTGTGGACATAGTAGGCTAACCCTGAACCCAGCCTGGGGCCTGAAGTCGGTAGCTTAGCCTAGGGCTGGCAAGGCTGTCCCACTTCTCAGGGCCGGCTGGCCTTGGCTTTGGGGGGAACAGAAGGACCACCACCACCGAGATGGCCACAGCTCACCCTGACAGTCCTCGTCGAAGGAACAGTTGAAGGCACCACCTTGGCAGGTACTGTGAAGACAGAAGTGCCCATTCAGACACCTCCCAGGGTCCTCTCCCCACCCCATTCTCAGCGCCCCCTGCCCTACCCCAGGACCCTGGCCCCTGGGCACTCACCAGCGGGTGCAGTTCTGGGTGAGCACAGCCCCTGGGGGCAGCTCCCAGGCCTGCTCCTCGAGGGTCAGGGTGAGGCCCCAGGGCAGAGAGCGCTGGGCGCAGGGGCAGGCAGTGGGGGGCACACAGGTGCCATTGTGCAGCAGCTGGGATGGCAAGACTCCAGTTATGCAGGGAAAACCATTCCTCCTCCCCACCTGCCTGCTCCCCATGTGGCACTGGGGCACCAAGCTGGGTGCCTCACCCACACCTACCTGCCCTCCAGGACAGCTGCAGCCTCTCTGGCAGGGCACCTGCTCACAGAGGGCGCCAGGCAGCAGGTGCGAGCAGAGGTGTGGGCATGAGGTGGCACAGGCACTGAGCACCTGGCCAGGTGGGCACTCTGTGGGGCACACACAGAATGAGGGGAGCATCAGGAGGGGTTGGCTTGGACACCCCCCAGAGAAGGCCAGCGGGGCCTGGGCTTGCAGCACTAGGGGGGCAGGTGCCTGCGGCTGTGGTGCTTACCCAGGCAGGGCTGCAGGTTACATTCCCGCTGTTGCTCCGTGTCCTGGGCCTGGCACAGAGCGCCCCCGGGGCCCCTCTGGCAGCTCCGGTAGCGCTCGCTGGTACCCCCACCGCAGGGGGCTGAGCAGTTGCTCCAGGCTGACCAAGGCCCGAGGACTGGGCAGTCACCGAGTGGGCACTCCAGGGATCCATTGACACAGGTGCTATGGACAGGCGTGTGCAGAAAAGGCTCAAGCCCCAGGTCAGGCGGGCAGAGCCTCTGCGCCCCAGCAGTGTCCATACCCTGGCCTGCCCCACGGGTGCGCCGCCGCCCATCTCCCACCGGCCCCAGCAGGCTGCCGTACCAGCTCTTGCAGTCCAGCCGCACCGCCTCGGCCGGGGCCAGCACCCACGAGGCATTGGGGCTGGGGAGGCCACAGCGGCAAGAGGAGATGGGCACACAGCGCCCGTCCTGTACCAGCTGGCCGGGGGGGCAGCGGCAGCCTGGGGAGGATGAGCCAGACGGGGTGCTTGGGCCAGCGCTCGGTGGAGCTCTCTGGAGCCAGATGGAGCCCCAAGCCCCAGGCTGGCCTGAGCTCCCTCCCCGCGAGCCCCACAGCTCAGCTGCTGCTGCTGCTGCTGGACACGGAAGGGCTGCTCTGGCTGCCCTGGGCAAGGACACCGCCGGGGACCCCTGCGGGTGCCTCTCAGGAATACGCGTGTCTCAACTCAGGCTCCCGCGCTGCAGGCCCCCAGCCAAGGATCCACTTTGCTGCCCTAACGCTCCAGCCCAGCGGCCGGCCCAGCGGCCAGGTGCCCTCCCAGGCGCTCTGCCCGGTGCCGTCTCCCAGGCGGGCAGCAGCGGCCGGGCACCTGGGCGGCAGGGGCCCTGCAGGCACTGCACACGGTCCCAGAGATCCATGCAGCTCCGCGGGCACCGGTTGGCGCAGTCAAGAGTGGGCACCGTCTGCCGCGCCTCACAGCTTTCCCCTGAGGGCCAGAAGGCAGGCATCAAGCTGGGGCGGCTCCTGAGCACCCCAGTGAGCACCCGCCCTCCCCCACGCGTGTCTGGGAGCAGCGGCTACGAGGCCCCGCGCCAGCGCTGAGGGCCGGCCCCGCCTCTGGAGGCTGGAACGGGGTTACCTGGGCACGGCCCCAGGTTGCAGCTCTCAGTCTGGGCCCACGGTCCCGGGCAGCCTCCTCCATGGGGGGCCCCTGCTTCTCTCCAGCGCAGTCGGAACCCCCCACCGCAGGGCACCTGGCAGGGGCTCCAGGGCCCCCAAGGACTCCACTGGCAGAGGTCTGGGGAGACAAACTGGGAGTCAGTGCCCAGGACCGCCCAAGAGCCTGGCCCCGGCCCTGCAGGCCCCTGTCCCGCCCCTGCCCCCGCCCCGGCCTCCAGGTGCCTCCTCTCCCAGCCGCTGCTCGTCCCCCTCGAACTCTGTGCCAGGCGTCCTCCTGCCCCCTGCCACCCTGCGCCCCACCCCCCCGCCCCGTCACCCCGGCAGGCTCCAGGGTCTGGGCAAAGGCGCTGCTGGCTGAGCGGCTCCGAGCAGAGGTCCGGGTCCCCAGCCCACGGCCTCCCCGTTTCGGGGTCCAAACAGAGGCGATGGCGGTGCTGCTCCGAGGCCAGCAGGGGGGCCGTGGTCGGGGAGGGGCCGGCTGGGTCCCGGGGCCAGCGCCCCTCTAGGGCCGTCCTGGAGGCAGGGGCCAGGATGCTGGGGGGCAGGCAGGGGCCGCAGGGCGACCACTCGGACCAGCCACTCAGAGGCAGAAGACCTGGAAAGGGCAAGGGTGAGTGGGGGTCCTTCCCAGTGACCCCCCCCCTGGACCCAGGGACCCCGGTGGACAGAGAGGGGATCTAGGGTCATGTCCAGGAAACAGGAAGGGCTGAGGGCGGTGGGGTAGGGTGACGAACCAACCATCCTAGACTGTCCCAGTCCTAGCACGGGACGTTCCAGACCCCAGAACCCCCAGTCCTGGCAAAAAGGGGCCTTCGGCACCCCTGCCTGTTACCTTCACAGCCCCGGCTGGTGCACTGCAGCTCCCCACGCTGGCACTCGCTATTGGGAGGCGGGGCAGTCAGGATGGGCCCTGGGGGAGGGCCAGTCCAGGGCAGGGAGGGGGCTCGTGGGGTAAAGTGAACTCTGGGCTCGTTTGGAGCAGAAAGAGGCTGGACTGAGCCCAGAGGCTTAGCTGGTCTTTTCTGCAGGGGGTAGACAGGTCCCTGGGGGGCCCGAACCCCCCACCTAGGCCCTGCCTTTGCACCTCCCCCCACCTCCACCCTGAACCCCCGACCTGGGCCCTGCCTTGGCACTGCCCGCCACCTCCACCCCTCACCACTCCTTGCAGCCCAGCCACAGCCGCTCCCCGGGCATCAGGGTCACGGCCCGGTCCCTGGAGATGTGCCGGCAGGCACACTGCTCGGGCGGGACGCAGCCCCCAGCCTGCTCCAGCAGCCCCTGCTCGGGGGAAGCAGAGAGTCAGGCTGTGTCTCACACCAGCGTGGTGCCAGGGCCGCGGCAGGGCCACAGGCCAAGAGGCCGCCGGGAAGAGGAGAGGTGAAGGAGAGGTGTCACCATGGGCATCGGGAGGGTGGGGTGTGCGAGTGTGCACAGGGGCCGCCCTCCTGGGCCTCTCCCGGCCCCACCCCTACCTCTGGGCAGTAGCAGCCAGGCTGGCAGGGCGGCAGGTCCTGGCAGAGCTGACGGCTCAGGTGTGTGGCACAGAGCCCGGCGCAGGGGGAGCCACAGGCTTGGAACTCAAAGGGAGGCGTGCAGCTGTCCTCTGGGGGGCAGGCGGGCTGGTGGGGGGCAGCCAGAGACCCCTCCCCCCGACGCCCAGAGCACACAGTGCAGGTCCCTGGGGGTCACCCCGCTGTACGGAATGACGGACCCGTGAGGCTACCAGCACCAGCCCCCGCCCTGAGCCTCCAGGGAAGAAGCAGGGAGGCTAGGGCCTTGCAGTGGAAGCTGCAGGGAGGACGGGGTGCGGAGAGGGGGGCAGCTACGTGGCAGGTGGCTAGACCCCCTGGGCTGGGGCAGCTGCCAAGGGGGAGACTGGGGACGCAGGCCGGGGCAGGGCGGCTGGGGGCCGCAGGGCAGAGGGCTGCCGCGGCGGGGGGGCAGGGTATCGCTGGGCCCTAAGATTCGCTCCCGGAGGAGCCAGGCGTCCCAGTGGGGGTCCCCCAGGGCTCTGGGGGTTCGGTCCCGCCTTCACGCGCCTGGGGCCTCACCAGAGCAGTTGCCGACACAAGGCCGGAAGTGGCCATCCAGCCGCGTGCAGGGGGCCCCTCCCCGGCCCCTCCGGCCGCCGGGCCCTGGTGTCGGTAGCGCTGCTGGACCCGCACGCGGCAGGAGCACGGCGTCCAGCTGCTCCAGCCGCTCCAGGCGCACTCCTCTGGGCGGGGCGGGGTGTGGGCCGGGGCCTCCTGGGCCCTCCCCGCTCCCTCCTCCCTGCCCACCCCCAGGGGCGCCCACACCCTGCGCAGCTCAGGGCGGAGGGGGGCCCGGACTTCAGGCGGTCCTCGAGGGCAGCCCCCCCCAGGGCAGCGAGAGGGCCGCCCGCGCACGGGGGAGGCACGCGGCAGTCTGGGGCAGGAGCCGCCTCGCCGCCTCTCCCCCGGGCAGGAGGGCAGGGCCCTCGCCGGCCACTCACCCAGGCAGGACCCCGGGTAGCAGGCCCGGGTGTCCAGGTGCAGGAAGGGGCCGGTGCAGCCGGGGTCGGCCGGCGGGCAGGGGCAGGAGCCGGCGCGGGAGGCCAGGCCGGGGCCGCAGCTGCGGGAGCAGGGGCTCCAGGGGCCCCAGGAGCAGGCCTCCAGCGGCCCCCGGCAGGGCTGCCGCCCGCAGGGCTGGGTCTGGCGGTCGGGGCCCACGCAGGGGGGTCCCCCGAGGCGAGGGGTCGAGGCCGAGCAGACGCGGGTGCGGACCTGGCTTCCACCTCCGCAGGAGACCGGGCAGCCGGACCAGGGGGACCACGGCGACCAGGCCCCGGGCGCTGCGGGCGGGCACGGCGGCGTGAGGGGGGCAGAGGAAGAGAAAGCAGGGGAGGCGCCGGCTGGGGGCGCCCCGGCGCGGGGGAAAGCCGGGGACCGGGGACCCGCGTCAGAGGGAGACAGGAGGCCCGGGGCGCCCCGCACCTGCACAGCCCGCGTCCGCACACAGCACGCCCTCCGGGGTGCAGGAGCTGAGGGAGAAGCCGGGCCTCAGGGTCGCGTCCGGCGGGGGCGGCAGCGCAGGGGGCCCGCCCGCCCGCCCCGCGCTCACCACCGCCGGCACATGCCCTGCAGCCAGCTGGCGCCCAGGGCCCGCGGGAGGCCGCCGTGCAGGCACAGGGGCGGGCACGGGGGCTGGGGGCAGGGCCGGCGCTGAGACTGCTCCTCCCGACACTCCGGCGCCCACGAGCCCGACGTGGAGGACCTGGCGGGTGAGAGGGGCCGGGGCTGGAGGTGGCCGAGGAAAGGCAGCGCGGCCGGGGCCAAGCGCGGGGCCAGGGGGGTGGCGCCGGGTCACAGGCGGAGGCCCGGGGGCCGTCAGACCAGCAGGGGCCCGGGTGGGTCAGGGACACCGAGCCGGGCCTACCGAAAGCGGCTCTGCTGCCCTCCGGGCCCGCACGAGCGGCTGCAGGGGCTCCAGGCTGACCAGCGGCTCCAGGCGCAGAGGGCGGGCGGCGGGCAGGGCCGAGCCTCGCAGGTCAGCCGCCCCGCCCGGCACGTGCAGTTGCCGCAGGCCTCCTGGGGCCGGCTCCCCGGGGCCCAGCCGCGGCCCTTGGCGTCTGTGCACTCGCAGTGCCCGACCGGCACGCAGCCACCGTCCTGCTCCAGGGAGCCTGTGGGGAGAGGCCCTCCAGCGCTGGGCGGGCACCGGGGGGCCCCCGGACCTGCCTGAGGGCCGGCAGCACCTACCCTCGGAGCAGCGGCAGCCCGGCTGGCAGGCCTGGCCTTCCTGACACACGATGCCCTCCTGGAGGTCGGAGCAGCGGCGGGGGCAGCGATTGGCACAGCTGACCAGCTCCATGCCTGCCGGGCAGCCGGCCTCTGGGCAGACGGGAGGACTGGTCAGGAGGCTCCTGAGTTGAGTCCTGAGACTCGAAAACCCTCCCCTGCCCAAGCAGGGGCCGCCCTCCTTTGAGAGCTACAGAGGCTCCCTCTTGTAAACGCTCGCCCCCGGCCTGGCCTGGGATGGGGCATCCCGTGGGGCAGCGGCCCTCTCCTGCCCGCCAGCCGGTGCCTGGACCCTAAGAGTTTGTAGCGCTGGCCTGGTCTGTGCCCCGAAACACCGGCATCCTCACCGAACTCCCCTCTAGGTTTATCCGGGGCAGGGGGCATGTCAGTGTGGGTGGGGTGCCCTGGGGAGGTGGGGGATCCTCGAGTGATGGAGGCCCATGGGTCCGTCACAGGGAGAGGTGGAGCTTGGGGCGGGTTCAGTCCACACCCAGGGATGCTCACGAGTGTCCCCCTCAAATTCTAATATCTTGACTGGGCAGCTGGTTCCTCAGGCGCTGGCTGGGCCCTGCTGAGCCAGGGTGGGGGTGTGGGTCCAGCAGGCCACCCCTGGCCACAGAGCCCACCCCCCGGCCCAGCCAGCCGCCTGCTCCCAAGAGTCTCTGTTCTTAACCTGCCCACGAGGCAGCGGTGACAGCCCATCTGTGGCTCAGGGTGACGTGGGGAGAAAAGTGGGGGCGGCGAGCCCTGCCAGGTGCCAGGCCAGTGGGGGTGTCAACGCCAACTTCCTACCGCAGGGCATGGGGTTGCAGAGCCGAGCGTGGTGCTTCTCCCCAACACAGGGGGCACCCCCATTCTTGGGCGGGGGGCTTGAGCAGCGGCGGCTCCTCAGGGATCGGCCCCCACCACAGCTGCGGTCACACCAGGACCAGGGGCTCCAGCGTGACCAGCCTCCAGGCACTGCAGGGAGAGGATCTGGCTTAGGCAGAGCCCCGCAGCCCATGAGCTAACGTGCACCCCCACCCCCCATGCGCCTGGGTGCCTGGGAGGGCGCCCCTGCCCTCAAGCGCCTCACCTGGGCAAGCTCGCAGGCCGCAGAAGCGCCGCTCCTGGAAGGCCGTGAGGATGTCGGGGCACCAGTGCCCGCCGGGCCCCGGGGGGTGGTACGCCCGCAGGCGGCGCTGCTGGCCCACCCCGCAGGTCCTGGAGCAAGGTCCCCACGGGGCCCAGGCGGTCCAGGAGCAGTTCCCGGCCACGCAGCCAGGGCCAGGGCACTGGGGCAGCTCTGCGGGAGAGACATACCGGGCTAGAACCCCCACCTCCTGCTCCAGTGCCCAGCTCGGGGGGCACAGCCTCATCCAGACCCTTGGTTTTTCCATTGGGATCTGACACTGGCTGCTGTTGGTTCTGGCATCTGGGCCTCAGTTTCCCTTTTCTCATAGTGGACAGCAGCCCCAGACTCACAAAGCTGCAGAGAGACTGAGTGGCACCTTGGAGGTGTTCAGTGAGGATTTGCTGGGAGTTGGCAGGGCTCCCCAACTGCTGTCAGGGTTCGCAAAGATTGAACGGATGTCGGGGTGAGAATGCCACAACATATTTCTTTGGGGGATATGTTGGGGTCTGGGGGTTGGACGCTGGCTGGGGGTTACAATGAGTTGGCGGAAGGCAGATGTCAGGGTCAGAGGTCAAGACTGGAAGGGGTACCTGTGCAGGAGGGCAGGTTGCAAGGACGCTCCTGGGATGTGTCCCCGCGGGTGCAGTTCCCCAGGCAGAGGCGGGTGCGGCCACGCAGAGCGGGGTTGGCAGGGTCCGTGCAGCTGTGGGAACAGGGGGACCACGGGGACCACGGGCCCCAGCCACCTAGAGGGGGGTCATCCCTTGATGAGTCCTCCCTCAGCTCTCGGCCTCCCAGGAAGCAGGACGGGGCGGGGGAGGCTGGGCTTGCCCTTCTCAAGGGTGCCCTCCCTTGTACCCTCCTCATGTCCCTGCACAGCGCGCCCTGCCCCCCCTCAGAGTCCGGGCTACCTGGATGGCCTGTCACTGGTTCCACTGTGGACCCTGCAGCTCCTGTGCCAGAGGAAACCCATGTTCAGAAAAGCTTCCCGGCCAGCACGGGACCAAACCTGAGGCTGGCGGCCGAGTTTCAAACCAGTCACTGTCTGGACCAGCACTTCCCCGGGCCCCTCCCCCCAAAGACACCCGGGACCCACGCAGGTGCTTCCTTTAGGCAGCAAGGCCAGTGCCAGTGCGCCAGCCCTTTCTGCTGTGGTGACATTCCATCCCCTCCAGTGCTTGTCAAAATCATCTGTAACCCTCAATGCTGCCTCCCCCAGGAAGCCCTCCTAGATTGTCCTTCTAGGAGCATCCCCAACCTCCCTGATCTTCCACAGCTCATGTACCCTCCTCATATGCTGCCTCTTCCAGGAAGCCTTCCTGGACTGTCCCTGTGGAGAATCCCCAGCCTCCCCAATCTTCCATGCACCACACGCTGAAATGGGTTCTCTGAACACCTGGGTTCCCCCGCCCCAGCGCACACCATCTAGTACATTTGGCAAGAGTTCCACAAATGTTGGCTGAATGCACGTGAAAGCAGGAGGAACGCGACTAGTCTCCAAGAGGAAGCAAGCGTCAGAGATCAACAGGAAAGGCAGAGGCAGGAACGAACAAAAGCCAGGCACTGCCCGGCCCTCCCGCTTCCCCTCCCGCTTCCTCACCTGGGCAGTCCGGGCTGAGGCAGAACTCGAGGTCCTGGAGGGGCCCTGGGCAGCCCTGGCCTCCGGGAGCTGGCGTGGGGCGCACGCACTGGCGGCTGCGGGTGCGGGTGCCCAGGCCGCCACAGGAGCGGGAGCACGGACCCCAGGCGCTCCAAGCTCCGTCCACGGCGCCAGGGAGATGAGGCCGTGTCTGGGAGGCCAGGGAGGCCCCAGTCGTTGGGACTGGCGCAGGCGGCGGGGGCACCTCACCTGGGCACTCGGCGCTGGGGCACACCTCCCTCTGCTGCTGGAGGTCTGCCTCCCCCGCCCCCCCGGGGCATGGGGCCCCACCCTGCTGAGGAGCGGGGCAGGTGCAGGCCCTGGAGCGGGTCCTCATCTGGCCCCCGCAGGGCTGGGAGCAGGCCGTCCACTCCGACCACGGGCACCAGCCACCGGACACTGCGGGGGAGAGCAGCAGGTACTGGGGTGCAGCTGTTGCTTCCCCAGTCCCAGCCCTTCTTGTGACCCCACCTCTCCCCTCACCTCCCGCCTGCCCTCAACATACCTGGACACCGCAGGTCCGTGCAGTTCAGCTTTCCCTCCAGGCAGGTGCTGGGCAGGAAGGCGGGCACCAGAGGGAGGGCAGCAGCTCAACCCTGCCCATGCCCTCTGCACGCACCCCTCTGCGGTGCCTCTCACCCCTCACCCCTATGCCCCATTCCCCTCCAAGGCCTCAGGCCCCCTGTCTCCAGACTCTGCCCCCTCCAGGTCTCTCGGTGCCCGTCAGACTGTGTGTCCTACTGGGGACCGACCTCCGGTCAGCTGCTGCTGGCGGGCCTGGCAGCAGGAGGCGCCCCGCCACCCACAGTCTCCCGAGGAGGTTGTAGGAAGAGTGTCGCCTGCACCCACCGAGACTCAGGAGAGCTCAGGTGCAGGAGAAACAAGGTAGAATGCACCTGCTCCCACCCCGCCCTCACCCCTGCACCTGCACCTGCTGCCACCCCGCCCTCCCCCCTGCACCTGCACCCTGCTCACACCCCGCCCTCACCCCTGCACTGGCAGTCTGCTTCCTGCTCTCACTCCTCTCACCCCTGCACCTGCACCCTACTCCCACCCTGCCCTCACCCCTGCACCTGCCCGACTCACCAGTGGTTGCAGCCGTCAGGCCTCGCCAGCCGAGTGCCCGAGCGGTGCCGCGCCCCGGTCAGCAGGTCCAGGCAGCCGCAGTGAGCCGGCCGCACGCAGACCACGCCGTCGGCGCTCAGCACCTGGCCCGGGGGGCAGTAGCAGCCGGGCTGGCAGCGCCACACACAGTGCTGGGGGGGCAGCAGGAAGGATTCCCATCAGCCCAAAACAGGGTCCCGGGGGGCAAAGGGGGGTGCTGGGGATGAAGGAAGAGGATGTAAAGGGGGAGGCGAGAGGTCAGAGGGGGAGCGTGACACCCCTCCTGATGCACACGTGCACATGGCCAAGGTCCGTACACTGCGGTGCTCTGGGTGTTTAAGAAGACAAGTGGGGGGGCCCTCCCGGGCGCTGATGCTGCTCGCATAGTGAAATGCTGAAACTGGGAGCCCTTTGAGGGAGTGAAGACAGCCCTGCTGGCGAGGTGCCCTCCCGGACTCTCCCTAGAAGCAGGGGGAGCCCGGAGTCCTAGCAGTTGGGATTGGCACAGGCGGCTGGGGCACCTCACCTGGGCACTCAGCGCCGGGGAACCTCCCCCCATCCCAGGGCACAGGGCGCCTCTGCTGAGGAGCGGGTGGGCACCGGCCCTGGAGGGGGTCTGGTGGGTGCTGACCCACCCCGCCCCTCCCAGCCAGTGGGGGGCAGGACCCGCAGCCGCACCCTGCCCAGCAGCCCAGACTCACCACCAGGTCATCGCAGGAGCGAGGACAGGGGGGCCCACAGGGGCTAAACGCGGCCCCCTCGATGGTGGAGCAGTTGGTCACTGGGCGGAGGGAACGGATGGGCTGAGGGCCACTTCCTGCAGCTTCCTGGCCACTGCCTCTTGACCCCCCATCCCTGGCAGGTACCTGGGCATGGCAACACCTGGCAGGCCTCCCCCTGGGCCCGAGGCCCCTCACAGTAGTCCCCCAGGCCCTGGGGTGGGGGCTCGTCACAGGCTCGGGTCCGGCTCCGCAGGCCTCCCCCACAGCTCCGGCTGCAGCTGGACCAGGGTCCCCAAGGCCCCCAGCCCCCAGCTCCTGGGGGGACAGCAGAAGGAGAGTGGGGAGGGCTTGGCCGGGAGGGGGCAGGTGGCACAGGTGGACGGAGGGCATGAAGGCCCGCCCTGGGCTCCCCGGACTCACGGTCACAGCCTGGCAGGAGGCAGGGCTCCTCCTCAGCCTCAGGGCCCGGACAAGGAGTCGTGGTGGGGGCCAGTGGGGGCAGCAAAGCCACGCCGGTGGGCACTGCCCCGGGGCGCCTGGCACAGAAGCGATGCCGGTGGCGTCGGGCAGGACCACAGGAGGCCGAGCACGCGCTCCACGGAGTCCAGCGCGACCACGTGGGCTGACCTAGGGGTCGGGAGGGAGAGGCAGAGAGGACAGAACAAGCAATGCAGGCTGGCGCCCCAGCAGAACACCCCTCCTCCAGCCCCCCACTCTCCCGAGGGCCTCCTTGCCAGCTCCCAGTCTGGCCCAGCCCAGAGGCACAGGGCGCAGGGGGCAACTCAGGAGGGGCCTCTCACCCTCTTCGCAGGGCCAGGCGGTACAGTTGGTGATGAGCCCGGAGACACAGGAGCTGAAAGGGGACCCCATGGGTGGGGGTGCTGTTAGGGACTGAACTGGGTCTCCTCAATTCATGTTAAAGTCCCACCCCCCAGAATGTGACCCTACTTGGAGAGAGGCCAGGGGTACAGAAACCCAGGGAGCAGATGGGGCCGACCAGGGAGGAGGCGGCCCGTGGGGAGACGGTGGGGAGACGGAAGGATGCAGCGACAAGCCAAGGGCTGCTGCTACATGGGGGGGCAGGGGCACCGCCTGGAACAGAGTGCCCCCCACACGGCACAGCCGCAGAGGGCACCTGTCCTCCCAAGACGCGGGGCCCGGGTTTCCAGCCTCTAGAGCTACGAGAAGACAAAGTGCTGCCCCAGACCCCCCGGCCGTGGGCTGGTGTTGTGGTGATCCCCGAGACCAGGCAGGCGGGACGAGAGATGGGCAGGGGATGGCACCAGCGAGGGTTCGAGCAGGTGCCTGTGGGGAGGGGTGTCTCTACGGGGGTCCGGAATCCCCAGCTGAGGAGGGACAGTGGGATATGGGGGCTCATTGCATCGGGGTGGGGGTGTCTCACCAGTTCTCACATGGGCGAAGCACAGTGCCGCCAGGGGGGTAGAGGCGCCCCCCATGGGTGCAGGGGCAGTCCTGCGCGGGCACACACACGTTGTTCTGGAATCAAACATCCCGCATTATCTTCCGGCTTCTGGCCCAGCCTGCTCCCCGAGTCAGCACTCAGCACCCCTCCTCAGGCCCCCTTCTCAGAGGCCGCCGAATGCCAGCCACGGTCCTGCCACTGCCCTACCCTTGGACATGCCACCCTCAGCTGCAGGGCTGTGGGGCGGGGGCATGGACCCCCCCTTTCTGGGAGAGAAAGACCATCTTGTCTTGCAAACCCAAGAGTGAGTGTGCAGGTGCCCACGGAGCCAACCAGCGGGACGGGGGAGGCGCCGCCCAGGCAGCCACGAGGCAAAGGCGGGCAGAGGTGGACGCGGGCAGCGGGCCCAGAGCAGGCTCGCCGCGCCGAGGGCCAGGACGCCGCCCGAAGCTCACGTAATGGTGCGGGCGACGTTGCTTGAATTTAAAGCACACGTCGTTTAATTTACTTCGCGTCAGCAAAATAAAACCGGACAAAACCAGGCGCACGGGGTGCGGCAGGAGCCACTAGTGTCCAATTTCTAAACAGGCGCCAGGAGCACAGGCCTCCGGGCCCCGCAGCCTGCCGTTCCCAGGCCAGGCCCGGGGGGGCGCTCTGCCACCGCACGGGCTCCACGACCGGGGTCGTTCCTGCCACTTCCAGAGACCGAGGCACAAGAACACGCGGCCCCTGGTCAGCGAGTTGCAACTGGAAGAGTCTGACTTGAACGCAGACCCTCCTCCCCGGGCGCTGTCCGGTAACTGCAGCCCACCGTCCAGCGGCACCTCTAAGCTGTCCCCACCCCCACAGCTTTTGTTCAAACTCCACCACGCCAGCCGCATTTCCCAGCCCTGTTCCCACCACCCTCTCCTGGCGTGGCCACCACCCTGCTCGCATTCCCGTCAGTCTCGGATGTTCAAGGCACGGCCACCTCCTCCAGGAAGCCCACCAGGACTGACCCTCCCCAGACTGACCCAGCTCCCGAGGGTCTGCACCCTGAGCTCAGAGCATGCAAAGCTCGCAGTTCCTGTGGATCCAACGGTTCTGTCTTCTTTCCAGGGGTTCTGGGTCTAGTTTCCCCAGACTGGAGGCTCCCTGAGGGCAGAGCCTGCATAACCCAGTCCAAGACTGAGCAGAGAGTAGGTGCCCGATAACACAAGAGGAGAGCGCTCAAGCAGGCACGAATCACAGGCCTACTAGGTCAATCACCACTTTACAGACAAGAACGCGACCCGCCCAGGTCACTGCCGGCTGGCTCTGCCCCATCTTGTCCCTTCCCTGCCACGCAGGGTCCCTGGGCCCCGAGGAGGTCAGCCAGAGAGGACACTGACCAGCAGGAGTGTTCCAGGCAGGCAGTAGCAGCCGGGGTGGCAGGTCCGGTTAGCCCCTGGAGGGGCGCTGAGCTCCGCACAGGAGGCCGGGCCCTGGGCACAGTCCAGCCACCGCTTGTCCCCAGGACACACACCAGGCACTGGCCCTGGGGACACAGAGGTTGGCAGCCCAGCCCAGGCACGCCCCACTCCCCCTAGCTGCTACCCTGGCGAGGTGTCCGCTCTGGGTGTGCGCGGGAGCTCAGGGTCCCTGGGGGGCCGGGAAGAGCTAACAGCGCCCCAGGGTGGTGGAGGTCCCGGCAGCCTCACCGGCACAGGGCTGCAGGCCGCAGGCGGAGAAGTCCATCTGGCCGGGCAGGCCGCCGCCTCGGCTGCGGTTCCGGTAGCCACCGCCGCAGGGCACGGAGCACGCAGACCAGCGGCCCCACTGCTCGCTGGGGCCTGGGCGGCAGCTGGGTCACCGCAGGGCCGCGTCCCGCACCCGACGCGCCTCTTTCCTCCCACCCAGACACGGGTCCCTCCCCCTATATCCCAGACAGCCGAGCATCCCCCCTAGCTGCAGCATCAGGAGACCCCACTCTCCTCAGGAGCAGGAAGGACCCCTCTGATGGCTCTCTGGGGCCCACATCTCCTAGCATCCCCCAGGGCAGCCCTCTCGAGGTACTGGGGGAGTGTCCTTGGCTCCCCGATTGAGCGGTCTGAGGACCTGCCTCAGCTCTCACCTTGGCAGGGCCGCAGGCTGCAGAATTCAGCCTCCATATTGGGGCCCTGGCACGCGGCACCCCCAAAGGCAGCGGGGGGCGCAGTGCCCGCCCGGAAGCGCCGCCGAACACCCACATTGCAGCTGCGGCTGCACGGACTCCACGGGGTCCAGGGGCTCCAGCCGCAGGCCACTGCCGGGGTGCGGGCTCGGTCATAGGCTGCACAGGAGCGCGAGTCGCGCCGGACCCCAGTTCCCCCCGGACGCCACCCACATCCCCAGAAGACGCTCCCTGAAGGACCCCGTTGCCCCTGACGCCGCTGAGGACCCCCGGCTGCTGTCGGGGTACCTGGGCAGGGCTCCGAGGTGCACACCATCTCCCCAGAGACGCAGGTGCTGCAGAGGAGGCATCGCAGTGTCAGCCCCGTCCCTGCCCGAGGCAGCGGCCGGGCCTACGGGGCCACCCCCGGGAGGAGACCCCGCGGCTGGGGTAAAGCCAGTCCCCGGCCGTGTCCCAAGCCAAGTTCACGCCATGACCAGGCTTCTCACCCAGACCCCCGCGCCCCGATTCCACCCTCCGAGCGCCCCTGACGCCCCAGGCGCACAGTTCTACGCCTTTCCAGACTGTTCATCGTTTTGCGTTTATGAAGCCCGCTTGGCCGCGACTTCGCGCCACTCCCCAGGGACAGGCAGGGCGGCCCCGACTCCCCGGGGCTCCTGGGAGGAGACCTGGGCCCTTTGCTCTGACTTCCTCCCGGAACAGGTTTTAAAGCCCGGTGTCCGAGACGTGGGAGCTCCAGGGAAGAACCCGAGAGCAAGCGCAAGAGCAAGAGGCAGGGAGGAGGCGCGGCAGGGACGGGGAAGCAGGAAGGAAAACACAGAGCCGGAACCAGGGAAAAGGCGGGCGGGGCGCGCCCTCTGCCGGGGGTGGGGGGGGGGCGCTGCCAGCTCCAGTATCAGGGGCTTCAAGGTTTCCGAGCAGAAACCAAGGTGGCGCCAGGTGGGGACTTACACACAGGACACCGGTCCCTGGGGGAGAGGCCGGAGCTCCCTCCAGGCCTCACGCCACCCTCACGCCCTTCCCCTGGCTGAGCGTCGGCGCCCCCAAACCAACCGGAGACAGTTCCTTACAGGCCCCCCGAGGCCAGGTGGCCCCCACTCAGCTGGTATCCCCACAGCCTGTGCCGCACCAAGGTGCCACGCTGGCCCCTCCTCTGGGTGAGTCCGGATCTGCCCACCTCCGGTGCCCCCAGCCCTGCCCAGCCCAGCCCGCGGCCGCCGTCCTACCAGTTGTTACAGGAGTCCAGCCGAGCCACTGCCCCCGGGGCGTGCAGCTGCCCGCGCAGCTGGCAGGGGCACTGGTGGCGCGGCAGGCAGCTGGCGTTGTGCAGGAAGAGGCCCGGGGGGCAGGCGCAGCCGGGGGCGCAGGAGCCTGTGCACTCCACGCCCCGGCCCTGCGCCAGGCACAGCTGAGGGCACGGGCCCCCCTCTTGGCGGCACTGCTCCGCCGAGCGGAACACCATGTCCCCCGGGCACTGGGCTGGACAGGGAGACAGGGCGGGTCTCAGCAGGGGCTGCCGGGGAGGCAGGGCGCAGGGGTCAGGGGAGCCCGCGTGCAGGCGGCCGGGTGGCAGGATGGGGAAGCTGGGGGCGGCCCCAGGACCTGGGCAGCGGGTCTCCCCGAGGGGCAGCTGGAGGAGTCACAGGAGGGCTGGGCGGGGGGCGGGGACAGGCGGCACCTGCGCAGGCCTGCGTGTTGCAGTCCCTGGTCTGGCTGTGGGGTCCCTGGCACTCGGGGTCTCCTGGCACTGAGCCAGAGCAGCGGCGCCCACGTGTCTGGACGCCCCCGTCACAGGGGGCCGAGCAGGCCGACCAGGCGGCCCACGGGCCCCAGACGCTCGGCACTGGCAGGAAGAGCCAACACGGCAAGGAAGTGGGCAGGGGGTGGGGTGCGGGAGGGGCCGCAGGGTCCTGCCGCAGCCTCAGCATCCATACCTCGGGGCTGTCCCCCAAGCCCCTCGGGTCAGGCCCTCCTGTTAACCCAGCTGGGCTTCTGGGAGTATGGGGGGCAGGGGCTTGCTCGGGCCTCTCTCCTCCCGCCAGGGGCCCAAGACCCTGCCCAGGGGGTTGATCTCCTTTGTTCCCCTCCCCGCCTGGTCCCGGCCTCGCCAGGGCAGAGGGCCCATACCTAAGCACACAGTGGGGCTGCAGGGCTCCTCCTGGGTGGCCTCTCCCGGGCAGGACGTGTCCGCGGGGCCCGGGCAGAGCCGGGAGCGACTGCGCCAGCCGGGAGCCCCTCCGGGGGCCAGGCAGCTCCGGGAGCAGGCGGACCAGGGTGTCCAGGGCGTCCAGCCTGGGGCCTCTGCAGGGGGAGGGCAGGCCAGCTGCACAGGGCTCCGCCGGCCTGGGGCTCGGGAGACCCAGGTCAGGTCGAGAACCTGGGGAGCGGCGGCGGGAAGGGCGCGCGAGGCCGGGGAGCTGCTCTGGGAACCCGGCTCTCAGGCCCAGTTCTCCCCGGCAGGGCAGAGCCTCCTGCTGGGCCGGACCCCTCCACTCCAGCCCCTGTCCCTGGGCCCGGCTGGCACCCCGGCACGCCCTCCAGCCACCCCTCATCTCCTGAGAGCAGCGTCCAGGACCTCCGAAGCCCTCTCCGTCCGCTCCCGCGTTGGAAAGCCCAGAGGCCCTGCGGACGGTCCGCGCCCAGCAGCCTCTCCACCGGCCCCTCCTCCCGCTGAGAGAGCCTGGCCCGGAACCCTTGGACTCACCCCTGCTCCCCAAGTCTCCTGCTGCCTCCTCCACCAGGGAGACCTCAGGCAACGGCTCTGCCTGGGCCCCAGGGGATGAAAGGAAAACAGCGGGAACCTGCTCTGGCCTCCAGGCTCTCCACAGCCGCCCCCACCCCCACATGCGGCCAGTGGGCTCAACCCCAGGCGCCTGTTCCTGCCCCCCGCACCCCAGGCGGTGCTGCTGTGGGCCTGGGCCAGCTGAGTGGGGGGATGGTGCACCCAGACCCTGCTCTCTCCAGTCAGAGCTGCAAGCCAGGGCCGCGTGCTGGGCCCGAAGGCTTCGCTGCTCCCCGCACGCGGAGTGGCCAGCAGGAGGGATACTGTCCAGTTCTTAGGACAGGAACGGGAGGGCCGGCGCGCGGGCTCCCGACGGCACCCATCCCTCGCACCGTGCCCGCCCCGCCGCCCGTCCCCCTACACCTCCCCACCGCCTGTCCCTCCCCCACACCTCCCCCGCCACCGTCTACCCCCCATACCTGTCCCACACCCCAGGTGGCAGGCCTGCAGCTCCTGTCTGTCGCCTTCACAAGGGGCACCCCCAAAAGCAGCTGGAGGGTTGGAAGGAGACCTGGGGAGAGAGGCCGTTTGGGTCCCCCTGCTCTTCTCCCTGCGCCCCTCTTGTCTGCCAACCCTGCCCCTCTCTCTCCCAAAGGCGCCGAAGGCTCCCACTGCATGGCCCAGCCCAGTTCTGCGCCCCCCACCCCCTCTTTCCTCCTCCCGTCCCCTCCCCCCACCCGGCGGGCACCTGAACCTGGCCCTCAGTCCCGAGCCACAGGAGCGGTCGCAGGGGCCCCAGGAGGACCAGGCGGACCAGCCGCAGGGCACAGGGCAGCGCCGGGGCTCACACAGCAGCGCCCCCTCCTCACACAGGCTGCGGGGGGGCGGGGACGAGACGACCATCAGGCTTGTGGGGTGGCAGGGACAGCCCCTCCCCAGGGCACAGCCACCCTCACCACCGGCTGCAGTTGTCCAGGAGGAAGGGCACCCCCGGCGGCCTCAGCTCCCCGCCCACAAGGCAGGGGCATTCTGAGAGGGGCAGGCAGCCAGCGCCGTGCAGGAGCAGCCCCGGGGGGCAGCGGCACCCTGGGGTGTGGAGAGAAGAGCACTCAGCCCCAAGTGTGGGGGTCAGCAGGGAGGAGCCCAGAGGGCGCCCCCACCTGCCCCCCGAGGGCTCCGTCCGTGGCACCACTGGTGGGTCAGCCTCACCCTCCAGACAGCGCCCGCTGCAGCTTCTGTTGGCCGTGGGGTCCAAGCAGGAGGGCGGGCAGGGCGGCGCCAGCCCCTGGTGGCACAGGTCAGCACCGACGTGCACGCGGCCCGGCCCGCAGTCTGGGGAGCGACAGCACCGGGTGGGGGGGCTGCCTGAGGCCCAGCGACCTGCCCCAGCCCCACCCAGCTGGCTCCCCTTACCTGTGCCCCCTGTGCAGGGCTGCAAGCCACAGGGTGCCCCCTCCTGGGAGGCCCCAGGGCAGGGGGCACCTCCATTCTTGGGTGGGGGGTCCACACAGCTCCTCCGGCGACTCCGATGGCCGCCCCCACAAGAGACGCTGCAGGGCCCCCAGGCCTCCCACACAGCCCAGGCCCCAGCCACTGTGGGGGGAGGAGGGATGGGGTGGTCCAGGCAGAGCCCAGGGGAGCCGCAGTGTGCCAGGCCGCAGAGCAGAGGGGAGCCTGGGCTGCGGACCCCACCGCCTCCTGCCCACCCCAGAATAACCGCCCTGGAGGGGTGCGGCGGCACGGAGGGGACCTGGGGCAAGTGCTCCGGTGCCTCCCCGATAAAGCACAGTCCCTGGAACAGGGCAGGACGGGGGACTCCCGCAGCAGGGCGCCCCCTGGTGACCGCACACAGAAGCGGGCTAGGAGGCCAGGGAGGGGGCCCCCTGGGAAGCGCAGCAGAGGCCTGGGGACCGCCGCCTCCAGCTCTCAGCAAGGAGCCCGGGTCAGGTGGGATGGGCCCTCAGCACCCTCGCTCTGAGGGGCACTGGCTGCTGCTCCAGCTCCCCGGGGCCGGGAGATGAGGGACCACCAAGGCCACGCAGGTAAGGGGCGAGGCTTCCTGACAAGCCCTTGGAGGTGTGAGGTTGTGGCTTCAGAAGGGGCTGTCCAGGCTGAGGGGAGCCTGGACGGGGTCCCAGCAGAGATCAGGGGCATCTCCCCGGTACAGGTCTCGGGCAGGAACCCGCCCAGGTGTCTCACCTGGAGCCGGCAGAGACCGGGGGCAGGAAGCCGGTTACCTGGGCAGGCCTGCACAAAGCAGGGCTGGCTGCGGACCCGGTCGGGTGGGCAGCTGCCCCCGGGCAGGGGAGGCCGCAGGAGCTCCCGGCGCTGGAAGGTGAGGCCCGGGCCACAGCTGTGGCTGCAGCCGCTCCAGCCAGACCAGGGGCCCAGGACGCAGTCTACTGCAGGGGCCAGGCGGGCCGGGTTCAGTGGGCCTCACACGAGCGCAGGACCCCAGCGGGTGCCCCAGCCCCCACCTACCACAGTGGTCCTCGTCAGAGCCGTCCTGGCAGTCGGGCCGCAGGTCACAGCGCCGCTCGGAGGCCAGGCACTCCCCGCTGCCGCAGCTCAGCTGGCTCGGGGAGCAGGGGGCCCGCGGGGCTGGCAGCCCAGGCAGGGCCGTGGTGGGCACCGTGAAGGGCGCCATGCTCTCCGTCCCTGAGCCGGGGGCGGGGGCGGGGGAGTCACATAAGTGCTTCAGACGCGGGACAAGTGTCCCCTGGACCTCAGGCCAAGAGCAGAACGCAGCTTGCTGATGCTGCCCTGTGCCCGCGCTGGCCCCTCCACCGCGTGCAGTCTGGTCCTCACAGGACCGCATGGCCATGCTGCTTGCCAGGGGCTCTTGGAGCGTCCAGACAGGCCAGAGTCTAGAGGAGCAGCTCACGCTCTTGGGCACCCTCCTCCTGAAGGGGTGCTCCTGGGGTGCCCTTTATTGCGATGGGTCAACACTTCATCTCTCTTGTCCTGACTGGGAGACTGGCCCTCGAGCATGGCGCTCTACTCTGGAGGGACGGAAGAGTGTCCTCACGGGCCCGACAGGCTTTATAAAACGGGCTGGCTCCCAAGACCTCTCCATGCCCCCCTCACATTCCCAAAGGCGCACACCGTCCTGGCTGTTCTGCCCTGCTCAGTTTCTCTCCACTCCCCGCGGCCCCCAGTCCCCCCAGGCCTCCCATGTGAGCGAGAGACGAGGGGCAGGTACTGCCCTCCGCCTAGGGCCTTCTTGGCACCACCCCCCACCACCCCCATGACATCACACCCTCCCAGGGCCTGCGGGCCCCGCTCACCACAGTGTCTCTCGTCAGAGCCGTCCAGACAGTCCTCCGTCCCGTCGCAGAGCTGCTCCTGCCCCACACAGGCCAGCACCTGGCAGGGCGCCTGGCCCAGGCTGCACTGCACAGGTGGGAAGGGCCCCGGGGCAGCACGCTGGCCTGCGGGCACCACTGCAGTCAACTGGCCAGACCCCCACCTGTCCTCCCCGCCACCCCAAGACACCTCCAGCGGTTTCCCTCTGACCTCTGCCGCGCCCCTTTCCTGCCTCTCCCGGAGTACTCACCTGTGTCAGGAGGCCTGGTCCTTCCAAACCCTGATCTTGACTTGTGTGACCACAACCAACCTCCCAGGGCCTGCCCCCGGCGGGGAGGGAGGCTGCTGGGATACACGGCTTTGCAGGCCTTACCTGCAGGCGCCGCGGGACTCGTGGGGTGGGGGTGGGGCACCGTCACGGCCGCCAGTCCTGGTCCCAGGACCTTGGCCTCGGGTTGGGATATGGAGGCGGTGGTCACAGTCGGCACGGAGTCCCCAGGACTCGCACGAGGAGCTTCGGAGCCAGGGACGGCGCTCACTGGCCCTTTCCCTGTGGCGCAGGACAGACATGGGGTGAGGCCCCCCTGCTCCCCTCCCCTGAGACAAAGGTGCCCCAAGCTTCAGGGTGGTGCAGGGTAAAGACAGACAACACCCCTTTCCAAGGAGCTTCAGATCAAAATGGGGAGCTCAGTCGTGGTCTAAGGAGCACAAGAGGGTGCTGAGCTGACAGTAGAAAAAAAGCTTTGAGCTGAGATTTATTTACACTGCGAGGAAAAAGACGCCCGGGGCAGATTCAAAGCCAACGCGCTGCAACACTAACAATTCACGAACAAAAACAAGAGCGCCCCCAGCAACACCAGCACAAGCAGCGAACTCCACCAGAACCCAGGCTGAGCTCACGGCCGCCTCTGCACAGAGAAACCGCCGCGAGCTTCCTGGCAGCCACGGGAAAAGAGGACTAAGAGTCCCACTGTTCTGAGAAGACTCGGGGGAAAGAGCCTTTTTTCCTGAAGCAGATTCAAGGTGAGAGGAGAATTCACCACGTGGGTCTCTTAACGGACCTGAGTGATGGTGCAAGTTGCATCCTCTGCTTTTTCACGAAAGACACAGAAGCACCGGCCAGCCGGCTCCTGACCAGCTCTCACCAGATCTGGGTCTCTGAGACCTCCGAGTCTCACAGGCGGTGACAGCGAGGTCTGGCAGGAGGCGCGCCTGCCCACCAGCCCCCGCCGGAGGTCAGAGCCAGGACTCACTGGCTGCCTGACGGCCCATCCTCTCCCTGCTGGTGCCTCCCTCTCTCTGAAGACAGCTGCTCTGGGGCTAGCCCGGGGACCCCAGCCCCCCTGTGCCCACCCAGAGCTACTGCTACCTGCAAACACCTCAGAGAGGGATGCCTGAGGTGGGTGACAAATGCAGAAGGGGTGCAGACAGATGGACGGGTGGATGGATGGATGGACGGGTGGATATACAGATACACGAAGGGAGGGGTGGGGGGGTGGGGGGGTGGGAGGATGGGGTCTGGAGTTTGTGCTCATACCTGTGGGGGCCGTGAGTGGCCCCTGCCCGAGATGCCGGTGTTCAGCCTCCGCCAGACCCTGCGAGGAGGGAAGGGCTCAGCCACACGCAGCCCAAGCCCAGCCCCCCAGCACCAGCCTCTCCTTCCCGAGAGATGGGTGTGCCTCAGCCGCACCCTGTGCCCCCCAGAGCAGAGCCGGAGAGCAGAGCCTGATTCCTTGGGATACCTCAAGGTGGGGGCGCCCTAGGTCCAGGAGCTCAGAGGCTCTTCTCGCTGCCTCATTAAGGGGACCCTCTTCTGCTCCAGCCCTCCAAGCCCCTGGTCCTCTCCCCCCACCATGCCGTGCTCGGCCCCCCCAACCAGACATCACCCTCCCTCCCTCCTTCCCTCCGTCCTTCAAGACTCAGCACCCAGGCTCCGGGCTCCTCCCGGCCCGAGCACAGCCTCAGAAGCCGGCACACGCTCCTGTCTCCAGGGCCTCTGCGCTCCTCCGCACCCCAGCTGGCCCCTGCCCCAGCCAGGCACTGTGCTGGCCCCAGAAGCCTCCCGGGGACCGTGAGGGGCACCGGGGACATCCACGGGGACGACACGGGCCGACGCCGTGAGGGGAGGGAGGACCCGGAGCAGGCGCGGGGCCGCTGGGCGCAGGGCCGGCTCCCTGTCCTCAGCACCCGCCTTGGGCCCAGCCGCACTCACCTCCCTAGGCTGGGGCAGCAGCTGGCCCAGTCCAGAGGGGGACAGGCCTGGGGTCCCGGCTGCGGACGGGACTCTGCGGAGAAAAGCAACTGCAGGGGCTCCGTGCTCCCCCGGCACACGTGCCCCCTCCGGCAGCGCTCCCGGGATGGACCAGGCTGGCTGGGGCGGGCCCGGCCCGCTGACACCGGCCAAGGGAGTGCTATCCACCAGGTTGCTCCACGCCAGCCTGTCAGAATCATCTAGAAGCCTTAGAAAACACAGCGGGCTCGGCTGGGCCCCAAGGGTCTGCCTCTCAGGCCAGGGCCCAGGGACCTCGTAACAGATTCCCCGTGTCGCTGCTGCTCCCGGGGCCACGCTGAGACTCCGGGAAATGGCACAGAATTCTAGAATGTCTCGGCCGCAGGGGTCACCCAAGGCACAGTCTGCAAGGACAAGCCGAGGGTCCCCGTACCTGCGGGCGCCTGCAGCGGGGGGCGCACAGCCCTCTTCATCCGACCTGTCCTCACAGTCGCCCGCACCATCGCACGGGGCGCCCTTCGGGGCACACTCACCACTGGCACAGCGGGGTCCAGCCCCGGGGCACGGGAGCACCACTGCGGGGACACCGTGGGGCCGTGGCTGAGGCCCCTGCGCAGCCCGCCCCGCCCCTCCCCCAGGCCCCGCCCCGCCCTGGCCCTACCTGGCTCCTCGCAGCCCAGCAGCTCCACCCGCGGGGCGCGGCTCTGGTGGGCATCTTGGGGCCACACCCGGACATACCGCGCCTGCACCATGCGGCCGAACGTCCACGCTGCGGGGGTCACGTCACCCCAGGCCCCGGGGGAAGGCTGCGGACAGGGAGACGCCTGCTGGCCGAGGCCCAAGACCGCCTTTGCCCGGGATGCTGGGGCCCACCCTGCTCTCCCGGTCCCCCAACCTCTCTGGCGTGGGGCCTGCCCCTCAGGCCCATGTTCTCCCGGCGGGACCCCGAGGGCAGGGCCAGTCGTGATCTCTCCGTGTGCCCAGGATCTGGCCAGTGCCTGCATGTGCGGGGCTCCCCGGGTGTTTGAGGGTGACGGTGCCGTGGCTGATTCCTCCTGCGCCGACAGGCTGGTTCCCAGGGAGGATGCAGACCCCAGAGGGTAGTAGGGCTCCCCTGCTCTCTACCTGACCCCCAGCTTCTACCCCACCCCGTCAGCAGGATGCCTCAGCCACTGCCGCTGCCCGCTCGGCCCTCTGGCACCGGCCCAGCATGCGCTTCACGGCCCCCCCCTGCTCTTCAGAGGGCCCGCAAGCCTCCGATGCGGGGAGCGCCCCCGAGGAGACTGGACAGCCCTTGGGGACCAAGACTGTGGGCCCCAAAAGGCGTACGGGGGTCCCCGGTGGGTTGTACCTTGGGCGGGGGCGGAGGGGCGGGCTGGAGGTCGGGGTAGCTGTGCCAGTGCAGACCGTCGCTGCTGAGCTGGAGCCGGCGCACCGCCCCCGCCCCCTGCACCAGCAGGCCTGAGGCAGGAGGAGGGCGGCTCAGAACCAAGGCGCAGCCGTCCCAGCGGGTCACCCCCACCCAGCCTCGCCCATGCACTGACCAGTGAGATTGCGGGGCCGCAGCAGGTCCAGCTGCCGGGGTGGGGCCTGGGTGTGCTGTGGAGCGTGGGGGTCGGGTCCCCTGGTGGGAGCCCCCGGGGGGCAGTCGAGGCAGGGTGCTCCAGCCACAGGCCGCCCTCGGAGAGCCCGGCCAGGCCCAGGGGGGCGTAGCAGGGGTCTGGGGAAGAAGAGGGGGTGCAAGCGGGGGAAGGCAAAGGGGGCCTTCCACAGCGCAGCCAAGGAAGCCAGGGGGGTGGCTGGGGCATCGGAAGGGCCCGCGCAGCCGACCGCCACCCCGATGAGCAGCCCGGGCCGGGGGCGAGGGCGGACTCCAGCCGAGGCCCCTGCAAGCAGGACACCCAGCCCGGGGAGGGTGGGCAGGCCCCGACTCCCCCCAGGCCGGCCCCCCGGGGCGTGTCCTCCTCCCCGCACGGCCCTTACCTCCGGGTGGAGGCAGGGTGTAGGTGACCAGGGGGGCTCCGGTCCGGGCACTGGGGGCCGGAGTGGGGTACAGAGTGACCATGGCGGGGAGCGCCTGCTCCTCTCCTGTGCGGACACTCAGGGTCAGGGGGGGACAGCTGAAACCCGCTCGCGCCAGCGCCACCTCTCCCGGGATGTTCCCTCCAGGACTTCACAGGGGCTTGAGGAGCAGCCCCCGGGGCCGGGAAGGCGCGTCCTGCCCTTGGTGGGAGCTGGAGGACTCCGTGTCCGCTGAGCACTTGATGACTAAAGAGTAAAACTGCCTCTCGGAAGCCACGTCGGGGCCGGCCCGAGCAGCGCCCGCCCGCACCGAGGCTGCCGTGCCCGCAGGGGACCGTGTGCGCTAGAGAGAGGCCCCTGCGCGGGGAGCAACCTGCGCGCCTGTGCCGGCTCTCGGCCTGGCAGCCCCAGGGGCTCCCCCAGGAAAGGCGTCTGGACCCACAAACGCATCCTTTCTGGAGCCCTTGCGTTTTCCTGTCGCTGTCACTCAGCCGCCAAGGGAAGCTGCTTCTGAAGTCCCGGCCAGCCCGGCTGCTCTCAGGGCCGGGGGAGGAGCCGGCGCCGACTCAGCAGAAGCAGAAAAGCGAAAGTGCCCTTGCGGGTGGCCTCCCGGGGAGGCAGGAGCTCACCAGGAGCTGGGCAGGGGCAAGCCCTCCCTCGGGGGGGCCCCTCATTCCCCCAGCCTGAGGCTGGGGTGCCCCGCGCCCCGGCTTGGTGCAGCTGCCGGGGGCCCCCGGGTTCTCGCCGCCCTCCCCGGCTCCTCCGCACCCCCAGCCCCGCTCACCCGGCCGGACGCAGCGGCAACAGGGCTCCGAGGGCGCCTCCACCAGCACCCAGTCCTGAGGCAGAGAGGGGCCCGATGCGCGAGGCTGCCCCTGCCCGTCTCCGCCCCCCTACCTCCCCCCCCCCCCCCCCCCCGTCCCCGGGCGCCCCGCCCTGGCCTCCGCACATGCCCCTGCTCCCAGCGCCTCACCTGGGGGCAGCTGCCCAGCGGGCAGTAGGGGGAGCAGAGCACAGTGCCATCGTGCAGACACTGGCACACGCTGCAGGGTCCCCCCCGCCAGCGCGCCCCCACACCGTGGACTTGGCCGTGCTGCTCACAGCGCCCGCACGGCTCCGTCTGGCACCTGGGAGGGGAGGGGCACCTCCCCCGATGAGCAGGTGCGCCTCGGGCCCGTCCCCCACCCCCACCCCTGTCCCGGGGGTTCCCGTCCCTGGCTGTGCAGTGAGAAACCCGGGCCAGCGGACCGGGACCGACGGGGTGGTTCCCTGTCACCTGAGCCCCGCCCCGCCCCGGGCGGCTGGGCCCAGAGAGGGCTGGGTTAGCAGCATGTGCCAGGGCCCCTGAGCAGCAGAACTGCCTGGGGGGCGCAGGGTGTAGACAGACAGAGACAGCCTGACCCAAAGCCTCACCCCAGGGCCCGGAAGGGCCAAAGCAGAGGAGACACACCTGCCTCTGGACTCGCCACGTTGCACTCGTGGGCGCCCCACAACCCCCTCTTTGGAGCCAGTGGGTCTAAAACTGATACAGGAGAAAGCTGGGTCCCCACAGGTTGCTGGGTGTCCTGGCGCATAGACCCAAAGGGAGGCAGCGGGGGGCTCCTCTTTCAGGGAGCGGCGTGCAGAAGCTAACTGGGAGGGGCGGGCAGGCCCAGGTACCTGCGGGCCTTGCGGTGGAGGCCCCGGCACCGGTGGCCTTGGCCAGAGAGGCGGGGGTTGTTGGGGCTCCGGAAGGACCACTGGACGCTCTGGCTCCCGCAGGGGCCCAGGCACTCGGCCCAGGGGGACCAGGAGGACCAGCCGCAGTTCACTGAGGAAGGGCCCGGGGTCAGGGGCTGGGGAGGGAACCCAGCTGCGTGACCTGGGGACCCCGCGGCAGGGCCAAGGCAGGGGTGGGCTCACCGGCACAGTTGGGGTTGGGCTGGCAGCGCTGGGGCCGCCCGTCCTGGCAGACGCAGAGCCGGCAGTCGTCGGTCTTGACGCGCTGCCCAGGCCAGTAGCGGGCACCGCCCACCAGGCAGGGACACTGCTGCGGCGGCACACATCGCCCCTCACCGCCCAGCACCTGCCCCTCGGGGCACCAGCAGCCTGGGGAAGGCCTGGCATGAGGCCTCCTGCAGAAAGCTGGGTGCCCAGCCATGCCCATGGCACCCCACCCCGCAAACCCCATTACCTGGGCTGCTGCAGGGCCGGTCAGGGGGGCATAGGGCCTGGCCAGAGATGTCCTCGCAAGTCAGCGGGCAGGGGGCACAGGGCTGGAACACCAGCTCCCCAGGGCAGGTGGCATTGGGGCAGCCGTCCCGAGGGCAGGGCCCTGCAAGAAATGGGGTGGGATGAGGGGGAACCCCTCAAGGGTTCCCACAGGGCCAAGCCCATCACGCTGACCCTCCGCGCCCCCTCTGCTGCACCCCTTCCCTTCCGCTCACGGGTCTGGTGGCTGCTGGGAGGGCCCCCGGGCAGCGTGGCGCAGGCCCGGCCCCCATTCTGCAGAGGGTGGCACCGCCGCTCCCGGGTCGAGGTGCCCCCGCATGACTCAGAGCAGGGGGACCAGGGGGTCCAGGGGCTCCACTGTCCGTCCACTGTGAGGAGGGGCCTGAGGTCTGGCTGGGGCCTGGATCGGTCTCTGGGCGCCCCCGCCCCGCTCCCAGTGCCCAGGCCCCCACCTGGGCAGGCAGCAGCGAAGCAGGCCTGAGCCTGGTGCTCTGGGCCCGGGCAGCGCTGCAGCACCGGCAGGCTGGGGGGGGAGCAGCGTCGGCTCCGGCCCTGCACCCCGGGCCCACACGTCCGACTGCACGGCCCCCAAGGGCTCCAGGGGCCCCAGACCCCACACCCCTGCTCTTCCGGAGAAAAGGCTGCCTCCCCTGCCCATTCACAGTCAGGCTGCCCGTCGCACACCTGGGGAGGGAAGGGGGTGGGGGTCAGGCTCTGCCCACCCATGGCCCCACCCTGCCTCCAGCACCCCCAGCCTGGCTCACCAGCTGGAAGCTGATGCAGCGGCCCCCCGGGCAGGAATATTCTTGGCAGGGCCCGCCTGTCCTGTTGGGCGCCCCCGGGGCTCGCAGCCCCTCTGCAGGGGGAGAGGAGAGAAGCCACAGGCTGGGCGCGAGCCTGGCCCCCTCCCCGGGCCTCGGCCTCGCAGTTGCCTCCCTACCGCAGAGGCGCTCGTCCTCCCCCTGCGCGCAGTCGGGGGCGCCGTCACAGAGGCGCTCGGGGCTCAGGCACAGCTGGGGCGCTGAGCCACAGGGGAAGAGACCTCTGCCGCATGGGGGCTGCTGTGTGGAGCCTGCGCAGAAACAGTCAGGCTAAGCGCCTGCCCCTCCCGCCTGCCCCCTGCAGAGGGCGGGGCCGCCAGAGGCACTGGAGTGGGAGGGTGGGCGGGTTGCACCTGACTTGGTGACACCTCTGGGTGGGCCCCAAGGGACAGGGGGCCGCGGGTGGAGTTGGGGCCTGCACACGGCCAACCCCACTGCGGGGGCAGGTGGCCAGGACAGAAGCGGTGGGAGGCGGCGTGACCGTCCAGGCAGGCCACGAGCCAGTGGCCAGAACCAGCCCCAGCCCTCCTCTGAGCCCGCCTGGCCCGGGGCACAGGCAGGGGCCCTTTCCGCCCTCCCCTGGGCCTGGGCGAGCGCCCAAGGGTTCACGGAAAAGTTCAAGACAGGCTGATGCTCCCGGACCGCGCCCGGCCCGAGCCAGCTGGAGCCCACAGGGGCCGCAGGGGGTGACGGCCCAAGGGGCGGGCGAGGGGTGGAGGCCGGGGGCGCCCCAGGGCTCTCACCGCAGACATCCGGGCCCTCGTCCCAGCCGTCCGGGCAGTGCTCGGTGCCGTCACACAGCTGTGCAGGCGACACGCAGCGCAGGCCGCGGGTGCAGGGCGCCTGGTGGGGCCCGCAGGGCCAGCCGCAGTCCTGCTCGTCGCTGCCGTCCACGCAGTCGGCCTCGCGGTCGCAGCGCCAGCCCCGCGGGGCGCACCCGCCGCTGCTGCACTCGAACTCCGAGGGGCCGCAGCTGGGCCCTGTGGGGCCGCCCGCTAGACCCCAGGCTGGAACTGGGCTCCCGAAGGCCCGGCCCTGGCTTTCTCGTGGGTCCTCGCCGGCCCCCAACTTCAATCGCTCCCCCCGTGGGCCCTGGCGGTCTCCTGAAAGTTCTCTCATCCCAGAATTTCCAGCAGACTCTGCTCAGCGCAGAGAGCAGCCTTGCAACCAGGAAGTAAAGCCCGGACGCCTCCCCCGAGGGGGGCCCTATGCTCCTTCCTGCCTCCAGCACCAGCCCCCCAAGTGCCCGGCCCCTCTCCCCAGGAGGCCAGACCCAGCCTTTCACCCCTTCCCTCCGGGGACTCACCAGGGCTGGCGCTGGCCAGGAGAGTTGGCACAGTCTCCCCAGGGCCAGGGGTGGGGCCGGGCCAGGTGCCAGGAGGGGGCGTGGGCAGAGATGGGAGCGGGCAGTGCCCAGGCCCCTCGTCTGCGCCATCGGGGCAGTCCCAGACTCCGTCACACAGGTGCGCGGCCCCCACACAGGTGCTGTCGACACAGGGCACCTCCCCAGGGGTGCAATCCACCCGCCCTGCAGCCAGAGAGAGGGGGAGCTGGTCCCGGGGCACTGTTCCGTGTCCCACTGTTCGGGGTGCCCCGGGGGAGCCTGTGTGGGTGACAGGGGAGACAGGGAGGCTGGGGCTCACAGACGATGGGTCTGGGGTCGCCCGGCGGGCTGGAGCCTGGAGCAGGGACAACCCACCCAGACAGGATTCCTCGTCCGCAGCGTCTGGACAGTCGGGGTGCCCGTTGCAGAGCAGGGTGGGGGGCAGGCAGCGCCCATCAGCACAGGCCAGCGAGTCCGGGGGGCACGGGCAGTCCCGCTCATCTGTGCCATCTCCGCAGTCATCCCGCCCGTCACAGAGCAGGGCCAGGGGCAGGCAGTGTCCGGAGCTGCAGGTCATCTGCCCGTCCCCACAGCGCGGGGCGGCACAGCCTGGCGGGCGAGCAGGCAGGCTCACCATGCCCACAGCGGGCCCACAGAAGCCCCAGCCCCCGAGAGCCCAGACACCCCTCGCCACGGGAACAGTGGCTCCGGGGGCCAGCCCAGGACATCGGCCGCCGAGAGGGACCCGGAATGACCCGTCACCAGCCGCTGCCGCTCTCAGGTGCAGACACTCACCCTCCTCGTCTGAGCCATCGCCACAGTCGTCCTGGTTGTCACACAGCCACCCGCGGGGTACACAGTGCCCGCTCTCCTGGCACGGGACCTCCCCCTCCGCGCAGTCAGGGGCTGGCTCCTCACAGTGGGGCCCGTCACCCCCGCACAGCCACTGGCTCTCCTGACACGTGCTGCGCACACGTCCCGGGGTCAGGCTCGGCGCCAGCAGCAGGCCCAGGGGCAGGGCTCGGGGCTCCCCGCTCACCAGTTCCCGCAGTCCTTCTGCAGCACTGTGCCCGCGGGGAAGAAGCTGCCCTCCCACTGGCAGGGGCAGGAAGCTGGCTCCAAGCAGGTGCCCCCTGAGATGGCAGCCTGGTCACCGTGGCTCTGTGCCCCTCTCCCCACCCCGTGTTCCCGCTCCTCTGCCCATTCTGCTCCTACGCACCGTGCAGCAGAGTGCCCTCGGGGCAGAAGCAGCCCTCCACGCAGGCTACGGCCTGGCAGTGATACCCGGGCTCAGGACGGTGGTCATGGCAGGTCGGGGGGCAGGGCGGGCCACAGGCCTCATACACCTGCCCCCCCTCACACTGCAGAGCTGGGAGGGAGGAGAGAGGCTGGGGTCACCGAGGCGCCAGGGCACAGGGCTGTGAGAGTTGCCACCGGCTGCAGGGAGTTGCCCAGGCGCAGCCACCGTGGGCCGGGCGGACGTGCGGGTGTGCTTGGTTCGTCCAGGAGTGCCTGGCACATGGCAAGGCCCCAGGCCCCTTTGCCCTCAAAGGAGCACACTCTGGCTCGCAGGCCAGGAGCAGCATCCTAGGGAGCTGAGCCCATGCGGGACTGGGGACCAGGGAGCGCAGGGCACACTCACGGCAGAGCTCCTGGCTGCGCCAGCGCACGTGCACCCCGTGCCGGGCACACTCATCTGCGTAGGTGGCGATGGCCGAGCAGAGACACTCACAGTCGCCCCCTGAGTCGCAGCTGTGGGAGGGGGTGCTCAGAGGCAGCACCTCCCCACACCCACCCCCGCCCAGTCCCGGGGCGCCCTCTCACCCGCAGGCGTCGTACACACACCACTCATAGTGCTGCTGTGGGGGCACCTCTGTGTGGCAGCGGGCAAATAGAGGCTGCAGCATGGCTGCGCAGCGGGTGCGGGCCCAGTCGGCCCGGTGGGCGTTCACCTGCGGGCACAGCACCATGGGCCCGCCGCTCCCGGGTTCTGGAACCCCCTTCCAGGTTTCTGCAGCCGCCCCGTCCCCCTCTTCCTGCTGAACTCACAGTGCAGGGGTGTGGCAGGTCCCCTGGCTCGAGGCAGAGGGGACTGAGGCGCCAGGAGTGGGCGGCCAGTTCGGCCGTGGGTTCCAGGACGCCCTGGCGGCTCCGCAGGTCATTACCAGCATCTCCATCGAAGTCTCCACACAGCCCGGCCACACGACCGCGGAACTGGGGGGACAGCTGCACCAGGACCCGGGTGCCTGGCAGAGAGCAGTGGGGGTAGCACTGCGAAACCCCCGCGGCCTTCGTCAAGGTCAGGGGCAGGCAGGGAGAAGACCCAGGGGAGCCTGGTTCTGCTTCATGAGCCACCACCCAATAGGGGGCACTGGGTTCCTCTTTTGGGGGGCCACTTTGTGGTAATCAAAGAGATCTATATCTGGGGGAGCTAAGGGCAAGAAAAGGAAGCCTCCTTCCCTAACTAAACCCAGGTAGGGGGCACAGAAACTCTCCAGCAGGCTGGATTCTGGACAGAACCAGGTTCTGCCAGCCCCAGAGGCCAGGCTCAGGGGGGCTGTGCTGACCAGGCGACTCCTGTGCACATGGGGGGCTACGCTGCCTCCTCCAGTGTCTCCGCAACGGTTCTCTGAAAAGCCAACAGTTTGGCTTGGGTGGCGGGGTGTGAGGAGGTTTATTTTCATTTTTCCTCTTGACAACATGGTATTTTCTAAGCGTGTCTTTGGGGAGGAGGCGTTGCTTTCATAACGAAGAGAAACAACTCTGAAAACATTATTTGGAAGCGCCATCCCTTGTACAGAGAAGGGGGGCGGGGGGACCGGCCACAGAAGGCTGAGGGGCCTCACCCCCATCCCACAGCAGGCTGAGCCCCAGGCGGGAGGTGAGCAGCAGGAAGAGCCCGGCGCGCCGCAGGCTCAGCCCCGAGCCCGTGTAGTCCTTGGGGGGCGTTACGCTCACCCCATTCACCGTCACCGCCCGGCCTGTGGAGGAAGCACGGTTTCGGGCTCAGACCCGGGCTGAAGGGACTCCCAGATCCCGTGAGCCCTCACCAGGCCTGCCCCTCTCCCCACACCCGGCTTTTGCTCCTCTCGCTGTGTGGCCTTGGGCCAGTCAGCAGACTTCCCTGAGCCTTTTTCTTGGAGCCTTCCACAGTGATGACCCCCGACCAAGAGGCGAGTGTCAGCCCACGGCACTGACGGCCGGTCACGGGGAGCAGGGGGCAGCCGGCCACATGCAGCTGCACCCCAGCCACGCGCCCACCCCGGCAGGGCCACCCCTCACCGCACAGCCACCTCTGAGCATGCGCACAGCAGTGTCCCGCAGCCTCACGGTCAGCGCCTTGGTGCAGGTGAGCCCGGCGGCCCCGCAGGGCAGGTTCTGGGCGGTCACGGTGAACTGGCCGCCGGCCTCTCGCACCAGCAGGTATTCACAGGCCCCCGGGAAGGTGAGGGCCAACCCATCAAATGTCACGTAGTGGGGGGCACCGGACGCCTGGCAGCGCCCAGCACACCGCTGGCCTGCGCAGCGCCAGTGCCGACCCTGGCACACGCTGTGGGTAAGGGGCGAGGGGACACAGTCACAACGACATTCCAAGCAACTCCACTCAGACCCTCAGCTTGGGGAGCCCCCACTGCCCAGGCCAATCAGGATGCCCCACCCCACCCATCCGCCACCCCCAGCTAGATGGTGAGAGGTTGCAGGTCTCAGGGCCACACAGACCAGACATTGCAGTCCTCCCGGATGGTGGCGTTGGGCGGGTACCACTGGCCGCCGTGGAGGCAGGGACAGAGCTCAGGAGGCACACAACGCTCGTCCTGGGCAAATGCCAGACAAAGGGGCACCTTGCAGAACCACCCAATGCCCAGCCCACTCTTCCAGACACCTGGGGGGAGCAGGGTGGGCCCCACGGTGCCCCATGCAGCCCCCACCCGACTTACCAGCAGCACGGTGCCTGGGGGGCAAACACAGCCCCCTGTGCTGCCCGGGGGGCAGGAGAGGTTGGCACTGGGACTGTCGCAGGTGAGGAGGCACGCACCGGGGACATGGACAAGCTCCCCGGGGCAGAGGGCCCGCTGGGGGGTGCAGCGGCGAGCTGTGCAATTCCAGAGGCCCCGCTCCTGGCAGACGCTGCCGAGGTTGGGGGGTGTCAGAGGCACGTGCGGGGCCAGTCTGCCCTGGGAGGGCCTCCGTGGTTCCAAGCCCCTAGCGGTGACTCTGGAGACCCAAGCGTCTCGCCCCAACACCCGGTCACCTGCATGGAAGTGGGGCTGTCCCGGCACCCGCCATGCCTGGGAAGGATCGGCCATTCTCCGGGCCACGGGAGGGGGGCAGTACTACTGACCCCCCTGCTCCCAGCCTGGGTAGGACGCGGCACCCTCAAGCCCGAGCCCTGGACGCTGGCCCTGCCCCACAGGCCCCTGGTGGGCCTGTGCTGCTCCCTGACCCTTGCGAGCGCCGGCGGCCCACGCAACTGGAATTCAGAGACCTGAGCTCTAGCTGCTCCTCCTCAACATGCCGGGTGACCTGCACGCGGTCAGCCTATCTGAGCCCCAGTTTCCTCCTCTGCAGAGTGGAGCCATTTGCCCACCCCCTACTTCACTGGGTTGCTGCAGGAGGTAAGTAAACATAAACAACGTGGTCTACGTGACCGTGCTTTAATAGGCCCCCAAAGCACTCCACAACCGAGGAGTTGCCTTCCTAGCGTGCATGCCAAGCTCACCCCAGGGGGCCCCAGTCCAGACCCCTGTCTCTAAGTGCCCCTAGCTCCCCGCCTTCCCCCAAAGGCCACCACCCTCACCAGTGGTTGCAGTCTCTCCTAGTGGCACTGCCAGGGGCATAGCGGTGGGCTCCGAGCTGGCAGGAGCACAAGCTGGGGGGCACGCACTGGCCCTCTGGGTCCCACAGTAGCCCTGGAGGGCAGGCGCAACCAGCCACACAGCCAGCCAGCTCCCCACAGTCATCTGGCTCCCCGCAGTTTCGGCCACACGCCGGGGCGCACTCCTGGTACTCCTGGCCCATAGGACACACGACAGCTGGGCACAGACAAATGCACAGGTCAGGGCGCAGCTGCTGTTGCTCTGCTCGCCCCTCTGAACCCCACAAGCCCTATGCTTCTGGAAGGCAAACCCAGCAATTTGCCCAGACCAGAGTTCCTGTTGGGGACCCTCCCCCTGAGGCACAGTTTGTGGGGTGAGGCTGCCAGCTGAGCTGACTCACGGCAGAGGGTCTGGTTCCTCCAGGAAGACAGGGCGCCCTCCTGGGCACAACGGCGAGCATAGGCAGCCAGCACTGGGCACAGGCAGGCCCCGCCAGAGCCACAGGCACACGCTGCCGCCAGGCAGCGCAGGTGGAACGGCTCCCTGTCCACCAACCCGTGGCACTCCTGGGGGCACGGGAAGTGGGTTAGCTCCTCCTCCACAGGTTCCCCTGTCCCTGCTGGTCCCCACGGTGAAGTCTGTGCTCAAAAGCCCTGCCACATCAGGAGCCAGAGCCTTCCAGTAGCCCCGGGAGAGCGCAGGTACCAGCCGCCCCTTACAGGTACAAATGTGGAGGAAGCACCTGGAAGGCTGAGTCCTGCAGGATGGCACAGGTAGCCTCTGCGAAAACGTGCCCCTGAGTGTGGGTGCCACAGGGGAAAAGTGGGGTGCTGTCCTCTGAAGAGCACTTTCCATCCCCTGCCACTTGGAACTTGCTAGCAAAAGCAGCAATGCTGGTTTCCACGTCGCCCGCAGGCGTCAGGAAGTCGTCCTGCTGGTTCCAGGTGAAGGTGCCACACAGACCCTGCACCTGGGCCGCGGCAGTGGGCATGGGACTGTTAAATCTGGGTTCATGGGGGGTGTGGCCCAGCCACTCACCTGCCCCCCCAGCACACCTGATGGGCATAGCGGGGGTCCAGGGTGATGTACGCTGCAGGGTCGGACACTCCCCAGAGCAGCTGGGCCCCAGGCCAGTGCAGCAGCAGGAAGGAGGAGGAGGCGCGGACCACTCTGAGGCCCCCAGCGCCATGCCAGGGTAAGTCCACATCCTGCCCGTGGACCAGAACGGCTCCTGCAATGTGGGCCTCTGTTGGGGCTAGGCTGGGTGGATGGGGAGGTGAGGGGGACACCCAGGATGGGAGTGACCTTGGATGGGGAGGTGGTGGGCACACCCAGGATGGGAGTGACCTTGGATGGGGAGGTGGTGGGCACACTCAGGATGAGAATGACCTTGGGTGGGAGGCGGGCCGCCCACACTGAGTAAGGGAAAGTGGGCTGACCCCTGGAGGCCACCTGTCCCTCCTGAGCAACCCCCAACATGCCCACAGACCAGCTTCTGAGCCAGTGCACAGGAGGAGCTGGCAGGGAGAGTCCAGTGCTGGGGATGGTGGCAGAGGCGGCCACTGGCTGGCAGCTGGGAGGGCCTGCAGGCCGGACTCTACCTAGAGGCTGTTCAGCTCCCTCGTACCTGGGAACTTGCTATCTGAGAGCAGAGGTACCTGAGTCCCTGAGTTGGATGTGGGTGTCCCCCAGGGAGACAGACATGGCACGGAGGCAGCTCCCAGAGTCGCAGGCCCCATGCTCCAGCACGATCAGCAGCTGCCCCTGAGAGAGGTCCTGGGGAGCCAGAGGAGAGCAGGCCTCACAGCATCCAAGAGCAGACCTGCCCTGCTTTTGTCTTCTGCAGGACACCCGGGCTGCCCAGCAGAGGCAGCTCCACTGGCCTGGCCTGCGGGCTGAGCACCTTCCAGCCAGCCTGAGTCTGTGCAGTAGGGGGCCAGGTCTTGCCAGGTGTTGCCATGTGTGATTGTGTGTGTCCAGATGCAGGTGTGCACACCTGTGCATGTGTGTGTCTGTGAGCTGAGACAAGCCCCTCTAATACGCTCATGCTTGTGTGTCCGTGTACGCACATGATAAATGCACACGTACGTGCAGGTGTCACGTGCACACACGTTAAGTCCATGTGCTTGCGCATGCACAAGTCACAGGTACAAACATACCAAATCTGTGTGCACATGTTTGAACATGTCGCGTACACACACATGCTAAAACTGTGAGCATGCACAGGTGCCTGTGTGTGACCCACTAGTCTGTGCTGCGTGAACATACATCGTACGCGTGCAAGTACAAGGACTATGTGCACTGCGCAGACATGTCAGGTGCTCGCACACACGATATCTATGCGCTCCTACACGAATACGTGTCGTGTGTGCATGGCTGTGCATGTCCACGTGTCGGAACTTGGCCTGGGCCTGACCTTGGGAAGTCCCCTAATTCCAGGGGCCCAGGACTGGGGACCAAGGGGGCCCATCTTCCCACTGCGGCTGGTTTGCACTGAGTAGGCGGGACAAGCCGGCCTGCGCCTGTGACGAAGGACTGTGAGGCCGGGCCTTGTCGTGAGCCCCGGGGTGGGGGGACTGCAGAGGGGCTTCCACAGGAGCCTAAAGGGGGAACCCACGGGGGAGCTGGGGGGTGTCTGCGGCAGCTCCACAATCGGTTCTCTCCGCTCTTCCCGGGAACTCCTGCTCCCCTTCGAGGGTCCCGCTCTGGCAAGACCCCCCACGGCCCCCCAATCCCGGCGTCCGTCCGGTCCTGCCCACCTGCACCAGGCGGTAGCTGCACCCTGCGCCGCCGCGGAAGGGGAAGCTCCGCCCATCGAAGGTGACGTAATGCCCGTCCCCGCCCACCGCGCACTCCGCGGGGCACGGCGCCTGCGCGCAGAGCCAGCGGCCCTCCCGGCACTCGCTGCGGGCACACGGGGCGGGGTGGGGGCGCGGTGGGGGCGCGGTGGGGGGGGTGGCCCGGCCCCGGGGGGCTGGGCGGGGCCCCGACATCCCGGTCCTTCCCCCCCTCCCCCCCCCCCCCGCCCCGTTAGGGTTCGCCTCCGCCGGCCGCGCCTCTGCCTGGGGCGCTCAGCGGGGTCATCGACTACGACCCCTCGAGGTCACAGGCCCTGGGAAGGAGGCCCGAGGGGCGCGGGGGGGGACCGGGGAGCCGCGGCCGCCGACCCCGCAGCAAGGGCGCGCGCGGCCCGCCGACCCACCACGGGTTGCACCGCTGGCGCACGGTGTCGCCGGGGCCGTGGCGCTGGCGGCGGCGGTAGCACGGGCAGCGCGCGGCGGGCACGCAGAGGGCGCCGTCCCAGAGCAGGCCGCGCGGGCACTCGCAGCCGCCCACGCACTGGGCCCCGCACGGCCCCGCCGCGCCCTCGCCCGCGGCCGCGCAGCTGGGCGGGCAGGCGGAGGCGCAGTCCGAGTACTGCTGGCCGCCCGGGCACGGGCGCTCTGCGGGCACAGGGCGGCCGTGAGACCCCAGCCCGCCTCCCGCCCACCCCACCGCGCGGGCCGCGCCCAGCTGGAGGCCCTCGGGCGCGACACTGCCCCGCAGGGTGGGGAGGACCCGGGTGGGCGTGCTGCTGGGAGGGGCACGGGCGGGGGCCCTACCGCAGAAGCCGGGTCTCCTCCAGCGCACGGCGATGTGCCGCTGGGCACAGTCCCGCGCGTAATGCGCCAGGGTGGCGCACACGGCCTCCCGCCGGCCCTCGGCCCCGCTGCCCGCGGAGACCCCAGCACAGTAGGCAAAGAGGCAGGCCTCGTGGTACTCAGCAGGGGGCACCTGCCAGAAAGGATGGGCCCTCAGCTTGCCAGCCTTCTCCCCCTACACTCATCAACACCCCCCATCCCACCCTGTTTATACAAGGACCCCCAGAGGGACCTCAGAAAGCACACAACAGCCGGCTCCTTTCCTGGAGGTAAAACCAAAACCCAGGGGCAGATTTCACCCATGGTGGGAAGCAATTTAGTAACAGGACCTGATTCCGGCCTCCAGTCCCTCCAGGGCACTAAGCAACCTCCCTACCTGGGCATGGCATTCCCTGAATGGACCATCCAGCAGCTGGTGGCACACATCCTGGGCTTCAGCCCGTAGCCGGCTGGCCTCCAGGCCCGCCTCTGTGAGCCTCAGGGGGTCCTCACAGCCCTGGGCCACCTCCACTGCCTCAGGACAACCAGGCTGGGGACAGGCGGGGTCAGGGCAGGGGCAGGGATGAGGTACATTGAGCAGGACACCAGGGAAATGGTCACTGCCATGAGCCGCTAGCCAGTCATCCTAAGGTTGCGGGGTCAGCAAAGGGCTAGGCCAGGCTGGGTCAGGGGAGCCCAAGGGCAGGAGAGTGGGTAACTGGCTAGTTGAGCCGTGCTGCACGGTGCCCAGGTCAGAGTCCTGGGTGGTCAGTGCGCGCGGGCAGCAGGGGTGTGTATGTGTGTGTGTGGCAGCACCTCCCACGCAGCTGCCATGGGGCTCTGAGCCTGCCATGGACCCCCTGAAGACCGGGGAGAGAGCCAGCCCTGTTCCCGAGGACAGGCCGGCGGCGGAGGCAGAAGGGAAGCTTCAGGGGTATCCGGAAGCCAGGAGTGGGGGAGTGAGGGGCTCTCACCTCAGAGTCAGGGAGCTTCCAGGAATTCCCAAAGGTGGCAGGCAAGGCCGCCAGCCCCCCGCCCGGCTCCAAGAAGTCATCTGGGGAAGGGGAAGAGGTGCTGTGTCCTGGTCCATCTCTCTCCCCGTCCCTCTGGCCGGCAGCCAAGTCACCCCCACTCACCCTCAGGTCGGCCGTTGTAAAGTCCACAGAGGCCCTCGGTCTGTCCCTGGAGCTCGCGGTCCACAGACACGGAGACCGAAGTGGACCTGTCCAGCCGCACCACGACCCCCAGGCCCCCGGACAGCACCAGCCAGTCCCCTTGCCACTGCAGGCTCAGCCCTGGGCAGGGGGACGGGTCAGGCTGCCACCCCTCCCAGCATCACACAGGGTTCGGCGGTAGGGGTGGGGGGAAATCTAACGCTTGGAGAGAGCTCCCCACTTTATAGCCTTGAAGCTGTCACAGACCTCTGAGAAGTTCACGAATGCTACGGAAACTACAAGTGAACTGCGAAACTGTGAGGGAGTGTGCCTGTGCAGACATGTACACACGCATGTACACGTGTGTGCACATATGTACACGTAGCCCCACTTCACTCCAGGGACCTCAACCAGCACCAAAGTTCCGGTAGGAGAGCCCCGCATTAGTAGCACAAAAGCCCTTCCACGCGGCACTCGGCACACAGGCGGGGAAACTGAGGCACAGAGTGTTTAGGTAAGTAGAGGGCCTTGTTGAGGTCGCACCGCGATGAGGTCAGCAGGGATGAGCTTCAGGGGTGGGTGAGGGACTAAGTCCATGACCTCCTGGCCTCTCAGCTGCCACCCATTCCACAGCGCCCTTACCGTGGAGCAGCCGCGACTCCCCCTCAGGTACCAGCTGCCCATTCACAAACACGGCCCCGTCCTGGACCAGCACCTCCTCTGGCCCCATCGCCACCCGGGCCTTGGGGGAGACGCCCATTGAAAGGGGCCTTCAGGGCTGTCCACCCCAGTGCAGCGCCCTCCCCGGGCCATCCCTGTCTCCCTCCCTCACCAGCTGGCAGTGCCCGGGCCGGGGGCAGTGCCCCCGAGGTGTGAGGTGGACGGCCCAGCTAGAGTCGGCAGCGCCCGCCAGCAGGTAGGAGCAGCGGCCCAGGAAGTGGAAGTGGCGCCCGTCAAAGGTGCGGTAGTGGAAGCCTGACCAGGTGGCACAGGTGGCTGCGGGACTCTGGTGCCGACTCCAGAGATGGTCCACTGCCCCTGCCAGGGGCTGCAGGGGGGCTGGGGAGGGGGTGTCACCTGGGGAGACAGACCAGCATGAGCCTCTGCGTGTGGGGCAGGCATGAGGGCGAGGGTGAGAACGCTGCACTGCTGGCAGACAGGGAGGTGGGTCAGCAGGGCCTGGCCATGTTCAGGCCAGTGGGCAGAGGATGGGGGCAACTTATCCGGGAGGACAGAGGCATGGGCATGGGCCCTGCGGGAGGCCCAGAGCTCAAGTGGAGGTGCCAGGCATGGAGCGAGGAGGCCGGACGTGCCTGGCACAGGCTGGGGCATGAGCACCAACCTGGGAGCTGCTGACTGGCGCAGCCAAGGCAGACCCGGGAGCGGCCGTCCTGCCAGCTGTGTGCCCAAGGCCGGGCACAGCACTCCTGCAGGCTCCCCGCAGAGGCATTAGTGGAGCCTGCCCTTGGCTGGCACTGCCATGTGGCGAAACAGTGGCCCTCAGGGCTGGTGTCTGCGAGGGCTGTGAGGAGAGAGGAGAGAGCAGGGCAACCTCCAAACTCAGCCGCTCCCCAGGCGGCCTGCAGCCTCCAGGGACCCGCAGAACCAGAACCAGGCTGATCTGGAGCGCTTACCCACGGTGCAGCGGGCACCCCCCCAGCCTGGGCAGCAAGCCCGCACCGTCTGGTTCCGTGCAGCAGGCCGGGTTTCCGGGGGCCTGGGTCCCGCAATGGGGAGAAAGGAGAAGACGTTTGTGTTCAGCCCAGCCCAGCCCAGCCCAGCAGGTCCACTGCCATCTCTGTGGCTTTTCCCTATTGCGTCCTCGTCTCGGTCTGAGCTTCCCCACATGCACAGCGAGCGTGTTCTTGGGGGGCCGATGGGGATGCACCGCTTTGTCCACTGCCCATGGTGATGCCCACTCACCCACCCACCACCCTCCCACACTGCCCTTCTTGAGCCCACCAGACCTCCCCCCCATGTCTGCGTCTCCAAATGGCTGCCCAGACCACCCAGTCTTCGTGACGCTGACCCCACCCTCTGGGCAGCCGGTGAGCTCCAACCCCGCTCACTTGTAGACGGGACAGAGCCCCGCGCGCGCACTCCCGGGGCCCGGCCGCCAGCCCTGGCGCCTGTAGTGGTAGAGGCTGGTGCAGGGCACCACGTCTTCCTGGCGGGGTGTCACTTCCTCCTCCACCAGGACGGTCTCGGTCCGCTCACACCACCGCCTGCCCACAGACAGGCCACAGCTGCTGCCCGGGCCTCTGCCCCAAGGAGCCTGTGCCGTGCCGTGCCCCCAGCCCCGAGGAGCCCTCCCGGGGAGAGCCGGGAGCTGGGAGGTGAGGGGACCCCGCGGCAGGGACTCTGGCTGCCACAGGGTCCCGGTCACGGGGTAGGGGGCCCGAGGGTGTCAGCTTACCCGTGGGCCAGTGCCCAGGCCAACCCGAGGAGGAGGGCAGGGAGCAGCATGGTGCCACCCCAGGCCACCCCAGGGCTGAGGCTCTGGCTTGGGGAGAGCAGCGCCGGGGCCAGTTACCGGAGGCCAGCCTGGGGCTCCCCCCACACTGCTGTCCGCGGCCGGAGTCTGTCTCAGAGCCGGCCCTCGGGCGGGAGGCCTTATCTCAGCCCCAGGCCCGGGCACCAGCTGCCAGGGACCGGATTGGACCTGGCCACACATCACACCATCCCCCTAGCCCGCTCCCCTGGACAGGCCCGCCCCCCCTCTGCTGTGTGTACAGCGGGGGTGCGTGTGTACCTGCGCGGGGTGTGTGTGTGGTGGAAGTGTGGACTAGTGTTGCGTGTGCATAGTAGAGGAGTGTGTCTGTGCAGTGTGTGGTGGGGGTGTGCGTGCACCTGTGCAGTGTGTAGAATGTGTGGCGTGTGTGTAGTGTGCAGTGGGGGTACAGTGTGTGTGGGGGGATATAGTATGTGTGTGGTGGGGGTGTAGTGTGTGTGTGCGCTCACAGTGCAGGGTGTGTACCTGGCCACTGTCAGCAGCTTTGAACCTCAGGTATTTCCACACTCACAAGCCCAGAGCAGCCAGCGTGACCCCCGGGCCCCAGTGTCCTCTCCAGCACCAAAGGCCGCCGGTGTGTGTGTGCGGCGGACTCGGCACGTAAACACGTCGAAGCAGCTGCAGCTTTCTGAGGACGCGTCCTCGGCTGCATCAGACCCTACAGAGCGTGAGCGCAGGGCCTGCCGGGCAAGGGCCTCTGATCCTGAGGTCTGTCTGCACCCCTGGGCTCCCCTCCGCTGCCCTCTCAGCCAGGCCCCCTGGCAGAGGCTGCTGGGTGTGGGGGTCTGATGGGCCAGGGAGCTCTTTCCTCAGCGCAGGGCTGCAACGTGGCTGGCGGTCTGCCCTGGCCTGGGGTCTCCTGGGAATCCTGGGGCCTAGCACCTGGAACTCAGGGAAGTGAGGAGCTTCGGGGAGAAGGACCTGGGTGGGAAGTGTGGGGGGGGTAGGAGACAGAGGGCCCTGGGGGCAAGGCAGCCGGATGGGATAATCCGATGGTCCGGTTGGGAGGGGGCAGCAGCCGCACCCCGAGGGAAATCCTGCTCACATCCTGGTTACCGACTTGGCACCAGGGCTGGAATGCAGACCCAGGAGCTCTCCAGCCCCAACCTGCTGTCCCTACAGCACCCCACACTGTCAACCCCCCACCACACACACCCACACACATGGGCTCTGAGGCGCGACTCCAGAACCAGAGGCACGTGGGGCGTTTCTTCTGGACCCACCATTGGCCCTGGGCCAAAAGAGGGACGAGAGCCCCTGGAAAGGGCAGGGATGGGGTGGCCAACTTACAAGTGTCTCACCCATGCCTGACGCTCCCCACACCCCCACTGCAGACAGGCCCATAGACAGGCGCCCCCTCCAGGCCAGCCCGCAGGGACGCCAGGCCCACCCTAGAGACTGGCTGCTCCTGGCCCCTTGCCAATGGCATCCCCGCTGCCTTCCTGGGTACCCCATCCCGGTGAGGGGTCACCGCAGCCAGGAGAGCCTGCTCTGCACTCCTGGGGCCATTCACCCCACTCCTGGACTCACTGCGGCTCAGGATCTCAGCACTGGTGAGGGTGGGGGGAACACAAGTCACAACAGTGGGTTCCCTAAGGGGGCAGGAGGGAGAAAGCTGGAACCCAGGGGAGTTTGGAGAAAGACTGGGGAGCAGGGGCCAGAACAGCAGACCCACATTTCAGCGGGTGGAGGACAGAATAAGGGGAGATTTCAGGAAGAGTCCGGGTGCCCAGGTGGTGAAGCCCAGAAGCAGCAGCCGGTGGGACAGAGCCTCCCCCAGAGCCCGGGTGTGAGGACAGAGGCCAAGCCTGACCCACCCGAGGAGGGGCCGCCGCCCCCCACCCCGCCCAGGGAAGGCGCCCCACTCCGCAGCCCCCGCCTCGCCCCCAGCCCAGTCTCCTGCCGCGGGGCCTCCGGCCTCCTCCGCCCCCTCCCCACCACCCAGGGGACTCCTCCCGGCCCCACCTTCGCCCCAGACACCTGGCTCAGGGCGCCCACCCCAACTCTAAAGGGCCGCTTCCTGGGGGGCGCAGGGGCCCAGCCGGGTCTCCTTCGGCCGATCCTCAAGGCCCCCAGGGACGCGGCTGGGGCCGCGGGTCTCAGACTCGGGGGCTCCGGGGGAGAGGGCGCGGGTCTGCGTGGACCCAGAGGGGGGCGGGTGGGGGCGCCCCGTCCGACCCCGCGCCGGGCTGTCGGGGCCCGGACCCCGCCGCGGGCGCCCGCGACCAGACAGCGGCGCGGACTCGGCTGCCTCCCTCGAGCACGGCCCTCCGCGCCCCCCACCGCGCCCCACCTTTCCCGGGCTCCTCCCTCGGCGCCCGCGACACCCCTCGCCGCCGAGCGCCCTCCCCCCGCCGCCCCTCCCCGCCCCCCGCCCACTTGCCGTCGCGGCCCCGCCGCCCCCCGACCGTCACCTGCGCGCCCCCGCCGCGCCCTCCCGGGACACCCGCCCCGCCCCGGGGTGCCCCGGCGCCCCGGCTCCCCGCCCTCCGGCCGCCGCGGCCCCCGCCCGCTCCCGCCGCGTCTCTCCCGCTCCCTCCCGCGAAGTTTGGGGCTGTCTGTCAGTCTGTCAGTCTCCGGGGCCGCCGGCACCAGGCGCTGGCAGCGGGCGCCATTGTGAGCGGCGCCGGCCGGGCGGGGGGCCCGGGCGCCTGGGTCCGCGGCGGCGGGGAGACCCCGGCCCCGCCGGGGACGGGCAGGGGCGGCGGCGGCGGGCGGCTCCCCTCACACCGGCCGCCCCGCGCAGGTGACAGCCCGGGGGTGGGGGCGCCGGGAGCCGGGGGGGAAGAAAGGGCAGGGGAGGGGCGGAGGCTGAGGAGGGGGAGGGGTTGAGGAGGGGGAGGGGGCTGAAGAGGGGGCGGGGCGGGGGCTGAGGAGGGGAGGGGCGGGGGCTGAGGGGGAGGGGTTGAGGGGGGCTGAGGAGGGGAGGGGCGGGGTGAGGAGGGGCGGGGGCTGGAGGGGAGGGGCTGAGGGGTGAGGCTGAGGAGGGGAGGGGCTGAGGAGGGGAGGGGCTGAGGAGGGGCTGAGGGGAGGGGCCGAGGAGGGGGAGGGCCCGAGGGGGAGGGGTGTCGGGGTCGCCGCGGGGGAGCCTGCGGATCTGGAGGGATGGGCGGGGGCGGGGGCCGGGCCGGGGCGGGGGGGGCTGGCGGGCCGGGGCGGGAGGTCCCGGGGGAGGGCGCGGGGCGCCCGGGAGAGCGGGGGGCGCGTGAGCGGGCCGGGGGGAGCGCGCGGGGCGGGCGCGGGGCGCCGGCCGTCCGGGAGGGCGCAGACAGGTGAGCCCTGGCGCCGGGGAGGCTCGGGGCGCGGAGAGGGCGTGGGGGGCCCGCGGGGACCGCCGGTCCGGGGGTGCGGCCGGAGGGGTCGCGTCGGAAGGAAAACTTGTCGCGGCGAGAAGTCCGCGGGGCAGAGATGGGGAAGGGCGCGGCGGCGCGGGGGGAGCCGAGGTGTGCGAGCGGGGGGGGGGGGGGGGAGGGAGGGGGAGGGGGCGGTTAGTGGGGGGGGGCGGGAGTGGGGGGGCGGGGTCGGCGCGCGGGTGAGCCGCAGCCGCCGGGTTTGGGGGGCTTGGGGGTCCGGGGAGCGCGGGGAGCGGGCTGAGGGGGAGGGGGAGGCCAGCCCGGGGCTTGGGGGCGGCGGGGGGGAGCGGAGCCTGCAGGGGGGCGGGGTGCGGGGACGGGCCCCGGAGTGCGGAGCCGCGGGGGGCTGGGGCGCGGGGGGAGGCGGGAGCTGGGGTGAAGGGAGGGAAGCGGGAGGAAGGGAAACCGGAGTGGGGGAGGGGGAGGGGAAGGGGAGGGGCGGGGAGGGAGGGCCGCGGGAAGGGGCGGGCGGGGAGGAAGGAAAAGGGGCGGGGGAGGAAGGGGGAGGGCCCCGCGGGGGAGGGGATGGAGCCGGGAGCGGAGGGAAGACGGCCCCCGCCGGGGGAGGGGCCCGGGGGCGCCCCTGCCGGACTGCGGGGAGCGGGGTCAGGGGGCGGGTTGGGGGGGCAGCGCCCGCGGGGGGCGGGCAGGGGGCGGGGCAGGGGCGGAGCTGAGGCCGCCGGGCTCGGCGGGCGGGCGGGGGTGGGCGGAAGGCAGAGGGGAGGCCGCCGGGGAGATTAGGGGGAGAGGAGTCAGCAGGGGGAGGGGCGGGGAGCCCGCGGAGGGGAGCAGGGATGGGGCAGAGGGCGGGGTGTCCCTGCCCGCGGACGCCCTGCAGGGGAGGGGCGGTGGCTTGGGGGTAGGTTTGGGGGAGAGGAAGCCAGAGCCACTTCCTGCCCTCAGCGAGGACCCTCTCCCGGGGCCGCCCCCCGGGACACTGGCCTCTGCCCCCTCGAGCGCTGGCTCCCGCGTCACCCCCTCCCGCGGTGGCCGCTGAGGGCCCTGCCCGGCGCTGCCACCCTCCACCCTCTCCCCGGGGAATCAGTTGATTCTCGGCATCCCCAGAAAAGGCACTGGGGGCTGGAGCTGGCTCCGAGGCTGGCGGGTGAGGGGGTGCCCCAGATTTCCAGACCTTGCAGATGGCTCCAAGGCCTTCTCCACAGCCGCCTGCTGCCAGGCCCCCTCAGCCCCCCCTCTGTATCTAGAGACATCTCGGGGCTCCTGGGGCTTGCTGGTGGGGAGAGGCTGCGCAGTGCCTAGCACAGGAAGCTGTCCTGGGAAGACTGAACCCGGCTGCTCTCTCTCCTCAGGGTCTGTGCCCTGTCCCCGGAGGAGCCCCCGGGGTCACCATGAGAGAGACCTTCGAGGCCCTCAGCTCCCTGGGTGAGCAGAACTGAAGGAACTGGGGGGCAGGGGGCAGGAGTGGCAGGAATTGGAGACTTGTTCCACCCGCTGCTCCTACAGCTCAGAAAGTAGAGGTGTCCCCGGGAGGCTGCAGCCCGAGAGCCCTGGGAGCGGCGGGGACACACACCTTTTTCACCAGGTGTTCGAATGCCCGCCCGGCCCAGGCTGGGGGCTGTGCGAGACGGTGCCAGCACCTCCCCCAGGCCCTGACACTCGGATCTCTCTTGTCTTCTCCGTCTCTGGCCTTGACTCAGCACAAAAGGGCTGGGGTTGACCCCGCTGCTGGAGAACTTTCCTTCCTGAGCGAGTTGGGAAAGCCGCTGGCATGGGCTGGGAAGGGGAGGCCGCCCCTCTGCTCCCCGGTTCTGTACAGATCCTCTACTTGGTCCCTTCCTTCTGCCTGGAACAGGATTCTCCGTGGGACAGTCGGAGATGGCCCCCCAAAGCGAGCTTGGGGCAGGGTCCCGTAATGCGCAGGCGCAGGTGTTTCCGCCCAGGGAAGAGAGAGCACCGGGCTTGTGCTCGGGTAAGTGAGTAGGGATCATGGGCAGTGGCTTGGGCTGGCATCCCCCCCCTTCATTCTTCGCTGAGCACCTGTCAGGCGCCATGTGCGTTCTGGATCGCTGGGCCTCGCTGATCAGGTGGACGAGCCTTCCACAGGCTCACCTGGGGCAGCGCCAGCCAAGCACCGTGTGAAAGGGCACATGTAGGCTGCGGTGGAAGAGGCTAGATGCCGGGCGGCAGGCAGGGAGGGCAGCGAGGGCTCTGCAGAGGGCAGGCTGGGCATGCTGTAGGAGTCAGTCCAGTGGAAGCAAGACCCCCTTGGTGGGAATAAGATCTGAGCGAGAGCTGAGAAGGTAGCTAAGCAGGTACCAGGCGCAGGTGCCTGAGGGGGCATGTGCCTGACTCTTGTCATCTCCATCTCCTCCAAGGAGATCCCCAACCCTCCTCGGGGCCTCACTAAGCCTGAGGGCCGGGACATTTCCTTGCTTCCACCATCTTACACACGCTTATTCCAGAAACGCCTCACCCTTATGGCTCTTGCGGCCTGCAGGGCCCTAACTGCGCGAAGGAGCCTGGGGCAGCTGGGAATTCAGCCCCTGCAGGCGTGGGGTGGCCAGAATCCTGCAGTGGGCCCAGACCTGGGGTTTCAGACACCCCTGGGTCCTGGCACAGGCCAGGATCTCTGTCCTTCTGGGACATCTCCTAGTCCTTGAGGTATCTTCTTCTCCACCCAGGGCACGAGTGCTCCCGGCCCGAGGAAGGCAGCCACGCAGAGCAAGCCGAGGCTCCTGGTGGAGGGGGCCTGGCGCACACACCGCGGAAGGCAGAGGCCACAGGCCCGGGCGCTTGCCCAGGTGAGTGCCCATCTCCCGCCCCCTTGGGGTAGGTGGAGGGACCATGCGCCCCCCAAGCTCCAGAGCTGCTCAGGAATCTGCACACAGGATGAGGCCCATCTGGACCTGTGGTGAGGTATATTTGCATATCAAATAAGGCACACTCACATACCTGATTAGGCAAAGCTGCCTGTCTAATGAGGCAATCTGCATATCTGATGGGGCACGTCTTCCCATGCAGTGAGGTGGCTACCAGGCTCTCTTAACCTGAGATGAACCAGGCCTGGCACCTTTCTGCTGGAGCGCCCCAGCACCCCCACAGCAAGGGGAGCAGAGGCGGTGCACCTAGAAGAGCACCCTCACCTCAATAGCCGCTAGAAGCCCCAAGTTTCCTACCATCAGCCTCAGTCCAGGCACTTACTCCATGGTGACTTGCGCCATCGGTCTGGAGAGGACGTGTGGAGCTGACCCGCCTTGCGCTGACTCTGCCCAGCCACACTGCTTCCCCTCACCACACCTCCACTGATCTCCATGGTACCCAAATGCTCCAGACCTGTCGCACTGGACTCACTCTCCCCCACACTGTCCGGGATGACCAGACGGTTGACTGTCTCTACAGCCCTCCCATTACTTCTTCCCAGGTCCATCAGCCTGTCACTCCCCCCTGAGTGACACCATGGACTCCATAAGGGCTCATTGAGTGCCTGCCGGGTCCAGGCTGCGCTAGGTGAGCCGGGCAGAGATCTCAGTGCTTGATTTATGACATTTCAATAGTTTGAATCCGTGACTTATGACACGTACATCCTGAGCGATCTTGGATGGCTCCCTCGCTTCCAGGGGTCTCCATTTGTGCACCTGTACACAGGTGACCAAGTTCATGGTCATCGTGCAGGTGATGGCAGGGGATGCACATGCTTTAGCTGCCCTTGGCGCTCATGTATGTGTTTTTATTAGACGCATAAATAGAGCCCAAGATGTCTGCCCTCAAGGAGCTAATACCTAGTTGAGACGACCCCAATAGGAACCAGGATACAGAGTTACAGGAGCAGATGACACGAAAGCCACATCACCGGTAAATGCAGGTGCTGGAGTGTGGATGTAAGAGCCCCGAGTGCACTGGGTTTGTCAAGGACTGTGTTCATTCTGCACTTTGAGAGACGTAGACTACAGCTCTGGCGGGGGTGGGCAGAAGATGGGAAAACATTCTAGACTGGGAAGAGTTAAGCCGGAAAGGTGACCTGTCACAGGGGTTGGAGACCCGCTTAGCCCAAGTGAAGGGACTGAGAAAGTTGGAGTGAGCCTCAGATGCAGTTTGAACTTCTTCTGGCCTGTAAATAATAGGGAGCTAGGGAGGGTTCTTGAGTGGAAGAGCGGCACAGTGGAGAGCAAAGCAATATCACACTGCGGTAACCCATTGTTTGGAACAGACGGGTCAGTAAAAGAAACCGTGAGGGAGTAGAACTGACAGCGCACGTGTCATGTGACCAAAGCTCAGGGTTTTACAGACTTTCAGAGCCATGCAGGAGCCAAGGGTGCCTGGTTCGATGGTTTTCAAATAGAAACAGCTTTGGGGCTTTGAAGAAGAGGACAGTCCCTGCGCCCCGCGGAAGCCCGGTGTCAAACCCCAGACGATCACGATGGGGCGCCGGTTTCCTGACACTGGCACAAACAATCATAGCTCAAAGAGGTGAAGTGGCTGCACCAAGGTCACACTGTTGGCTGTGGCAGAGCAGGACCCAGCAGACACTGCCCGTCTGGGCCCAGAGCACCTTCCTCTTGGCCAGGCCATTGTAGTGCCCAAGAGAGCTAGGCCCAGGGGACCCACCTCTCACCCACTCCCTCAGGGGTTCCTCCTGGTTCTCCCTGGTTCCCCAAATCCTGTCAACACAGCCCTCCTTTTCCTAAATGGATTCCCAACTGGCTGTGGAGGCAGGAATGAAGGGCGCACAGACAGGGAGAGCCTTGAGAAACAACAGGCAGGAGTGCACTGCTGCTGTGAGCCTCTGGGGGGTTGCGAGTAAGGTGAGCTGCGGGTGCCAAGGCCAGCAACTGGCAGGAGGCCAAGTCCTGATGTGGAAGTCGGCGTGGACAGTCCAGGCCATCAGTGTTTGGTGAGCTGTCTGCTGAGCGACGGCCAATTTGCAGGACACCCAAAGGTGATACGAGACCAGTGGGCCAGAAAGGAGCCTGCCTAACTAGAGTATCTGGGATGACAGCCGTGGGCACATGAGCCCCGAGTGCCGCCAGAAATGAGCTTCACACCAGGGGGTTCCAAACATGGAGCAGGAGAAGGGGGCTCTTAGCAACAGACAAAGCTGGGAGAAGTCCACAGGCGAAGGTGCCCCTCGATGGTGGGCTGCAGAGAGGCAGGAGGAGGACTGAGCGTGACCTCAGGATTTGGTCATTCCTAGAAGTTTCCAGTGGTGCAGAGAGCGCAGAAGCCTGACCGTGGGCCTGCAGGGGTACGGGCACATTGAGCAACGTGGGGCTTGGTAAATGTCTTATCTCGACTTTTCAGGGGAGGAGTGGATGATCCGCAAGGTGAAGGTGGAGGACGAAGACCAGGAGGCAGCAGAGGAGGTGGAATGGCCCCAGCACCTGGCCATGCTCCCCGGCCCCTTCCCGGCGCCTGACCTGGGGCCCCTGGCCGGCGCCTACAAGCTGGAGCCCGGGGTGCCGGCGACGCTGGGTGGGCTGGCGCTGGCCGGGTGGGCGCCGGCCTCGGAGAAGCCCTATGGCTGCGGGGAGTGCGAGCGGCGCTTCCGGGACCAGCTGACCCTGCGCCTGCACCAGCGGCTGCACCGCGGCGAGGGCCCCTGCGCCTGCCCCGACTGCGGCCGCAGCTTCACGCAGCGCGCGCACATGCTCCTGCACCAGCGCAGCCACCGCGGCGAGCGGCCCTTCCCGTGCTCCGAGTGCGACAAGCGCTTCAGCAAGAAGGCGCACCTGACCCGCCACCTGCGCACGCACACGGGCGAGCGGCCCTACCCGTGCGCCGAGTGCGGCAAGCGCTTCAGCCAGAAGATTCACCTGGGCTCGCACCAGAAGACGCACACGGGCGAGCGGCCCTTCCCCTGCACCGAGTGCGAGAAGCGCTTTCGCAAAAAGACGCACCTGATCCGCCACCAGCGCATCCACACCGGCGAGAGGCCCTACCAGTGCGCGCAGTGTGCCCGCAGCTTCACGCACAAGCAGCACCTGGTGCGGCACCAAAGGGTGCACGAAGCGGCCGGCCGCGCCCCGCCCTCTCCCGACGCGCCCGCCTCGCCCGCGTGCCCCGCCGCCGCGTCCCCGCCCGGCCCGAAGCCCTTCGCCTGCTCGGACTGCGGCCTGTGCTTCGGCTGGAAGAAGAACCTCGCCACGCACCAGCGTCTGCATCGCAGCGAGGGGCGCCCCTTTGGCTGCGACGAGTGCGCTCTGGGCGCCACCATGGACCCCGCCGCCGCCGAACCCTTGACTTGCGCGCCCAGCGACCCGGCCTGCGGCCTCGGCACGGACCCAGCGGCGCCCCAGCGCGCCCCGGCGAGCGAGCGGTCCTTCTTCTGCCCGGACTGCGGGCGCGGCTTCGCCCACGGGCAGCACCTGGCGCGCCACCGGCGGGTGCACACGGGCGAGCGGCCCTTCGCCTGCGCGCAGTGCGGCCGCCGCTTCGGCTCGCGGCCCAATCTGGTCGCCCACTCCCGGGCCCACACCGGCGTCCGGCCCTTCGCCTGCGCGCAGTGCGGCCGCCGCTTCAGCCGCAAGTCGCACCTGGGCCGCCACCAGGCGGTGCACACAGGCAGCCGCCCCCACGCCTGCGCCGTCTGCGCCCGCAGCTTCAGCTCCAAAACCAACCTGGTCCGCCACCAGGCCATCCACACCGGCTCGCGCCCCTTCTCCTGCCCGCAGTGCGGCAAGAGCTTCAGCCGCAAGACTCACCTGGTGCGGCACCAGCGCATCCACGGCGACGCCGCGCACCCGGCCTCGGACGCCGACCTCCCGGCCCCGGGCTGGCCCCCTCCCGCCGAGGGGTCCGCGCCCCCGCTCTTCTTCTGAGCCGCGCCGGTTCCTGTGGGCCCCTTCGGTGGCTCGCCTGTGGGAGACACCCCCGCTTTGACATTCCGCGGGCGGCGAGGAGGATGTTCACTGTGAACCCTTGCTGGCAAGAGTTCAGGCCCCAGCCCTTGGACATAGACACCCCATTGGAAAGCAGACACCTCTGGGAACCCTCTTGCCAAGGACTGAGAGGGGCCTGGGGCTGGGCGGGGAGGGCAGTGTCTTCTGTGTACTTCAAGGTCATTAAAATTAGCCTGAAGATTCTGGGCCTGATAGATGAGCTGGGGGAGGCGTCCCCGACTCTTCATCCGTGGCCCCCCATCTTAACCTGCACACCACAACCCCTCCCCTTATGCCCCGGGTCAGTTACATTTAGCCAATTACTGGGAAGGGCTCTTCCAAAAAGATGCACGCGGTGAGTGCCCACTGGATGGCCCCGGTGATTTTGGAAACCGCGGCTTTAGTGAGATGCAGGATGGCGAAGCCGGCTCTGCGAATAACGTTTCCTTGAACACGGGCCAGGGTGGTTTTTTCCCTCAACTACTTCATAATGCAGACAACTTACTTGAGGACGTGCTGTGCAGCTGGCTGCCAAACCACCACGCTGCTCCCCGCTCCTAGCGCAGGCGGGTCCCCAGGAAGACACGCCAGGGTGGCTGGGGCCAGGTGTGGGAGGCCGAGCCGTGGGCATGCAGGGGGCAGGGTGCCCTTTGTCCATTCCCATGGAGACGCTCTGGAGCCCGGTGTGTCTGCCTGTTTGCTGTTCTCCCTGGGGATCTCAGGCAGCCGCGCACCTGCCACCCTGCCTGGCGGCATGGGAGGGACAGCAGTGGCAGATGCTTCGCCATCACGCTTCCAGCAAGCCCTGACTTTCTGGTGGAGACTTATCCCGAGGCTCGGTCGCTGGGCTTCCCTGGCCCCTGGGGCTGGGGCTGGGGCTGGCTGACAGGCCGTGGGGGGAGGGCTGGGTGATGGGGCCCATGCTGGACATGGGGTGAGAAGTTTGGGTTCAGCCCCCCTACCCTCAGCCTCTTGGAGCAGAGCTCTGGGCTTCCTCGCCTCCCTCCGCTTTCCCCTTACAATAGGATCTGCGATGTTGATGAGGGTGAGGCCCTTTCCAATGCAAATGTCACTAGCACAAAAAAATAACTCTGGAGAAGGTTTAATGGGTACCAGGGACACAGCAGAAAGCCAGCCAGCCGGGCCTGCCCGCACGGGGCTTACAGGAAATGTGAAAAGCCGGCCCAGGCCAGCAGGGGGTAAGGGCATCTGAAACCAGGAGAGGTCAAGGGAGGTCCCCAGGTGAGGCCTGGGGAACGGTGCAGGCTGAGGTCGTGTGCTCAGAGGCACAGCTGGCAGGAAGTGGGAGAAACCCAAGAAGTAGCCCCAGAGACGGGAAGGGTGGCCTGGAGGCCCGTGAGCACAAAGGAAGGACTAGGCCTTCTCCAACGGTGGAGGAGGTCACGGAAGGTGTAGGCAGGGGAGGAACGGGCACCTTTCATGTGCCTTTTAGAAAGATGACGGCCTAGCTGGAGGGTGCCAGCGGTCCAGGTGGGCAGTCACCGTGGACCAAGGCGGTGACAGAGGAGATGAAGAGATGACCAAGGCATCAAGAGACCTGGCAGTGACTTTCCCCGGGGGACGCCGGAGGAGGAGTGGCTGTGTGCCGGGAGCCATCTTGGAGCTGCTGAGTGGCCGTGACCAGTTCGCGTGCCGTAGGAAGGCGCGGAGCTGAGAGAGGACCCGGCTGGAGAGAGGAGGCCCTGAGACCCCTCGGTGTATCACAGAAGCTGTGTGATCTCCCCCTAGGGGTGAGCTTGGAGCGAGCCACCAGGGGGTCTGAGGCAGAACGCTGCCATTTGGGGGATGTCTGCCAGGGGAGCCTGTAGGGGTGGGGTGAGGGCACCAGGGAACAGAAAAGAGACCATGTTTCAGGAAAAGGAAGAAGCCAATGGCTGAAGGCTGTCGAGAGGTCGCACTGGCGAAGAACTTCCAGGTCATCGGGTTTCTACACAGGGAGATCTCGGGGAGGGCAGCTGCAGAGCTGTGGAGCAGAAGGCAGACTCAATGGAGAGTCACAAAGCAGAGTTCCAGAGAAGGTAGGAGGGAAGACCAAGACACAGTGGGTGAGGGCATGGGCTGGGGAGCCCCTTCTTCTTGAGGCAAGGGTGTAGGGCTGGCATGTGCTCCAGTGAGAGTTTCAGCTTCACGACCAACAAGGGCCGAGAGGGGCTCCTTGCTGAGGCGGGCAGCGCGGCCACACATGGCGCCTTCTTTAGTCCCAGTAACATTTAAAATACCTGGAATGTCACATAGAAATCTGAGCTTCCTCTGAGAACTTCTCTGGCGAACATTAGATGATCAGTGGCGACTGGGCTGAGCAGAAGCTGGCCTCTTTACGCATCAGTCCCCACAGCTCACCGACCCCACATCAGCGGCCTCTCTGGCCTCTTAGGTGCAGAGCCTGTGACAATCTTGCAAGGAATCTTGCAGAGGCCTTTTTTGTTTTTTGTTTTTGCAGAGTTCTTTTTGCACAGAAGAACTGGGGTGTAGGCCAGAGGTCAGGGGCTGAGAGGACTCACCAGAGACAGAGTGGGGAGCAGAACAGGCGAATCTACTGAAATCCACTGCAGAGGAGAGCAGCGGAGAGACAGGAGGGATCTGCTGCACCATGTGGGTCAGCTCCCTGGCTGGGGATTGAACTCAGGCCGCCAAGGTGTTAGTGCTGAGACTTAACCCCTAGGCCACCAGGGAGGCCGTCTTGCAGAGTTTTAAAATCACACACATGACCTCTGAGTCACATACAGCCACGTAAAGCAACATTACCTCAGTAATAACAATAAAAAAATCAAACACAGAAGAGCAATATTTATGTTGGTTGTACCAATGTTTGTGTTTCTCTAAACCTTCTGGAATTCATGTGTGAGAACAGCTTTCAGATCCTGCAACATATTTGGTGAGACCTACCGGGTGCCAGGCAGTTCCAGGATTCCACGTTCTCAAGCATTTTCGCTGTGAGGCGCGTCTTCGGCCTTTAAGCTTGTTTGCAAACAGTCAGGAGTCATTTCGTGTCAAGCCTGGTGGCAGCCAGAACAGAAGACGGGTGCTAAAAATGCAGCCTGTGTGCGAGGAGCCACCAGGGCTTTCCCAGGCAGGACCCCAAGATGCCAACAGCAGTGCAGTCACTGAAATCCTCCAGCACCCCCATCCTGGTGTGAGCCACCCCAGATGACTGTCATGGCAAAGCATCAGGCTTTTTGCTACGAAACCACATAAGGGCCTATGAAGATGCTCTGAGGATCGACAATTTCTACATGGAGAACAGAAATGTGCTGCTAATTCATTACCGTTTGTTTCCTCCCCCTCATCTTGTCAAGAAAAAGACTGACTATAACCAGCGGCTATAGGGAGCCACTCGGTCAGTATGCACCGGCCACGTGGCTAACACGGGGTGCTTCAACCCTGCCCGGCCCCTCAGGAGCTCACCCGTGGCTGGAGGTGAGAGAGTGACATCCACACGGCAGAGGATGTGAATGCGGCCGGGCTGAGAAGACCTGGGGGTCCAGAGGAAGCTCTGTGGAAGACGTGGGCCTTCTATGGAGCTCAGCACAGATGAGGGTCCACATTTGTGGATGGCTGAGGGAGGCAGGAAGAGGATGGCTCCAACCCCTCTTCTCCCCATAGCCCCCCATACACAGTCTCCCCAGACCCCACACACAGCCTCATAGCGCTGCACGGTTGCTGAGCTCCTGCTCTCCCAGCTCTCATCCGGCTTCCAGTCAGCGGCCCCGCCTTCTTTCCTAGTCTCCGCGGAACCTGCGCGTCCCAGCCGTTTTTTTTAATGTGGTAAAACACCCATGATATGAAAATTGCCTCTGTGACCCTCTTTACAGTTTACAGCTCGATGTTGTACAGACATCACTACTCGTGTCTCCCACGTCCTCCTCATGCAGGTCTGGGGTCACCAAGACGGCAACCGGGGGGATGAGCTCCACAGCCGAGCACCTCCAACAAATCAGAGCCCCGAATATCTCCCACCCCGAATATCCTAGTTCTTGCAAGTGCGGGAGATGGGAGCCAAGTGCCCTTAACCCAAAGTGACAGGTACCCGGCAGGTTTCCCTGAATTGCAGCAGTTCACAGAGATGAGAACTACCGCGGAGGTCTGAATCCCACCAGGCACCCCCTAATCTTTTCTGCTGGTTTAGACTTTAATCGAGTCCCATCTCTGTTTTGTTTTTTTTTTTTTAAGATTTATTTATTTATGCATACAAGAACTGGAATAAAAGCCAGAGGTGAGGGCGGTGAGAGACTCACCAGAGACAGAGTGGGGAGCAGAACAGGCGGATCTACTGAAATACACTGAGGGGAGCAGCGGGGAGACAGGAGAGGTCTGCTGCGCCATGTGGGTAGCTCCCTGGCTGGGGATGGAACTCAGGCTGCAGTGGCTGGCGATAGGTTGATAGCGCTGAGACTTAACCCCTGCACCACCAGGGAGGCCCTCGAGTCCTGTCTCTGTATCTCCCCTTCCACTGCACCTGGAAAGGGTGGGCTGGGCCAGCCAAGGCCTGCCCACCCCTGCAGCACTTTCTGGTTTTGTGATAGCAGCCGTTGCATTTCCCCAGAGTCTGTCCCCTTGTAGAGAGGACCCTCATGTTTCTGGTCTTCAGGGCCTCAAATGGGTGCATCTTATGGCCCAGGTGTAAGAGAGGAGTGTGAAGGGCCTTGGGATGACAGGGGGACGCCATGAATCCGACCCCTGCGGGTGGGCGGCGTCTCTGAGGTGAGTCACTGGCCAAGGCCACACTTCCGGCCAGCGGGCAGTGTGGTCACCTCCAGCAGAGCGTCACCTCTGCCTGCCTCCCGCCTCCCGCCGGAGACACGAAACCACACACCGAGGAGGCCGAGACCTGCGAGAGCGAGGGAACTCAGGCCTGGGGTGCGCTGCCAAGGCCCCCTTCCCAGGAGGGGATGAATCACAGAGCCGCCGGCGGGGAGCGTGTGCCGAGGGCTGGCTGTCGGCTGTGATTTTAAATAGTCAGGAGTTTCCGTGCGGGATGAAGCTCAGTTTCCACAGTGAGCGCGTGTTGCGACACCCAGAACACGGGCAGTGGGAAGAGCCGCCGGTGTCCAAGTCAGTGATTCACGGAGACGAGGCAGCCGAGGAGGCCGGAGGAGCGGGGTTGGGGCGGGGGGACAGACGTGCGTGGGGCGCAGCGAGCCTCCAGTGCGTTCCCGGAACAGGTGGGCAGGACTCTGGGAGAAGAGCCTGCCGGTCACAGGACACCACCGGCCGGGGCCCTAGGGCCTGAGGATGGCCTGGCAGCTGCCCGACGCCCGCCCTCCAGCCCTCCTCACCTCCTGCACACGGGCCCTGCTCCACGGCCTAGAAGCTCACCTTCAAGGTGTGGGCAGGGGCCTGCTCCCTGGAGTGCTGGGCCGGTGGGACCCGTTCTAGGCCTGCCTCCCGGCCTGGCTGCCCCAGGAACCCTGGCCAGCCCGCGACTGCTCGGCCCGTCCACCCGTTCTGCCTCCGTCCTCACGCGTTTTCCCTGGCCATGTCCCTCTCTGCGTCTCCCCTCTCGCGAGCACCCAGTCCTGTTGGATGAGGGCCCACCTCTGTGCGGCGTCTCCGCTTGGTGCTATCTGCACAGACCTGATCCACAGCAGGTCACGTCACCCGTGGGGACGGAGGGCGAGGACTTCAACAGGTCTCTTTGGGGGCCTCATTTCAGCCCGACTCCAGACCTCAGAGAGACGCTGTGGCAGAGCTGGGAGCAGAGGCGCCGCCACGCAGGCTGGGGTGCCAGGGGGGGGTGGGGGGGGGTGGGGGGGTTAAGGCTTGGCCCCAGCCGAGCGGTGGACACTGCTGCTGAGGCTGCTCACAGCCAGTTCCTGCCCTTCCCGGGCCAGGCTGAGAGGCGGCCTGGAGGCACCTGGAGGCACCTGGTGTCACCAGCTCAGATGCTGCTCAGTGTTCCAGTGATTTTAAAGTTTATATTTTCTTACTCCTGTGACAGCAAAATCGCTCTGACGAATGAGAAATGACGGGCAAAAAGGCGCAGCTGACGTTTAAGAGCCGGTAGGGGCAGCTGACAATGGAGTTGAGGCCCATCAAACCCAGCTGTTCTGTTGGGTATTTCTGCAAACTGTGTGTCTGCGAGCTCTCCTGGGGTACTGGGGGGAGACACAGGGCAGGAGGGAGCAGCCCCAGGGCCTGGGGGCTGGGAGGTTCAGGGAGCTGGCTGATGTGGGGAGGGCTCCGGGGCAGACTCCAGGGCAGAGGCCTGGGTGGGTGGGTGTGGTGGGAGGACTGGGTGGTCTGGGTGGGTGGGCGTGATAGGAAAACAGGGTGGTCGCCAGTGAAGACTTTTCTGCCCCTGGTACTCAAGAAGCCCCCATGGTGTCGGGGTGGCTCTGGCCTGCAGAGGCCATCTGGGAGGAAAGTGTTTCCAAGGGCCTGGGGGAGAACCCTGGGGGCAGCGGGACAGACAATGCTTCACTATTGAGCCCAGAAATTTCTCTAGCCCAAGCCAAGTCTGACATTTCACCAGCAGAGGGTGACTGCAGCGTGTGGGGTGACATCGGTCTTCCCAGGGGCAGTCATTCAGGCAAGGCTGTCCTTGCACAGTCAGGAGGTGGAGCTGGGGAGAGAGGGGCTGGGGGTCCTCAGGACAGAGGCATCACCTTCAGACCGGGCTTTTGGTGGGAACCAGGTTTTCCCAACCACCAGACAGAGGGCAGAAGAACTTGGGGCCTGGGATTAAGTCAGCCTCAGGGCGGGGGTGTCCTTGGTCACTTTATGTCCCGGATGTCCTTGGATTTAAGTCCCAGGCTCACGTCACGTAACGTCATTATGACACCATTAGGGGCATTGCAGATTGGATTCCACTTCCGGCTCTGCAGAAGCCGGCCTGGGCTCCCCTCCAGCCCAGCAGCCACCGCGAAGCTCAGAGCCCCCCCTCACTGGGACGTCTCCCTCTAGGTCTCCTGAGGGCTGGCTGAGATTCCCCAGGACCCCAGCCTTCCTGGAAGTCTGTACTTTTGGCAAGAGCCAGGCCTCGGAGGGCCCTCAGGTCCTCTCCCCCAGGACGGTGGAGCTGGCTGGCCTCCACGGCCTGCCCTTCCCACACATGGCCCCGGGGTCACCGCTCCTCCGCACTGCCCCGCCCCAAGGCTTGTGCTCCGCCTGGACCGTGGATCGCCCCCCCCCCCACCCCATCTGGCCTCTGGCTTCTCCTGCTTCCCAATTTGTCCTCCAACGGGCAGGTCGGTCCTTCTCTTCGCTCATTATCTCCCAGCTTAGAAACCCTCGTTCATCTCCTGTCACGGAAAAGGCAGCTCAGTCGGCCCATCCCAACGCCAGGCCCCGCTGTCCCCGCAGGTCCCTGTGCACTGCCTGTGCCCTCTGTGGGCCACCGGCTTCCTGGCACCCGCCCCCACCCCCAGCGCGTGTCGTGGCGTGTGGCGTGTGGCGTGTGGCTTTCTACAGTTACTTACAACAATTCCATTGAGTTGCTATTTGCAACCACGTGGGTGGAGCTTGGGGGTTACACTGAGTGACGTAACTAGGAGGAGCAGACACCTGATGACTTCGTCAGGCGAAAACAAACCAACAGAGGAAACAAAAACCCAAATAAACGTGTGTGGCTAACGTGAAGGCTCCGCGCTTGGCTCCCTCAGACCCTTTCAGCCTCGTTCCCAGACCTGCCGGCGCGGACCCGCCCTCACCCCATGGAAGCGGCTCTCGCCTCCCCAGCATGCAGGGATCTTGCCACCGCCCCACAAGGCCGCCCTGGGAGTCCCCATCAGGCCTTCCCCTTCCTCTGTCTCCCCCGCCCAGGGGAGCACCTGCCTCCTCAGCCTGCCTGCCCAGCCCAGCCCCATTATTGTCACGTGGCTGAGCTTCCGTGGACCTAACCCCGGGCCTTCGCATCGGGCCCAGGCGCCCGCCCATGCTCCAGAGTTGTTTGCGTGGAGAGGGTCCTTACCTCCAGTCATGCAGGGGAGCAGCTGGGGTGCGGCCCTCTGCGGCTGGATCCTGCGGGGACATGGCTGCCCGCTGCCGGCTGTGTCCTGGCGAGCACAGGGTGGGGGTGCCCTTGGAAGGCCCGCCCATCCCAACGTGTCTGCCCTCCTCGGGAGCCTCGTGTTCAGAGCCACCTTTTCTGAGTTAAATTCTCGGGCCAGCGCTCCGGGGGAGTCCCTCAATGCTGCCTTTGGGGGACTTCCCCGGGATGCTAGGTGAGGAGACAGTCCATGGTCAGAGGGCAGGAGAGGTCACACTTGGGAGGAGGCCAGGAGAGAGCCAGGGGGCCAGGGCTGGGGGAGGGTCGGAGCCAGTTGCCCGGGCCTCTGCAGCCCAGCAAGCAAGCGAGGACCTTCAGCGCTCCCCTCCAGAGAAACGTGCTAGAAACAAGGTGTGCGTGTAACATTAGAGGGTCTAGAGACACCGCTGCCCCTAGTCAGTCCATGGGCCTCACAGGCCCAAAGCCAACCACTGCCCTCTGGCCAGTTTTATCCTCTCAACCTGTACAGAGAACAGAGGCTGGAGGAGACGCCCCAGGGCTAAAGGGGCAGGGGGTGGGGGAGATCTGGCTTGGCCAGGCCCTGCTGGCAGGTGTTGCTTCTCCTGTGACCCCTACCCCAGGAGGGGTCTGAAGGCAATTTGGGAACTACTGTGGTGCGCCCCCTTTCTGTCTAGCAGGCTCATAGGGCAGGGTGCTCCAAACTACAGTGAGTCAAGGCTGGAAGGAGCCGCCCCACAGCCGCCCCACAGCAGACAAAGGCCACCCATCTGGCTGGCCTACGGGGGCCTACCTGGGTGGAACCCATGCACAGAGGTCGCCTCTCGAGCTCCCCCGGTCAGATCAGGGGCAGCTCATCAGGAGGGAGGCACTTGGGCCTCAGACTTCCCCTCTCCTCTGGGAGCTAGAGCTGGTCTCAGCTCCAGCAGCTGGTAAGGTGGTGCCAGGGAAGCAGCAGGAGCCCTTGCTGAGTGGGGTGGGGGAGATGCCCCCCAATGCAACGCTCTAGTTGAGGTCAAGCACATACGTGGGCACTTGACCTACCGCAGAAACATGGAGGACTTGCCCAGGGCCACGTGGGGTCCTGGTTGATAAAATGAAGGGGCTGGGGCAGAGCAGACTCCCCTCTTGTTGTGGGGGGAGGCTCGCTGCGCCTGGCTCTGCAGCATCGCGGTGGAAGAGGAGCCCTTCCCTGGAGTGGGCCGACCAGGGCCGGGAGACCCGGGCAGGACCGCAGCCCACGTGGCGCCACGCTCCAACGTGGAGATGACTCAGCTTGCCCTCGCTAGAGGGGGGCCAGTGACCCAAGAACACGGGCCCGCAGATGGCGACATGGCCCAGTCAGGCTGGAAGCACCCCATGGCCTCGGCTGTGGCCTCCACGCCTGGTGTTTAGGAAATGATCTGCCAACGCAAGATCTGCTTTCACAGAGGCAAAGTGTCCCATGTGAGTGTTCTAGAATATTCTCAAATATTCTTTTCCACCTCCTGGGGCAACTTCATAAGCAGAGGTCACTGTGAAGTTTCCAACTGAAAAACTGCAGTAACGAGAGAATAAGTAGCAGGACTAGAGAGGAGAGGGATGACCTGCAGGAGAAAGTGTCCATTAGAAATAGGTGTGGGCTGGGGGCTGAGCTCTCTGAGGCCCCCAAGGGTGGTCCCCACAGTCCAAGGTTGAAGATCTGGAACCTTCTCAGTACTTGGACCTTGGGGGCAGCTCACCTCTCCTGCAGGTAGCAGCGAGAGAACATGGCGCCTCACCCCACAGGAGACTACTGTTAATTGAGTGTGCGGGAAGTGTAATAAAAATTGGAAAGCTTTTCTCAAGTGAGTCTCGCTACCCTGGAGACAGGCCGCGCCCTCCCTCAGGCCCCAGAGAGGGACCTGGCTTGTCCTGCAAGGAGGCGCTGGCAACAGGGGCTTAACCCTCACAGCAGAAAGGTGCAGCTCCTGGGGCTTGTTTTACAGAGAGTTGCCCCATCATTTTGGGGTACAGTTGGGGTTGAAAACACTGGAATCGTGATTTCTCAGATGCCACAGAAAGGCAAGAATCTGAGCCTTGCCTTTTACTGCAGAGTGCTCTCCCCCCTCCCCGCCCCTCTCTCTCTCTCAGATGTATTTGTGGTTAAAATTCCAGAGCAGAGCTAAAGTGGAAGTGACAACGTGCAGCTATTTCCCCAGCTGAATACGGAAACCTCTTTCTCCTCTTTTTGGAACAAGCGATCTGAGATTTTTTAATAATGAAATTTAAAAAATTGTATTCCCCACTACCGTCCTTTACGCTCTGTACCCTTGCTCCATCCTCCAGCCTCTCCACCTTAGAAGACTCGCTTCCCTTATTAGCACCCACTAATTTTTTGAAGTATTGTGCTCGTGGCCTTGCCTGCGGGGTCCTTGCGCTCTCACTGCGGTGGAGACGCCCGGGGTGAGTCTTTGTCCCCTGACGCTCCGCCACGGCCTCTCTCCTCCATCCCGCCCTCCAGCTTCTCCTCTTGCCGCCGCAGGTGCCTCCCCTGGCTGGACGGCGCCCACGGGTGGGGAGACAGGCTTCTTGTCCAGGCCCCGTCCCTGGACGGCTGAGCGGATCCCGAGTCCTCACTGCTGTGAGCAACGCTGCCATCCACGCCCGGGGGGGCACGCTCTGCCCTGTGGGTTCCCTGGAGGGGCTGGAGGGACGCGGTATTTCCGTTTTTCGTTTTTAAAGGCAAATCCAGATGGCTTCCAAAAGGGGTGTGACTGTTTACGTTCTCCCCAATACTGTATTCTATTTCTTTGCATTTGTCTAAAACCCCCTTTTCCGGTTTCAAGGTGGGCCTGGGAGTGGGGTCCTGAGCAGCGTGCGGCCGAGTGAGGCAGCCCGGCCTCTGCTGCAGGGCAGGAGCGCGCACCTGCCGCTGTCTCCTCCCCAGGTGAGCCGAGGCCCTGACCCTCATGAGACCCCGCGTCACTGCCAGAGGTGGGTGAGCTGCTGGGCTTGAGGCTGGGCCGGGGGAGCCTGGCTCGGGGCTCCCCAGATAGGAGAGACCAGCTGCTGGGGCAGGGCAGGGACATGTCACTTGCAAGACATGAGTGACTCCTCCTTGGACGAAGGGGTCAGGGCAAGGCCTCAGGGCCCTGTATTCCTGAATTCCTCACAGGTTGCCTCAAAGAGGGGGACACTCAGTGGGGCGGTGCTGAGATCCGCCAGCTGGGGAGTCAGACAGGAGGCCACAGGTGCTCTGGGGCTCCTAGCGGGCTGACATCAGCAGATCCTCACTCCTTGGGCGGGGTAGTGAGCCCCAAGAGTCTGGGGTGCTGGTGGAGGTAACTTGGTTTGGGGTGGGCACCCCCTTACGTAGGTCTTAAAGCGTTTTTCCTCCCAGGGGGGAGAAGCCAGGTATGGGGGTGGCTCTGAGACCTCATCAGGAGGGGTCGGGTCCCCAGGAATTGCAGAGGGGGCCCTCACAGGCAGGGAGACAGTACCTCTATTTCCATGGGTTCCGACTTACATCCTCTGGCGGCCGATCACCGGCATTTCATACTCGGCCTGGGGACTGAGGCCCAGGAAATTGCCGTCTGTGGAATGAGGCTGAGACAACTCCTCCGGGGTGGGGCGACTCCTCTTTGGCAGTGATGGCTCAGGAGATAGAGCTGCCCCCTCCAGGGGCACCCCAACTGGACAGGCCTCCCCAGCCGTTCCTGAGCAGGAAGAGGGGCCAGGGCTTCACCAGGGAGGGTGGAGCTAGGCTGGTTACTCTCACTCTGACGCACAAACTCTGAGCTGATGAGTGGATCCGCCAGGAGAAGCTGCGCCTTCGTGGAGGGCAGCCCACAGGGACCCTCGCGGGGGCAGGTGTGAGCTGACGCGTGGCCTAAGTAGCTAGCTAGGGGTCCAGGTTGGAGGTCCAGGTTCCTGAAAAGTTCTGCCACGGGCCATGTCTGCACGCGAACACCTGGGGGCAACAGCAGGTGATGAGTGGTGCCGAAGCAGTGCCCTCTCCCCTGCGCCCCTGCTAGCAGCCAGGCACAGAATGGCTTTGTGTGCGAGGCAGCGGAATCTTGGAGGAGCTCCTTCAATGGGGGGCGGGGGAGGGGGGTCTCAGCCTTCCTTTGGGCCCTGAGCCAATCCCCCTGTAGCGCAGCTTTCACCTGTGATTGCCTGTCCTGCCCTGCACATGGCGCCAGGTGCAGAAACCGGCCCCTTCTGGTCCACGGGGTTCCAGCTCTTCCCTCCTTGGCTGGACTTCCAGAAAGGCCGCCTGCAGGGCTCTGCCCAGGGGGTGGGGTGGGGGGAGCGCCCAGTGTGAGTGATGGATGGCAAGAGGCGCCCACACCGTGAGAAGAGCCTCTTTCTCATCCAATCCCATCTCGGCCTGAAAACTCCAAGTTTCTGGCAAAATACAAATACTTCTTGGGGCAGGCGGTCAGCCTGGGAGAATCATTTTGTGGTTCCCCAGGTGAGGATTTCCTGAGTGGGACTCAGGGCTGGTGAGGTTCATTAGTGGTGGGGGACAACGTCTGGTGTGATGACTCTCCTCTGGGGACACTGACACTCCAGTCTGGAGGGGGCTTCTCGCTCGCTCGCACACTCACACACGCGCACACACACTCCCTCCCTCCCCTGAGGGCTCCACCTTGCCTGTCTTCATCTACCTTGGTCGGACTATTCAGCTTTTCCATTTCTTCTTGCGGCTGTTTTGTTAGGTTTCAGGACTTTTATGTTACTGGACTTTCCTAGTTTTTGGTAAAAAGCTCCTTCGACCAGCTTGTCGCCGTTAGAGAGCCCGCCGCGGCATGCGCGCCGACGCCCCTGTCTTATTCCCAAGATTGGTTATTTGTGCTTTATTAATCACACAAGCGAGTCAATTTTATTAGTTTTGCTGAAGGAAATTGTTGGTTTTGTGACGTGACGGTTTCATTAGTTTCTGCTCTTTCCACCCCCCCTTCGCCTTCCTGGATGACCTTTGCTAGCACGTTTGCATCTTCCTAAAAATTCTCATCCTTGCTTTTCCCCCCATTGACTGCTCACTTCTCAATGCTGATTTGCTGCTCCTCTCTAGGTTTTGCTACTTAGTACTTTCTTACGACTTCATTAAAACATTTTTAACTCCCCATATGATTTCGCTAACCGTTTATTTAGCAGCATAATTTTTATTGTCTGGATATACAAGAATTCTGGTTACTTCCCATTATTTACTTGAAGCCGGAGAGCTGCGGTGTATAGTCCTACACCAGATTTTATTTAATTTCAATACTTTGAAATTGGCTTAAACTTGTTCTAGCTGGTATAGGGTCCATTAAAACAACTCTGAATGTGCTGGGGGAGGGCGCGGGTCCGTGTCCTGCGGGAAGCTGCTCTGTGTCGACGACGGGGCCCATTTTGTTGACTGGTTTGTTCAAATCTTCCATATCCTTCCTGATTTGTTCTATCAGTTTCTGAGATATGCTAAATGTCTCCCACATGGAATTGTGAATTCAGCTGTTTCCTTTAGTTCTTTAAATTCTGAGGCTAGTGGAAGGGCGGTTGCAGTGACTGAAACACTGCGTTTATAAAGAAGGCAGGAAAGAAAGGAAAACCCTCTGGACAGGTGGGCAATCGGAGGGCACAACAGAGATGGTGCCCACAGCTCCGTGACCAGCTTCTCAGCACCTGGGCTGGACTCAGGGCTCCCTGTCAGGGACACGTTTGTCGGGCTGGATTAAATTGGGCTGTTTACAGCAGCCACACCTAGGACAGACACAAAAAGTGGGGCGCAAAAGCCATGTCTGCATGGTACCAAACTCCTTTAGGGGCCCAGCGACCTCGTGGGTGTCACAGGCATGGGCTGTGGCCCCTGGGCCCCCATGGTGGCCACCAGTAAAAAGCCAAGCTGGCCGAGTGACGCCTGGAGGTCCTGTCTCCTGCAGGCCTCGCTTCTAAAGTCCCTCAGGGCACGGGGGCCGGGGCTGTGCTCTGCTCCCAGGTTCCAGTGCGGGCCCAGCCACTGTCCTGCCTTCCACTGTCCAGCCAGTGGCAGTGGATGCTTTGGGGGCCCTGCCATGATCAGAGGAAAGGAGGGGCACGTGGTCAGCCAGGAGCTGAACCCCGCGACCGCGACCGTCCAGGACAGCAGCAGGCAGAAGCGGAGACTCCCCACCCCCACCCCCCCAACCCCCGCTCCAGGCCCCTGAAATTCCTGAGTTCAAAATGCCCCTTGCTCCTTCCCTCCAAAGGGACCACATCTCCTCCTCAAAAGGCCTTGCCACCCAGTAAAGTGGTGGGGAGGGCACAGAACCAGGTCCCGGACTGCTCACGGGGTGACAGTGCTCACCCAGCCAGAGACCAGGGCTCGGGGTTGGCTGCAGAGGGCTTCTCTGCGCTGGGCCTGGACCCCCAGAGGCCCTGGCCCTGCCCCCCAAGGTGACCACAGAGCTTCCTGCCATTCGCTTTGTTATTCATATGGCCCATTCTTAAAAAAAAAAAAAAAAGCTTTGAAGTTCCTGTTTCTCCAACCCTGAACCGAGCTTGGCTCTCCAGGCGCCCTTGTTCACGCAGCCAAAAGGCAGTCGTGGTGGGCAGGGCCCTGGACGCGGCTGGAGAGCTGCTTTGTTCCTGCCGGCTGCTGCGCTGAGGGCTGGTGCTGGCAAAGCCACAAAGGCCGGCTTCACAAGCACACGGCCTCCCACCGCCCGCTGAGAAGCGAAGTGGCAGCCAGGCGGGGGCTGGGCAGGTGGACGAACCCTCCTCCTCCCTCGTGTCTGTGACCTGCCCATTCTACCCACCTGCACTGAGCCCAGAGCCCCTGCAGAGCTGCAGCCCCCCCGCCTCCCCCCCTTCTCTACGGAGCACTAGCTGCCAAGATGGCTCAACAGCACCCCACTTACAGGAGCTCACAGAAGCCAGTTTCCAAGACACTGTTGAGACTGGCCAGCCCTGAAACACCCTGTGCCAGCCATGTGCCCCAGCCCCTCCCCCACCCCAGAATGGCCTTGACTTTAGGGGCGCCCCAGGCATAGCAGCCACAGGCGCTGCCCTCCGCTACAGCACCTGCCGGACCCCGAGCTGCCTCAGCACTGGGGCCCAGGCCCCCCGAGCGCAGAGCTGACCCTACCAGCTGCCATGCCCAGCACAAGGGCACGCAGTTCCTAAGCCCTCGGGTCAAAGGGCTTGGATTAGGACTGTGAAGCCCGGGGAGGAAATGGAGGTGGGACCCACAGCCAGTCCCGCGTTGCCACCCAAAGCCCTCCCCACTCCCCTGGGCCCAGCGGGCAGGACTGGCCCCAGAAGCCAGCCCAGTGACATGCTGGACATGCCATTCCCAGGGCAAACCCGAGTCTCAGGTTGAACTGTGTCCCCCCAGCTTCAGGATTCCTACCCCCCAATACCCTGGAAGACAGGGCCTTTACAGCAGCACTCAAGTCACAGCAAGGGTGTCGGGGTGGCTGGGTCCTGCACAACTGGGGTCCTTGTGCCAACAGTCACATGGACACGTGGGGGATGAGGCCATGAGGACACCAGCTGGCCGCACCCAGACTGGGGGAGGCCTGGACCGTCCTCACCCCAGAAGAGACCTCACTGCCCTCATCCGGTCCCTGGACCTCCCTGGCCCCCAGACTGTGTGAAATGAAGCTGCCCAGTCTGCGGGCATTGTCATGGGCTCCCCTCCCCACCCAGAGCAGCAGTGTGCGCCCCCCACCCCCAGGGGTCATCTGACAATCACATTCCCCAGCCGGCTGCCTTCTCCGGGCTTCGGGAGGGCCGGCCTCAGCACAGGCCCATCCAGCACAGGGAACACCACCCAGAGGCCACGACGACTCCTCCCTGCAGGAACCCAGGGCCGTTCCCTTCGCAAGCAGCCTCTTTAATTTGGAATCCACTGGGTAAATGCAGCCTAGACCCGGGCGGAGTTCTCCCCAGATGAAATCTACACCCAGCTGTACCAGGCTGGCACGGGCCCTCCCTGCCCCGGGCCGGCAGCTGCTGGAGCGTGGCCCTGCCTGGCGGCCCTGGCGTCTCCAGTGGAAAGGACGGGAGGGGAAGGACATGGACAGGAACCTGAGCCAAGGCCAGAGGTGTGGCTGAGGAACGTGCCTCCCTGAGCAAACCGCACCCGGCAGTCTGGGGCATCCAGGCCGAGGGCGAGCCCCAGCCCCTCAGGGCCCAGACAGGGGGAACGTCTGGCTGGGCGAGGGGGCAAGGCAGCCCTTGGGGGATGCGGGGGGCCGGGCATCCCCAACGGGGCCAAGTAGATGGAGAAGGCGATTAGGGGCCCCCCACCTCGCGTCCCTGTGTTCTCTACCCCACAGCTCCCCTTCCAGGGCCCTCTGGGCCCCCACCCACAGGCTGCTTGGCTCCCTGGGCTGCTCAAAGGTCCTGGCTGGGGCAGCCGCTGCAGACAGCAGCTCCCTGTCGGCCCGGGCTGCAGGGGCGGCCACCGGGGATGGGAGGGCAGCAGGCACTGGAGGGGACGGGGGGCCCTGGTGGCCGCCAGAGTGTCCAAGGTGGGGGTGCACAGTCAGCACAGCGCAGCTGCATGCCGCGGGCAGACGCTGATGGGAAGGGCTGGAGTTAGAAGCCTCTGCTGGGGGGGTGTCTTCTGGCAGCTGAGGCACCAGGCGGGGCCCCCCGCTGGAGAGGCCCGAGGGGTCCCCAGCCCTGCAGCCGTCAGCCTGGCCCCGCAAGAGCTTGGGTTTAGGCCGGGCAGGGCCCTTCTGTCTCCAGTAGGGCAGGTGCCTGTGGGCAGGGCCACGAGCCCGGTGAGGGCCCCGGGGGAGGGTCCATGGCCAGGAAGCCTGGCCCTTCGGCACAGAGCCCCGCGGTCGCCGCCCCAGCCGTTCCACGTGGGTCCTCATGGTGGCCACTTCCTGAGACAGGCCAGCCAGGGCCGTGGCGAGCCGGTCTAGCTTCTCGGAGAGGGTGGCGCTGAGGCCGCGGAGCTCATGCTGCAGGGACCGCCCGCAGGGGCATGGCCGCGGGCAGGCGGGTGGCATTGGGCGGGTGATCGTGGACTCAGGGGACGGCTCCGGTGGGATGCTGGGAAGTGGCCTCCCACTGGTCCTGTCTAAAAACCAGAGCAAGAATGTGGGGTGAGAGCTCTCGGGGTGTCAGGACCTTCCTCTGCCCCCGACACCTCAGAGTCCCTTCAGTCTGGGCATGTGGTGTCCTGCCCTCCCCAAGACCTGGCTTGAGAAGGGAAGACGTCGCTCAGGCCCACAAAGCTCCGTGCGCCAGGCCTCCTGGTGGCACTTCCACAAATCCACAGACGGGAAGGCCACAGAAGGGTCTCCATGGTAACCAAGCAGAGGACAGTGGCTTCCCTCCTTCTAGGGAAGGGTCAGTAGCTTCTTTGGGACCTGATGGCCCCTCCCAAGGCCTAACCCTGCCCTGGGGAGTCTGGGCAGGGCCTGGAGCAGCCTCAGCCAACAACACAGACCAAGGCCGTGGCAGCAGGAGGCCCAGTCTAGCAGGGTGGCCAGGGGCTGCTTCAGCACCTACTGGGGGACATCCCTCTCCTGACCTTTCCCTCCCCACTAGGAAGTTTAATCAGAAATTGCCCGCCCCTTCCCCCTAAGACCCCTGGCTGTTCTCCAGGCCAGGCCACCTCACAGGAGGCCTGTCACCGCCGGCACGGAGGACAGACCAGCATTTCTACTTGCTTCTGAGTCCCAGGCTGGCTCTGGCCTCTGGCTGGCACCTGCAGGACTTCCAGTAGGGGAAGAACGAAAACGGGGAGCCCAGGACAGACATCAAGGGCCGTGGCTGTACCACTGTGGGGGCATTGGGGGAGGGCGGCCTGTCCGCCCAGGGACAGCTCAGCACCCTGAGGCAACCGCGCCTCCAGAGGGGCAGACGTCCGGGCCAGCAGCCCCCCAGGAGGCCACAGCTGGAGTCGCTGGTGTGAGGTTCCTCGGAGGAAACCAGGACTCGGGGCCCTGCACCTTCCTGGGTCTCTCGAGGTTTCGGGAGCTTCCGGCCTCAGGTGTGAGGCAGAGCCACGTCTCATGGGTGCCCTGGGCCAGGTCACTCCTCACTGCCAAGCCCCAGTGGGGGCCACTGAGGCCCCCCAACTCTGGCTCTGGGAGAAGCCACCCCGGCATACATCTCAATTTCTAGCTGCCCCTAGAAAGCCTCTGTGATTTTATGAAAACGTCAGCTCCTTCTGTAAGAAAACACTGGAATGAGATGAGTAGCTCAGAGCAAGCCAAGGGAGACTTCCTGGCGGGTCCAAAGACAGGGTTCCCTACTGTGCCCCCGGGGGTCAGCTGGCCCACCTTCAGGGGGGTGGGGTGGCCACGCAGACGCAGGCTGTGGCCCCGTGCCCCAAGAGCTCCCCAGGGGGCGGGGAAGCCACCAACTCACCTGGCACGCTCAGTCTTCTGTGTCCGGACCCCGGGTCCTCAGGCTCTTTGCTCACCTCTGGCTTCCAGGACAGGGGCCCAGGGGGGGCTGAGCTGGGGGGCCGGCAGGGCCCTGGGTCAGGCCTTTTCTCCAGCGCAGGGGCGGGGCAGGGGCTCCCAGCTGTTCCTGCAGAAAGAGCACAGGGCACCTGGGCTGTGATGCCAGCTGCCCTGAGGGAGCTGCTCACAGAGCGTCTAGATACTAGGACGTGACTTTCCAGAACCAGCTGACGAGGGGCAAGATAGACAGACCTGGCCCATCGGGGACCCCATCTCTGGCTCAGTGGCAGGTGTGACGAGGGTGGGCTGGGTTTCTTCTGGAGTCCCTGGAGTCCTGGGGACCCCTCCCCCTCCACCCAGGGGCCGGGCTCCGAGTACACGTCTCCCCAGGGCGGCTGCATCCCTGCTGGGGCCAAGGCTGGTCGGGACCAGCGGGGAGTGAGGCAGCTGCCTGCCCCCAACAGCCTCTGCGCCCTCCAGGGAAGGCACCTCTGGGCGCTGTTTCTGTTTATTGTCAAGTTTTACAAATGTATGTAATTACAAACACGTACGTGCACACGTACACGGGTGCATGCCACTAAGCGTGCAGTGTGTACTGTTTGTATCACAAACAAGGTACAGAATTTAACTTTTTGCCAGGTTTTCTCATTAAAGGCTCTCCTTGAACTCTCCCAGGGCCCCAGATTCAAGAACCCCATCTGCTCTCTGACAGCAGGAGAGACGCCAGCCTGATGCGGGGGGTGCGCTACGGCAACTGTCCGGCAAAGATGGGCAGAGCTCAGAGCAGGCTCTGGGCTGCGGGCACCAGGGCCAGGCCCCCCTCACGGCCCCCCTCACTGGCTCACCGGCACTGAGACCGCCGGGGTCCCTGGGCTCTGCTCTCCACAGGCCTCCACCAGGGCTGCTGCTGCTACTGTTGCTGCTGCTGCTACTGTTGCTGCTGCTGCTACTGTTGCTGCTGCTGCTGCTGCTGCTGCTGCTGCTGGGGAGACCCCCAGGCCGTGGGGACGGAGGGCCAGGGCCCCGGCAGCTGGGGAGGCGGCCCCGCTCTGGCAGCACACACAAAGCGGGCATCAGGGTGGCGACCGGCCCCGGGCACAGGCCCCCCACCCTCTCCCCCAGCTCACCTGGCGGGAGCAGCGGCCAAGGCTCGGACTCCGGCCTTAACTCATCTCCTTCTGAGCTGCTGAAGCTGGAGCTGGAGCCGGGGCTGGGGCTGGGACCGGCCAAGCAGGCGAAGCGCAAGGGCCTCCCGGGCAGGATCCCCCTCAAAGAGCTCTCCAGGCAGCGGAGCGGGGACGGCCTGCAGGCTGACCCTGCGCAAGCAACAGGAGAACCTCTGATGCCAGCCAGGAGGGCTCCATCTTAACAGACAGGCACATGGAGCTGGTCCCCTTCAATTCCACTCACTGTCCCCTGCAGCTCTGCTGCGCCCCCTGGAACTGCCCACCCTTTGGCCATGGACAGTAGAAAGCAGCAGAGCCTACAGCTTGGCCAGGACCCCTGGAAAGTCAGCTGGGGAACTTTCCAGAAGTCCAAGTCCCTGGAAGCCACTGGTAGTCCAGTCCCAGCCAGGCCCCGGGTCTTCTGAGGTAGCCCCTTCCCTACACAGGCCCGGCAACCCAGAGCAGAGGGTTGGTTGAGACACAGGAGGGTCTGGTCACCCCCACGCCAGTACCCACCTTGGGGGAGCATCAGAAATCTACGCTGATTCACCTTCCTGCCCCCATGGGCTTATCTAGGAATGAATTCTGCTGCAGGCGCCATCAACCGGGGTGGAGGGAACCCGTCACCCCTCCAGCACGACAGTGAAGGAACAACCGCCCTTGACCAGAGAAACCAGGGGTTGGGCGCAGAGTTCTCAATGCTGCCACTTTTGGCACTTGGGGTTCCTTCACCTTTTGGGGGAATCCCCCACAATGCAATGCTGCCACAGAGTGTTCGGGGGTGTGCAGAGCCCAGGCTGCAGCCCTGTCCTGGGGACAGAAATGAGACAGGGAAGAGCAGCAGCATGGAAGGCAGGCGAGGGCCCTGTTCAGACTCACCATCATGCAGCCCCCTCCATGGCGGTGGCCCGGGGGGTCTGTGGTCCTTGGGGCCTCGCGGGGAGCAAGAGGGGAGGCTGCCAAGGGTGAGTGCTGGGGGACTGGCTGGCCGGAGGCTCCTGCTGAGGCGGTCCCCCGTGGGCTGTCCAAGAGGGGCCGGCTCACAAGCCTCGCCCCTCAGTCCTGTTTTAATGAGAAGCCAGGGGCCTGTCGGCATGGAGGGGGGACATTGTGGACACAGAGCAACTTCTTCCATGGTGGACTCTCCGGTCCACAAGCTCCAGGCGTGGACACACCAGCCCTGGGATGAGCTGGGGCCCAGCTACCTGGGTTCCAGAGTCCCTACTCAGCCATTGTGCCTGATGAGAGGCAGCGGGCCTCACTAGGCTGGGGCTCGAGCCTGGACTTTGGGAAAGCAGAAGGTGGGGCTGGGGCCCTGCCCAACGCCACCCACTCCCAGCTGGTGGCAGCACCAGCTACATGGCGTCACATGAGGCTCTGCCTGGGAGCTTCCAGTCTTTGCAGCTCAGGGTGGATGTGGGCGAGGCCGTACCCCAGCCAGGCAGCCATACTTTACCTTCTTTGTCGGTCGTGCCATTGTTGGGCTCTGTTCTCTGTGGGCCCCCGTCTCCTGGTGAGGACCAGGCCCAGGCAGGCCGCGGCCTGGGCATGGGAATCTCTCTGAGACAGTTCTCCAGACCCTGGAGCGGGGAGCTTCCCATGGGGCTTCCTGGGAAGAACAGACAGTGGCATCTGGGATGGTTCTGGCTCAGTCTCAGAGGACCCAGGAGACTTGCCTATGGGCTGTGGGCCGTGTCCAGGGCAGCTGGCCCACAGGGGAAGCCCACAGCACTGGATGTGGCCCTGCATATGCACCAGTCCTGGCTCAGGGGCAGCCCAGGAAGCAGCCAGCCTCTGGGCTCCTCAGGACTCCCAGCCCCACCCCTGAGGGGATGCCACAGGCCAGCCCTGAGGATGGACACCACAGGGTCACCTTCCTACTCGGCAAGGGGCCAACAAAGGCCTCCACGTGTGAGGCTGCAGGGCACAGAGGGCCAACACTAACACAGTTTCAACTTGGGAACAAAACAAATCCTAAAACCCTGCTCCAGGGACAGAAAGCTGTGGAAGTAACAGGAACTAAATGAGCCAAAATTCCAGAACAAGAAAAACCCCTCCTGCGTGAGTGACCTCCCAGGCCATGCGCCTTCCGAAGGCCTGCTGCGGCCGGCCAGGTGGAGTGCGAGCAGAGGCCACCAGACGCAGGCGCCAAGGCGACGCTCCCAATAGGATAACCATGAGATCTGGGGCCACGAGGTGGTGGGGAGTGGGGGAGCCCTTCCCAGGAGAACCCCTGCAGTCTGGGTCTCTTGGAAAGCAAAGTTGCAACAGAGGCCGAAGAATCAGGGAGCAGCACCGAGGCCTCGCAGCCACGAAGGGCAGGGCGCCCGGTGGGTGGTGGGGCTTGGCCACATACAGGATGGCCCTGTGTGGTGGAGGGACTCACGGCAGTGGTGACTGGGGAGCAAGGGGTGCTGGGGGGCAGGGGAGGGGGGAGATGTCATCTTTCCTACATCCGTCACCCACTCCACCCCAGTCAGTCCAGGCTCCTGCCTGAACACCCCCGGCTGGGCTCCCGGCTCGGCTCCAGGCAGGCGGCCTGCCTTAGAGGCAGGACCTCGGTGGGCAGGGCGGCACCGAGCAGCCTTCTCTAGGATCCACCCGGCCTCCGCCTGCAGCTCACCTTTTCCCAGCTGACCCCCCTGGTTGCCCTCAGGGCTCTGGAAATCCAGGTCCCCATCGGTGCTGCTGGACGAAGAGAAGCTGGTGGGGGTGCTGCGGGGGCCTGGAGGGAGGACAGGACAGTCTCTCACGCAGCCCTGCAGGCCCAGAGGCAGGAGAGGCCCCGCGGTCACCTCTGCAGGAAACAGCACAGTGGGCGTCAGGGGACAGTCCCTGGAGAAGGGGTGCCCAGGGCCTGGGCCGTGGACCTGAGTCCCGCAGAATGGCCCTGGGGGCCCACCCCGGGGTCTCCCCATGGCCTAGGGCACACACATCACAGATTGAAATACAGCAGGGAGTCACCGAATGACCAATGGCCCATCCCGCGGCCGGGAGAGCAGGGCTAAGAGGGGGAGCTGGCGGGAGAGGACATGTGTCTCAGGAGGCCCGGGATGAGGAAGAGGACCTGAGAGTGTCCCCAGCATCCCCCTCGCTATGCACAGGGACAAGCCCACCCCTAGCCCGGGGCCCAGTCTACCTTCACTGTGTGATCCTCGGCGCTGCAGCTCGGGCCTTGGGGACCCGGGGGTTCCTGGCTGGGGGCTCTGGAACCAAGTGGTGGCCGGTGGCTGGGGAGGTAACGACCCACTCAGGGGAATGCCCTTCAGACAGGCCTCCAGGGCTTCCAGGGGTGAGCGCGAGGCACTGCCGGCTGGGACAGGGGAGACGCCCTATCACCACTGCTGGCCAGGCCCCGGCCCGGCCCCACTGGTTGCGCAGGGGTGAACAGCTCTGCACCCAGGACTGTGACCTGCTCCCTGCCTGGGCAGGGGACCCACACAAGCCAGCCCATGGCTCGGGAGGGTTGGCAGGATGACGGGCTTTGGGCAGAACACTCCCTGGGCCAGGGCCTAGACCAAGGTGGACGGTCAGCTGGAAGGCCTCCTGCCCAGGAGATGACCGGCACTCCCTCCCCTTCGGGTGGAGTGGGGTGGCCTGGGCATCCCTCAACCAGACCACCCTAGGCCTCACCTTGAGCCGAGGGGCCCCTGCCAGTCACTGGGACCCCTCTGCTGTCTCCAGTGCCCCCAAGACTGCCGGGGGCAGTGGGGCTGTGTGTCCACTTGCTGAGGTGGCAGGACACAGGCGCGGGCGGGCTCTGGGCCCAGACATCCTCCATCTTCACCACAGGGAGCGCACTGCTGGCTCCGGGACCAGGGCCAGAAGAGGGGGTCTGAGGGGGTCTGGACCCTGTGGAAAGTTGCCCAGGAGGCCTTTACAGGGCCAGGAGAGGGCATCCCAGGCCCCTGCCCTCCAGGACCACCTGCTCAGTGACAGGCGGATGGGACTATCGCAAACCCTCCCGCCCGGCCCCTCGGGCACTTCCAGAGGTTTCCACCAGGGATGCCAGTTAGACCTCCTGGGCAGCGCTGATCCGGGTCTTTCTTCCGGGGCCAGCACACCCATCTCAACTCAACCTTCCCCGGGTTCTCGGCAGCTGCAAGCTCCGTGAACCGCCATGCATGGAGAGGGAAGCCCAGCCCTCGCAAACATGCACCCCCCACGTCCAAACCACACCCCAAATGCCTGTCAAGCTGTAGTTTCACCTGTTCTCAGTCTGTCTCCTCCCCCCCCCCCTGAGCGCTGCTCCTGCCCTCTGAACTCCCGGCTCCCACCGTAAGAGCCGATCCGGAAAGTTATCAGGGGCTGATGCAGCGTCTCCATTTACAGAGATGCGGCTCCTGAACACCCAGCCACAAGGCCACACCCCGAGGGGGCCCGCGGGTCCCTGCTGCCTGCCTGGAGAGGAAGAACAGCCCAGCCGGCAGCCTTCACCTCCTGAACTCCTTTTCCTTGTCCCTGGTTCCTGCGGCGGTGCCCGCCCTGGCCCTGGGGGGCGCCTGTCCTGGGCCTCTGGGATCTCCTTCAGGCAGCTCAGCAGGCCCTGCAGCGGGCAATCGCTGGAAGACGCCTCTGTCTTCACTATGGGGCAGAAAGAAGGCATTTCCACCCTGAGCAGAGTGCCCCTGGTCTCCATGGCAAACGAGAGTGGGTACCCAGGTGCGGTTAAAGGGGTGCAGGGCTGGAGGCCTGGAGTCTTCTCAAACTTAGTAGGTCTTTCACAGGTCGCTGGTCTTCTCGGGGTCCGGTTTACATGGCCCCCTCGCTCGCCTCCATTTCCCTGCCCTGCTGGGCCCCAAGGTGCCCCCACATGCAGGAGAGCCCCTCGGGAGGGCTGGGCTCACCTCCCTCTAGGCAGGACCCTCCCCAGAGGCCCCAGTGGGAGGGGAGATGCGCGAGGGTATCAGAAGGGCAAGCAGGAGCTGGTACTGACGGAGGAAGTAGGTGGACTGGGCCGAGACCTGGAGACAGTTCAGAGGCCCGAGCTCACAGCCCCTGCACATGGCACTTGCCGTGCCCCGCCCAGAACAGTGTTCCGGCAGGAACGACCATGCCTTTTCACAGACGGGGGCACTGAGGCTCGAAGGCTCTGGAGCCTGCCAGCCTGACCAGCTACAGGGTCTGATACGCCCCACCTTACCGCCCAGCCCCCAGGTCCATGCGAAGCACCCCACCCTCCACTCTGCATCATCCCCAGAGGCCCCCAGTTAGGACAGTGAAGAGCACCGGAGAGCCCGGGGCAGACTGTGAGTCCCCCACCTGCACTGACCAAGTGCTGCTGACCAAGGGAGCCGCCTGGCTCCGGACCCCGAGGCGGACCATGCCCGGAGCCATCCCGTCGGGAACGACCCTTCGAGAAGATAATTTCCAGAGAAAAGTCTACAGCAAAACAGGGGCTTCTGAAGACAGGGACTCACCTCCCCAGGGCAGGCTCCCAGGAGTCCGGGCTAGCCGGGAAGCACCCAGGCTGGGGACGGGAGGCCGCAGACTCGGCGGGGGGCCCGCAGGGAGCAGGGGCCCCGGCACCAGGATCTCCTTAAGGCAGTTGATGAGCCCTTGCAAGGGGCTGCTCCCAGGGGAGAGTCCTGCAGCACCTGCAAGGTCATACAAGGTTGGGGCAGCCCCACTCAGTCTCCGGACATCTGAGATTTCCCACCCACAAGGCCAAGGCCAGAGCCCCGCCTCGTAGGGAGGTCAGGAGGTGCAGAGAGGACAGCCACATGACACCCTCACAAGCCCCCATGCCTGCCCCTCTGGGCTCTGGGGTGACCCCACATCAGGAAAGAGGGCTCTCACCTGTCCCCGGGACCCCTCCCTCTAGCTTCCTATGGTTCTTCCTCGGGCTGGGGTTCCAGTTCGGGCTGGGCTCCCCGTCCAGCGCCCCTGGGCCTTCCTTCTCGGCGGGTCGAGGTCTGTCAGCAGTTTCTGTTGGGAAGAGACAGGAAGGCCCTTCCAGCCCTGCCAGGGAGCCTGCTCAGAGCTGCTGTCCTGGGGCTGGTTCCTTCCACCTGAGGAAGGGGCTGGGATCTATTTCCCTCTGGGGTGACTGCAAATACAAAGATTGTTCACCCCAATCACCTCAGATCCTACTCAGCAAATGACGAGAGCAGCCTCAACACGCAGGGCCCAATCCTACACTGGTGCTCCTCCAAACGGGGCTCCCGGCACCCCAGAGCAAACGTGCCAGCCAACCCCGGAGCCACAGGCTGCACGGGGCGAGCTTACCCGGAGGGCCTGCTCTAGCCCAGATCAATTCAAAATGCTTTAAAAACAGGCCCTGAGACAAACGCAATGTCGGCAAGAACTTTTAAAAATAAAGTGAGGCGAGAGGACTTGTACAGGCAGCCCCGGCCCTCCCCTGCCCTTCGGGGTGCCGGGGTCTAAGGGTCGGCTGGAGCAGGGCAGCACCCCTGCTGACAGAGGCCAAGCACCCCCTTCCCCGGAAGCTGCCCCCATTTAGCAATGAAAGACTCCGAGTCCTAAAGAAAATGTCCCCAGGCCAGAGGCCCTGGAACCCGGGCGCTCCCCGAAGCCCCACCCCACTCACTGATGGAGAGGGGGCTTCCCTGCCCCCCGGCTGCAGCTGGGTCACTGGACGAGGAGCTGCCGCTGGGCGTGGAGGCCAGGCTGGGTCCGCTGGAGGGGGTGTCTGGCAGGCCCCCGAGCCCGCCCCCAGGACGGCAAGTCTCCAGGGTCACGGCTGCTGTCCGGGAGGAGGAAGAGGTCACTCGAGGCTGGAAGTTAAGCCCAGCAGGTAAAATGCCTCCCCCCCGCCCCCCAACAACCATCAGGCCCTCCCTGCTCCGTCCACTAACGGCCGCAGTGAGCTCTGCGTGTCACCCCGGCTCCGGGATGAGGGTTCATCAGCAGTCCTGTGTTCACACGGCACCCCTCACCCCACTTTCCCTTTAATTTTTTTTTTTTTTTAATGGAGGCATGTTTTATTTATTTATTTGTTTGTTTGTTTTGTTTATACAAGCACTGGGCACAGTCAGAAGCGCGGGAGGGTGAGAGGATCCACCAGAGCCAGAGCGGGGAGCAGAGCAGGCAGAAGGACCGAAGGACACTGCTGAGGGGAGCAGCGGGCGGCAGGAGAGGTCTGCGCGCCATGTGGGACCCTCCTCCGGTGGCCGGGGAGCAGCCGGGGATCGAACTGGTGCCGCAGAGGCCGCGGGCAGCTTCGCAACCCAGCGCTCAACGGCTGCGCCACCGGGGAGCCCCAACTTTCCCTTTAATTTACAGCAACTAAGTGGACTTGGCGAACCCTCAGGCTGGGGCGGGTGGGGACAGACTCCCGAGGAGGTGAGACTAGGCCCCACTGACCACGCAGACAGGCGCGACAGTCCCCAGGGCAGGTGAAGCTGGCACAAGTCAAGGGGGCGCCTCTTCCTGCAGCAGGCAGGGCTGGGGCCTCCTGAGGGGGAGGTCCGGCAGGTACAGCAGGCATCCCTCGCACAGGGGGCCAACTTACCCTGGGGGCTCGCCTGTTCCCCGTCCAGGCCGGCTCCCCCGCTCTCAGGGCTGATTCCCCCAAACAGGAACTCTGGGATCTCCCTGACCAACTGCACCAGGGCGCTGAGGTGCAGGCTGTGCTGGTGGGGAGCTCCTGTGGGAAAAGCCTCAGTGAACTCCACGCACTGTGCTCCTTGGACGTCACCCAGTGTCTATGGGTGCAGCAAAGGAGGGGTGATGTCCACAGGTGGAGCCGCGGCAGGTGCTGCCCAGGGCAGTCAGGGCCAGCTGGGGGCGCCGGGCCCTGTCCCTTGTGGCTCTTGCCGTCAGTCCGGAAACGCCGAGGAGACTGCCTGCCCTCCCTCCACCAGCCTCTGCCTGTCCAGCTGCCTGGGCTGCGCTGGGGACACGTCCACCATCTGAGGTCTCTGATGGGGGCCCCTCGGGAGTGGCAGGACTGTGAGGAGCTGCAGGCTGGCTGGGACGAGGCTGCGGGTGCTGGAGGGAGGGGACCCGAGGTGGGGACACTCTGCAGGGCAACCCCAGCTTTTTTCTAAGCACTTGTCACCATGGCGAGGGTGCCAGGCCGGCAGCCCAGACGGGCGAGGGGTGAACAGTCAGGGAGCGGAGAGCATGACAAGGTAGGGAGACAGGAATGAGTCCACCTGGGCCCAGGCTGCCCAGCGGGACCAGGACACCCAAAGGGGTCTGGCCTCAGTCTTTCCAGATTGCTCACCTGAAGGGTCTGCTCCCCTCGGAGGCTCCTGTCCCCCATCAGTGCTGCTCCGGCCCCCCGCGGCTCCTCCAAGCTCCACGGGACACAGGAAGGTAGAGAGGGGGAGCAGCTCATCTGTCCCTGGGGGAGGAAAGAGGCACAGTCCTCCTGGAGTGGGAGCTGCCCCCCGCCCCATGCAGTCACACGGTGGCCTCGCATCCTCCCCTGATCCCACATGCTCACGTGACTCCCAAACCCAGGGACCCAGGCTTGGGTCCAGAGTGTCACCTGCGTCCTAGAGCCCCCCCCCCACACTGACCCAGAGCCCACTGCAGCACCCACAAACACGATGAGAAGATCAGCGAGGCCCCCCACTCAGCACCCAGGCTCCCGGGTGGCCACCCCCGTGTGGATTTTGTAGATGAGACCAAACCCAGCAGACCCCAGGGTCTCAGGGCACCCCGAGACCCCCTTGGCTGGGGTCCGGCCTCCCTCCTACTTTCCAGCTGGGTTCCTGCCTCATGGCGCTGCCGCCCCCTTCCCGCAGGAGGAGCCCACCCTCCCCGGACGCCCCGCGGCCCAGGGCAGAGCCGCTCCTCACCCAGCGAGACCAGCGTCTCGTAGTTCTCCCGCATCACGTCCCGGTACAGCTCCCGCTGCCCCTCGCCCAGGAGCCGCCACTCCTCCTGGGAGAACCGCACGGCCAGGTCCTGGAAGGCGATGGGCGCCTGCGGGCACAAGCCGGGCGGTCGGCTGGCGGGCCGCTGTCCTTCCCGCGGTGCCCCAGCCTGTGTCCCCGGAGGTCGTCGGGGCAGGAGCGGGGAGTGTGGCGTCGGGGCAAGGGTGAAAGGAAACCCACTTGAGACAGTGACAGAGCCGCACTGTGTCCCCAAAATGATGGGCTGGAGTCCTCACCCCAGAACCTGAGACTGTGCCCTTATTTGGAAACAGGGTCTCTGCAGAGGTGACTAGTTTGCAGAGGCCCCACGGGAGCGGGGGGAGCCCTCAACCAGCAAGAGCCGTGTCCTTGCAGGGAGAGGAGAGACAGACACGCAGGGAGACCACGTCCCAGGGGACGCAGAGCCTGGACTGAGGCAGCCACAAGCCAAGGGGCGCAGGGGGCCCGGGAGGGCGCTCCCCGGTGCACGGGGGGAACAGCACCAGCCACGCCTGGCTCCCGGCTCTGGCCTCCGCCGCCTGAGAGACGAGGCGGCTTAAGCCCCAGGGAAGTGGCCGGGGTGGACTTGTGCCAAGAGAAGTTGGCCCTCCAGCTGGGACCCCAGCCAGTCCTAATTTGCCACCGTAGGGGTTCATAAGCAAGTCCCCCCTGAATGTGCCTGGACCCGGGATCCCAGCACACGCATGAAAAAGTCCTGTAACGGATAATCCCGTGACCCAGAGGAAACACTGCCTACTTTCTAGACATGACGGGACAGGCGGGAATCAGCTGAGCGAAATGATCATGTTGGAGAGAGACAGACAGCGAGAGACGGAGAGAGAAGGAGCTGCAGCGCCTCCCTGCCAGGCGCGAGGAGGTGGGCCTTGCCTCACGGGGACGCAGATGAGGCCGAGGAGGAAAACCTGCAGCGCACGCCGTGGCCTGGACTCCAGCTCCAGCCCCGTGGCCGCGGTGCCCACGGCCCAGCCCAGCCCGCAGGGCTCTGGGTCTGGCTGCAGGACGCGGGGCATGTACTAGGGTGCACCTGCCCTCACTTTCTGGGTCTCACCTTGACCTTCAGGATCTGGCCGGCTGGCACGACCCACACTTTTACGTGCTAGCGCCAGAGCCCCTGCAGACCCGGGCGAGCATCAGAGCCGCTGCCGCAGAAGCCTGCAGGACAGCCCCCCTCCCTCCGCTCTCGGGCAAGGAGCCGGGTGTCTGCTGGGAGCACCCCTGGGGAGCACCCCTGCCATGCTCCTGCTAAGACGAGGCATTCTGTTCTGATTTCTCTTGAAATAGTCCCTAAGTGTGCTTTTAAAGATGCCCTAGTAGGTGACGAGCGCCTGACAGACAGGAATTCAAGTTAGGGCCAAACTTAACTGAACAAAGGAAGCAAAGGGGATGTAAGCTGTGGGGAGGGTCATGAGGGAGAAGCCAACATGCAGACGCTCCTTATCCATCGAGAAGATAATCTACTGCGTTGTCTCATCAGCCCCGGACAGTGACTTTAAAAACTGCCACTGCTACTAACTCGCAGCCTTGTCACTGGTGCCAACTGCCCCACGTTCTGCCTGTGGGCACCCACGTCCGCTCAGCCAGCCTCTGCCCCCAGCCGGCCTGCTCCTCCCCTCTCAGGCAGCTTTCAGACACTGGGGCCGTTCCCACCCCTCTGGCCTTTTGGACAGTCACAGCGAGCAGACGTGGGTCCTCTGCGCCCAGGCAAGCTCCAAGGCCGGCCCTGTCCTGGCATCTGGGAACTCGAATTGGGGGGTGTTGTCTCTGGGTTTTCTGGGTCTAGTCTGTGCTGAACACCCACTTTCGTTCTGAGGCCCGGACACCAGGGGACATGCCAGGCAGAGGGCGCCTCCGTAAGCAGCCCCCAGAGAAATTCGGGGTGCCCGGTTCCTTGTAAGCATCCATGGGAGACAACACTCACAGGTGTTTTCAGAATTCCCTGGAAGAATTAAGCACATTCCCTGTGATGCCACCCAGGAAGTGTTCTGGAAGCTTCTTTTTGGTGTCCTCCGGAACTTGCCCTCCTGCCTTTTTCCCTTTGCTGACCTTGTTTTGTGTCCTTTTGCTGTGAAGGTTCCCAGCCATGAATACAACTAGATGCTGAGTCCCAGGCATCCTCCCAGCAAACCACTGTCCCTGAGTGATCCTGCGGACCCCGACAAGACATGAAACCCTCACCCCCACTGCATGCAGCCGGCCACTCCCTTCCCTCCTGACATTCACAGTCCAGCGTGCTGCTCCTCCAGAAAAGCTCTCCCTTCTAGAACCCTGGGCCGCTACAAGGCTCAGGAGCCCCAGGGCTGGCGGAGCAGAGGCCCCTCTGCCAGAAGTCCCAGCTGTGCTACAGCCCACAGGCAGGGGCTCAGACTTGGCCCACAGGTCAGGGTCCCAAAGGAATGAGCCAGCCCACAGGCTTTGCTCGTGCACAGGAGGAGGGGCCAGACTGAAGTGGCCAGGGCCTCATCAGGGAGGCCAGAGAGAGTTTCAGGGACTGGCCAGGTAAGGGTCACAGCAATAGCACCGTGACCGAGCGGTCACAAGCCAAGTCTACAGAGGGCACGGGGAGCAGGGCACGGGGTTCATCTAGGTATCCTCAGCTGCTCGGGAGGCCAAGAGCTTCCTGCTAGGACAGAGGCATTGAGCCATCCTGGGCAGCTATCCAGCTCGCGCAACCAGCCTCCTTCCTCCGGCCCCACTCGGCCAGGAGGCTTTCCATGGCCCTGGGGCTCCCACACAGACTTCAGGAGGGTGTCAAAGGCACAATCAGCCACTGCAGTTCCAGGGGGCAGTCGCCTGCTTTCACCAGCTGTCCTTTGAGTCTGGTTCGCGTGAGCGGGCTCCCCGAGAAGCACAGCCGGGGTGTACTACCAGCGCCAGGCGCCGCATCTGCGCTCCAGCTTCGAACATTTCAGTCTCTCGTTCGTGCAACAAGCAGCCTTTGCAGGCAGCCGGTCAGACACTGTCCCCCCACGTGCGGGCGAAGCAGCATGCGGAGTCTACCCCAAGTCCAGGACCAGGGCCTTCACACTGAGATCCAGGGGTCCTTTCCACTGGACTTGACTGTGACGTAAATAATAATAACACACCAAACAGCCAAGTTTTAAAAATCGTCATCACCCGGTAATGTTTGCAGAGACAGACCACAGGGGTGTCTACCAAAGGCTGCTGTTCCCAGAGCCTCTTATTAAAAGCTGAACATTTAATAGTTTTTAAAAGGTGATGGAAAGGGCCCGGAGCACAAAGCAATGTTCCCACAGCCACTGCTGAACACAGCAGGGTCCTGGTAGGGGGCTGGGCTGGAGCCTGAAAGGGGGGGCTGCGGTGGCCCAGCTGGAGGGCAAGCCTCCCCCACCCCAAGCAGACAGCTTCTTTGTTCAGCCAACTGGGTGAAAGATACTCTGTAGCCCCAGCTTCTCCCACCATAACAACTGAAAATACAATAGGACTTTTAGGTTCAAATGATCTGTTTCAATTTTCTTTCAATTAGGGCTGACTGCCACTGTGCACCCCACCGCCCATCATAGAGGGGGGGATTAGGGGGGATACCCGATCAGGATTAAGTTTAGTGATTTTCAGGCCCCAACCTACACATGCCAACCCCCAGATGATTCTGTCACTGTCCACATTCAGAGTCACAGGCAGGGTGGGGGTGGGTGGCTACAGTCCAGTCCAGGAGAGGGGACTGGGCAGAACTCGGGGATGAAAGTGGGGCTGGTGACCGGGGCCTGGAAACAGGAGCCAGCCCCACTCCCCTTCCCAGGGACCAGCTCTCCCACAACACGGCGTGGGCTGGATGTCGCTAACCCGCTGCAAGCCTCACAGCAGCGTGACACCGCTTCATTTCGGACTCGACGCATATGGGGGACTCGCCCCACTCCCCGCAGTCCGTCGCGTCGCTGGCCTGATGTGGCAGTTGAGACCTGCTGGACACACAGACAGGGCAGAGCCCGGGGAGCCAGGTGGTGCGGCGTTCCAATGCCTGCTTTGCTCCAGGTTAGCCACGGCACCTCGGCAAAGTCGCAAAGGGATCCGGACCCACCTCCGAGGCAGGTAAACGAGTTACTGCAGAAGCGCCTGAGCAGATGCTGGGATGTCCCAAGTGCTGTGATTTATCGCAGCCAAGTCTGTCTGCCTGCTGTCACTTGGAGGTCACAGCTGCCACCTCCAGGACACAGAAGGGTCTCTTTCCACACCCTGCTGACCATGTGTCTCCTTATCTCCTTGCTAAAAATACACCCAGTGCTCTTAGACATCCGGAAGGGATCACTTCCAGGCCTCTCACCCACTCAGCCGCAAAACAAACTCTTCTGCAACAAAGTTCTTGAGACAGAATGAGAAGTGATGGTGGCCAGGGCAGGCGGGTCTTCCCTCTGCCCCGAGGAGGCGGATGAAGAGTGAGACGAGTGTGTGAGGGAAGAAACAAGCATGGGTGTGTAAACACAAATGCTGGCCTTAAGGAGCGGAGACTCCCGCCGGCTCACAGTCCAGGCCTGCGGTCCTCGGCCCTCTGCAGCCTCCTCCCTCCACCATCAGGAGAACAGCTTCCCCAGCTGTCTCAGGGCTGTGGTCGCTGAGCAGCCTCTGAGCCCACTGCTGCATGGGGTCCTCGGAGAACACTCCTCCCCGGGGGCCTAGTCCAGTGCAGGAAACAGCCATGGTGCCCTTTGGTCCTTCCACCTGGACAGGCGTTCCCAGGCTCGACCCATTCTCACAGGAAATTCTGGTTGGGTCTCCCTCACCAGACCTGCAGTCTGTGTTCACACACCCCTGGGCTTGGGGAGTCCACCCACTGGGAGACAGGAGGCCCCCCACCTTCCTCTCCATCTGTCGGTGACCTGCCGCTCCCAAGAGCACTCCAGGTCACCTTCCCCATGAAACTACAAAGTGAGCCCCAGAACATTAGAGCTGCACGAAGAGCTGTCCAGCTCCTTGTTTTACAGAAGAGGAGAGAGCAGTGTGAGAGACCAGGACTAGCAAGTGTGTCCTGGGCTGCTTAAGAAGACAGCCAGAGGTGCCAGAGGCTGCCCTCACCCCCCCCCCCCCCCCCCCCCCCCCCCCCCCCCGCCAGCGTGCCTGGCTTCTCCCTTCTAACAAGAGCTGTGGGGCATCAATGACACCCGGGTCCCGGCACAGTGCCCACCCAGGCAGGCGGCTGACTGCCACTCCCCATCCCCAGGCCCCCTCAGTCCACGGTGGCCTGAGCTTGGCCCAAGCTCCAGAGCCACAATTGCAGAAGTGGCTGCAGGGGTCCCCCCTGGTGCCATCACAGCCCCACACCCCTCGCACATTACGTGCCCCAGCCATGACAGAGGGCTCCCCCACAGCTCCTGACACCCTACAGGAGAGACCTGGGTCGAGTTCGGGGCCCCCACCCCACGCTCCCAAGAATAAAAGTACCAGGTTTACTCTTTCCCCTGAGGCCTCCTGCCCACCGTCCCCAACTTGTAAGCGAAAGAGGCCACGCCGAGGGAGGGCGACGCTCAAGCCGAAGGAACGAGTTTCCAGAGGTGGGGGGCGGCTCCCCCTGCGCGGGTGCCGGGGATGGGGGGCGGGGGGGCGAGGACCAGGACTTTCGGTGCGAAATCCGCGCGCCGGGCCGGCTCGGCGGGCACAGCGGCATCCGAAGTTGGGGGGTCCGGCCTCCTCCCCCCGCGCCCCCGAGGGCCGCGCCGCCGCGGCTTGTGCTCCCCGGCCCGCGGCGGGGTCCCCTCCGCCTTACCTGGCGCGCCATCCCGGGACCCGCTCCGCGCCCAGCTTCCGGCGCGGCCCGCGCCCCCGTCCCTCCCCGGCTCGCTGCCCCCGGAGGCGGCGGGCGCGGCGGGCGCGGGCGGAGGCGGGCGGGGCCGGGGGGGCCGGGCCGGCGCGAGGGGGAGGGGCCCCCGCCCCGCGCCGCGCTCCGGAGGAGGGTCCGCTTCCGCCCGGAGACCCCCGGCCTCGGCGCCCGCCCGGCGCAGGCGCGAACTACACTTCCCAGCGGGCGCCGCGGCGCCGGGGGCGGGGCGAGCCGGGCCTCCGGGTCCACGCCCCCGCCCCACCTGCCCCGCGGGAGACGGGGAGCAGCTGCGGGAGGGGCTGCGGGAGGGGCTGCGGGGGGCTGCGGGGGGGCTGCGGGGGGGGCAGGTCGGCGGAACCCGCCGGGCTGCAGGCTTGCGGAGTGCTGGCCCGCGTGCACGCATCCGTCCGCCCGCCCGTCCACCCTCCTCCCCCCACCCGTCCGTCTGTCCGTCCATCCACCCTCCCATCCATCCACCTGTCCGTCCATCCGTCCGTGCACCCACCCGCCCATCCACCCGTCCGTCCTTCCGTCCTTCCTTCCCTCCCGCGCTCCCTCCTAGTGGGGACACCAGCATGTGACTGGGAGCGCAGGCAGCGGCCGCGGGGGGCGCGCCCGGCCCGAGGGCGGGGGCTGCGCGCCGGGGCCGGCCCTGCGGTCGGGGTGTCCTCTCCTCCCCCAGGTTGCTCATTGCGCTTCCCACCTGGCGCCCGCGCCCGCGCCCACTCTGCCGTCGAGGCTTGTGGGGCTGCTCATGGGTTTGGCTGCGGTGACCTCGGAAGCCCCTGGCGCTCAAATAAACGTGCGCGGCGCGAACGAAGCGAGGGGCCCACCGTCTCCTGGGCAGGGGACCCTTCGGGGCGGGGGTGCTGAATGGAAAGGGGAGGGCTGAGGGGTGGGGAGCACGCGAACCCCGCCGGGACAGCTCGGAGGTGCGCTTGGGGGCTGGACCCGCCACAGGGGACCAGAGTCTTCCCGCGCCTGCCACCGCAGCGCCTCTTCCCCTGCTGTATGTGGGGATCCGACGGTCCCAGCGCTGGTGCTGGGGCGCCTGGCGGCCCTGGGGCTCCGCTCTGCCCCCTGCTGGTCGCCGCCAGAACTCGGGGTGATCGTGCCCCCCGCGGGCCCGGCCTCCAGGAGGGGGTGAGAGGGGCCACCGCCGGCCAGTGCCCGCCCGCGTGCTGCCAGCCTCTCCTTCACACCCAGGAGGGGCTCCCCCAGGATGGGGGCGGCCGCTGTAGGGGGATTCCATGATCTGGAGGGTCTCACTCAGAAGCTTCAGGTTCAACCTCTGCCTCGGCATCCTGAGAGGTCGCGGCCCTCAAGGTGAGTCCTTACCTGTGCTTTGGGGCCCTTGTCCCTTCTTGATGAGGTTGCTTCCTCCCACCTCCTCCCGCACCCCACCCGCCATCTCAGGAGCCCTAAACTTCATTTCCCCATGTAGTTGGTGCCTCTTTGACTCAACCGCCCCCTCCCTGACTAGGCTTGGTGGGCATTTATGGACTCCGAGTCAGCAGTTGCTAAGAGCGAATCACCAGGGTCCAGTTTGCTGGTGCCACTTTGCTAAAAATCAATTTGCTGAATGGCCAGCTCTCCCAGCGATTCAGAATCCTCCTTCCTCTCCTTCCCCCAGATTTCTCATTGCACTTCCCACCTGGTGCCTGCACCCTCGCCTACTCTGCATGGCAAAACAATTGTGAACTGTCTTAAATTCTGTTTAAAGTGTTTATTTAGAAGTTCTGAACAGGGACAAAGGGAGGAGTGAAGATGGAAGCATAGTTTTTAAATTCTCAATAATTGTTAAATTGGCCTTTGTTTGCTTGCTTTGATTTTCAACAAATTGCTATTCAGTAGTATACCCTTCCATCCTGTTTGACTGTGGCTATCTGGTCATTCTGTGGATTGGCTTTTGGGGAACTAAACAGCTAAGGTATTCCCAAAGGAGCTAGCTGTCCACTCCTCGTGTGAAAATGGATGCGATATAAAATACTTCTGACTTTCATTATATCTTTTTCTACTCATGAGGTTATTTAATATGCCTTTCAGTTACCAAATGCGTGTGTCTTTAAAACGTTATCTTTCTGTTTTTGAGTTTTGTCTTGTAAGTGAATATAGAATGTGAGGTTGGTTTTTTAAGTGATTTTCTGAATTGTGTGTATGCGCGGGTGTGTGTGTGTGTGTGGGTGGGTGGCCGTATGCAGGAAATATGTGCAAATGTTCCATGTTTGTTTCAAAAGAGAATATTCTTGTGTTGGTGATAGGGACCTACTGAGACCTACTAAATCAGGCTTACTAATTGTGTTATACTGTGCATTTGTTAATTTCTCCGTGTCCCTTACAATTGCTGCTTTATAAATTTTTAGGCTGTATACACATTTAGAATTGTATTTTCCTGAGAAATTGTTCTTTTTATTATTATGAATTAGGTATTATTCATACCCAACAGTGCCTTTAGTCTATAATCCATTTTGTCTGATATTGATAGAGCTATTGGGAAGAACTTGTTTTATATATCTTGCCCCATCTTTTTATTTTCAAACTTTCTGTAGATTTATGTTCCATGTGTGTATAAAAACAGGTAATTAGGTTTTTGTTGTTGTTGTTTAATCCAATACAATGATCTCTATCTTAGCTGGCAATAGACCCTTTGCATTTATTGTGATTAGTAATATATTTTCATTCATTTTACCATCATATTTTATGCTTTCTATTGATTCTGATTTTTTTCTTTTTTAAAAAAATATTTATTTACTTATTCATGCATAGCAGAACTGGGGTGTAGGTCAGAGGTGCCAGCATGTGTGTGTGTGAGAGAGAGAATTCACCAGAGACAGTGGGGAGCAGAACAGGTAGATCTACAGAAATACACTGCTAAGGGGAGCAGTGGGTGAGACAGGAGAGGTCTGCAGCACCATGTGGGTCACCTCCCTGACCCGGGATTGAAGGGTGATAGCACTGAGATTTAACCCCTAGGCCATGAGGGATGCCCTGATTTTTTTTTTAATTTTTTTTTTTTGTCTCCACTTGTTTCTTCTAGTGGTTTGGTTAATTTATCTTTATTCATCTTTTTCTTTCTACAGCAAGATGGTATTGGTGGCACATGCACGATACCAACTCCCCTTCACACTACCACCACAGAGTTACCTGTGCCACAAATGAAACAGGTTGCTGCAACTCCAGGCCTGGACCCCAAAGCAGAGGGTAACAGTTGAGTCCATAGGAATCAGGACTCAAGCCCATGGCCCTAAGGAGGAGGACAATGGTGGGGATCTCAAACTTGCCAGTCTGGCCTCACAGTGGCAGAACCTATGACCCAGGTGATCCCTGAACCCAGTGTTTATACCCACCATCCCTGGGACTCTGGCAGTGAAGCCCACAGCCAAGACGGTGGCAACAACAGCAGAACACCAGCTACTCCTCTGACAAAGGCAGCAGTAGCTAGGTATTGCCAGAGAGTCAGCAGAAAATTAGATTAAAAAACCCAAAGCTAATACTACACCAACACTTACTAGAAAACTAAAGAAGGATCTTTAATCACTAAACAGTTGAAATAGAATCAAGCAAACAAAACTTTGCAAAAGGAAGGTGTTCGCTGTGTCAAATGTACAGGCAGAGGGACATTTCATCAGGCACCTGAAAAAAAAAAATCACAAAAAGAAAATGACAGTTCTCTAAAAACCAAATGTAAAGACTTGTAATGTTATGATCTAACTGATAGAGAATTCAAAATAGCTGCCATGAAGAAATACTAGCTAAAAGATGAGTCGGAAAGGCAAATCAGTGAGCTCAGGATTAAAATGAATGAGGAGGAGTACTTCACCCAAGAGACTGAAATTCCAAAACTCAATGCATGAGGTGCAGAAAGCCTGGAAAACAGGATAGGCTACACTGAAGAAAGAATCAGCAAGCTCAAAGAAAGAATTCTAGAAAGGATTCGGGTGGAAGACAGAACTAAGATTTTTTTTTTAAATAAAGAAATTCTTTTTAAAAACCATTCCTATACAGGGCCTCCCCTGGTGGCGCAGCGGTTGAGCGCTGGGCTGCGCGGCTGCCCGCGGCCTCTGCAGCGCCGGTTCAATCCCCGGCCACCGGCGAGGGTCCCACAAAAAAAAAAAAAAACCATTCCTATACAAAATCACATTTTCACACAAACTCTTTTTTTTTTTACTATAGTCATTTTTTACTATAAGAAATAAAGATGAGAAATTCTACAAGAATTATCCGACCCCATTCAGAAAGATAATATAGATAACGGGTACCCCAGTAGGTGAAGGACGGGAAAAGAGAGCAGAAAACTTATTTAAAGAAATAGTAACTGAGAAGTTCCTAAAGCTGGGGAAGGAGCTTAACATACAAGCTCACAAAGCTAATCCAATTTCTAACTATCTAAATGCAAAAAGACCTACACCAAAACATATTATAGTAAAATTATCAAAAGTTGATGATAAAGGAAGAATCTTAAAGGCAACCAGAGGAAAATAGTGTGTAACCTATAAAATATTTCCATCAGGCAATCATCAGATTTCTCAACAGAAATCTTGGCTCTACAGGCCAGGAAAGAGTGCAATGACATGCTTAAAATATTGAAAAATAGGGCCTCCCTGATGGCGCAGCGGTTGAGCACTGGGTTGCAAAGCTGCCCGCAGCCTCTGCAGTGCCGGTTCCATCCCCGGCCACCGGAGGAGGGTCCCACATGGCGCGCAGACCTCTCCTGCCGCCCGCTGCTCCCCTCAGCAGTGTCCTTCGGTCCTTCTGCCTGCTCTGCTCCCCGCTCTGGCTCTGGTGATTCTCTCATCCTCCTGGTTGTATAAATAAATAAATCTTTAAAAAAAATAAAATAAAATATTGAAAAATAAAGATTAGCCAAGACTACGCTATCCAGGAAAGTTATTCTTCAGGTGTGCAGGCAACATAAAGCCTTTCCCAGACCAAAAAAAAAGGAAGAAAGAGAAAGAAACAAAACCTGAAGGATTTC